GAAACTTCATTTTCATCACCAGGAGAGATAGATGAAATATCAGCACATGAATCTATCGACGATGATAGCGATGCATAGTTTTATTTTCAATAGTTTTATTGAAATAATAAGAACATCAGCAACTACTACAATTATATTTTGAATATATGTGCACTATTATCACTATTATCACTATTATGATTAATTTATTATTTTCTTTTGTTTTCTTACAAACTTGATTGGACCTTATACGGTCATCATACAAACACAGATATAACGATATATTTACCATTTTATAGCGATATCTGGATAGTTTTAGTTTCTTTCACGTTTCCGAGAAGAATAAAATTGCTGTTATTTTCGAACTAAAGTAAGTATATGCAAAATTTGCAGGGCGTGAAGGTATAACCTTGCCCTGCCCTGTACAGGGCGGATCAATTTTTTAAAAATTCGCCCTGTGTCGTGCCCTGTGGACACCTCTGGTGTGTAATTTCAGAAAATGTGTTTTTCTCGGAATATTGTAAAAGTAGTCTCCATCGTAGCTTTTTTGTGGTTATGAATTATTTGATTGCTAACAATTTCTCATTTAATGCGTGAATCTATATGATATTTTTTCATGTTTGTGTTCTGGTCAGAAAAGATTTTTTTTTTAAACGAGTTGAATGTATTTTTAAAGCTGATATTAAATAATCTACGAATAATGAGAAAGGTTAGGAAAACGAAAACAATGGTTCATGTTGTCGAACGATCGGAAGTAAACAGATTTTTCAATAAAATCAGCGACCTCACCCATGTAATAAAAACCGCATGAAAATCGGCGGTTAACCGCGGTTTTACCGGTCCGGTTACCGGCTCTCATTACCGCAGAACGGATAAATACCGCGGTTTACCACAAAAAATGAACTGGCATTTACCGCGGTAAACCGCCGGTTTTGATTAATACCGCGGTTACCGCTAAAAAAAGCGGTTAACCGGTTCATCTATAATTTTTGACAGAAAAAGTCTTCCAAATCTTCAATTAAACTATTTTAAACATCCTTTTTTTTTACTTTTACATGTGATAAACATGCGCAAAAAGCCGCCGGTTTACCGCGGTTCTACCGGTCCGGTTACCGGCTCCCATTACCGCAGAACGGATGAATACCGCGGTTTACCGCAAAAATTGATCCGGTATTCGCAACATGGGCAATGAGACAGACTTTTTCTGTAGAAGCGTCTCCATGTCTGACGACTTTTCGTTCTTGGTGATCTTGCTATTTAAGCTTGCAGTACATAGAAGAGGATCTGTTTTTTCAAGATAATTGACCAACATAAGGGGTTCTCTGTTGAAAACAGAGAAGACACAAGCAACGCGCCCAAATATACTAAGATTATTTTGACGAAAAATGATGTTGCTATCATCTGCTATTTTGTTTTTTGAATACTCTGTTGTTGATATTCTCAATTGTCTTATGTACAGCACGTGAAAATAAGTAATAGGAACGCCAGGAAAAAGAACAGACGCCAAGTGATGTTGTTGTTTTGTGTGATGCAATAATTTTACATGAAAGTTAACTTTTTTATTTCCATAACCAAGATTAGAAGACAGAAAACTAAGTAGGTGAATGGTTTAATGATGACGTGTTCGAATGAACCGTAGCTGCTTGATATAAGTGAAGTGCTGAAATTATTTCTTCAGAATGGCGTCGAGTACTTTTCGTGGTACGCGTTATGTGACCTAGGTTGAAAATAAATTGTACATGCAGTCCGGATTCAAAACGTACGGTGGGAAACTGTTGGTTCCGGTGAAATTCTGGCAAAAACATGGAAGCAGTATTCCGGGACCGGTTACGACTTCTTCCTTGCTGATTCCTGCAACCGGATGAAATGCCAGGATCCCGCTACCGCTTACGGCAAGGTTTCTGAGAAGGGTTCCGACGCCTTTTCACGGGAGCAGGATCCGAACTATATTCCTTCCGTTTCCGATTCGGTTGCAACGCACAGATCCGATCGGTTTTATTTTCTTTCAGACGATTTAATCCCGCAACTGGAAACGATAGAATCTATTCGAAAACGTATTCTTTATAATTACACGACTTTAATACCTTACAATCGACTAATTGGATCGCTCTCTCAAAAGAATCTCTAGAATACAATTGTATATTCAATGTTCAAAAGTATAGAATATTAAGAAAAAATTACAATTCCATACAAGCATTGATAAATATTTTGGCTCTCTTCAGAACATTGGACTAAATTGGACATGATAGTCATTCTTAAAGCACTTTTAAAGAGTACGAATTTGACAATAATGTGAGAACAAGCAGACTGAATACAAAATACCGTGTAAGAGATTGTACAACTCACAATCTACTGTTGAGAGCAATAGTTGAATAGAGACCACGATAGACTATTGAATTGTGTCTTCAAATTGGAAGATATTATTTAGCTCGGATAATCCCTCGCGACAATGGGCGATAGCTAGGTAAACGAAACCACTACTGAACTCATTTAAATTAATTTCATTATCAGAATTCAAAAACATCTGATACCAAAAAAACCGACACCATAAAAAGCAATAAATTACGCGTCCATCTCTGGAAAGTCTAGAAACCGACAAAATACTCAAATATTATCATTTTAAAGGTTTTCCAGCACACCTGTCACAGATACGAACGGAAGATGACAGACAGGTAGGGGTGGCACTTTACGTTAATTTAATATTAAGGGTTAAATTTTGACTTAACACTTAATACTAATAAAAAAAACGTTTACATTAGCCATTTAATTGCTTAATATTAAGTATTAACGAAACATTTAATTTTTAAAATTAAGTCTTAACGTAATAATTAATTTAAAAAAATTAAGCATTGCTTTAGTACTTAATATTAAGAAAAAAATGTGTACATTAGCTACTTAATTACTTAATATTAAGTGCTAAAGCAATACTTAATTTTTTTAAATTAAATATTACGTTAAGACTTAATTTTAAAAATTAAGTGTTTCATTAATACTTAATATTAAGTAATTAAGTGGCTAATGTAAAGGTTTTTTATTAATATTAAGTGTTAAGTAAAACCACTTAATTAACTCTTTTAATTAACTCAAATTAAAATCAACGGACCACCCCTACAGACAGGCACTGGAGCAGAAAGACCATTCTCTCCGAATCCAACCGAGTTAGATATGTCAAAAACAAGAGCGCTCAAAAACAAAGTATTGAAATATTAAAACAGTCTTCAGACTGCATAGCAGCCGACCTTCACCTATATATATGCATGTCCGACACTTAGAAGTTCATTCACTCGTCCATGCAACTACTAGTAAAGTGCCTTCAAGACTGGCTGACCCAGGTCGATCAAAACGGACCACCGTAAACCGACGTAACATTACCGTAAACTGTCGTTTTTGCATCGTATTCCGTCGTAAAACGGCCGTTTTAAGCGGAATTAAGGCGTTTTAACAGGAGCAGTATTATGGTCATACACGGACATCGTATATCAGCCGTAAACCCACGTAAAGCCGGCGTAACATTATTGTATTCTATACAGCATACGACCGTATTACTGCCCCTGTTATACGGGGAAAATACGGCACGTAAAACGGGCCGTATGTGTATCGTATACGACCGTTTACTGATCGTTTTCTTCGACCGGGGGAGACTCTTCAAACTGACCTAGCGATACACGAACGCCCTGAAGATCACCAATCTATCCACATGACTGAGCGTTCAAAATTTCAACACCAGAGACGCAGCACACCTGTTCAGATAAGTCACAGGTAATACTTCGTATACTTTTTTCTATACCAAAACTTTCTCAAAATCATCCCAATCCCATTTCTAATATTAATCGATGATAATAGAAAACAAGAATCGACATTGGACTTGTTATATATCTTGCTTGAGCAACATTTACAATCAGTGTCGTACTCTCTATCAACAGAATATCATCTAATTAAGGTAAATAGAACAAATTCCCTTCAAAGGTCTTCATTAGTAAAATCATGATTTCGAGCTTAAATCAAGCTCGAATTGCAGCGTTTCTTCACGGAAAGATTTTAGAATATGATTTTCTATCGATCTGGATCTTTAATCACAGAAATACCTAATAACTAAGATAGTCACAATAAAAATCTCTAGTGATCTTCGTAGATCTTTCATATTTGTTGCAGGATGCAGAATCGTGGATTCCGTTGTGCTTTCGGTTTGTCCATCAGTATTCTTCGCTTTTCCGTCTTGGATGTGAAGGTTTCCGCTGGCATTCTTGGTTTCCTCCTTCCTGTTCCTCTAGGATCGTTGTATGTTCCTTAGAGTGTCCTATGACTGGCCTTGCGCGGAAGTTAAGGGTTCAGGGTACGGCTTTTTCCGGATGGAATACTGTTTTCACTTTCTATTATTTTTCCTGCGGGATCCGGCGGGAAAGACTAGAGAACCGGTGGGAAATCACCGGAAAGAAGCCGTTTTCAGACCGGTTCCGGAAGGACCTGGAGACCGGAACTATCGACCTGGGAGTTGTTGACAATACTCGTCGATAATTTCGAACCTTTATTACTATATGAAACATCATCGACACTCATAATCACGAGTGATTATGATGCTTCATCGCACATCAATATCATTTCTTCGCATTTCTCGAGTACACGCTGCTTTCCTCGTGCAGCAGCTGTCTTGTCTTTTACGTGATTTTTCAAAGTCATTGATAATAGAAATTATTTTAAAAAAATCCAAAATATCAGTGAAAATACACAAATTCACAAGTAACACATCTATTGAACATCCTCCGCTACTTAAGTGTTCAACGAGATGGAATAATAAATGCATTTCTATATGTGATTACTTAGCTACAAATATAATAGACAAAATAGTCTAGCTTTACAGTCGATCTTAGTCGTAGTAATAGTTCGGTAGATGTAGTGCGATAGAGTAAATTAGCACAGATAGTTCTTTCTCTATTTCACCTTTTGTGAACAATACACAAGGATCATTAATAACTTCTAATGACTTCTTCATTCATTAAAAATGAAAAATAATATCAGTTCGAGTTATCATAAACATAGACTAGTCGACTATATAAAGTTTTCATCGTGTAGATGTCGTTGCGAAGTGCTTCTCTTGATTCATTTTTCATTTTTGGACCGCTTCTGTGTATGATGAGTCTTCAAATACGAAAATCAGTTTTTGGAGAAAAAACACATCTTTAGCTATTATATATTGTTTAATGAACACAAGGAAAATTAGAAGACTTGCTAAATTACAAGCGTTTTCCCAGCGAAGCTAATTGTGTGAAATCAATTATAACACGGCGAATTCTAATATACTATACAAAGTAATCTATTTTAATTGATGTCTGATGTAATTGCACCATCTCAATAGGAATTGACCTATATAGGGGTCCCGACTTAACTATTTTTGAATGATTACAGTTCATAGGCAATTGATTGTGAATAATAGGAATCTAAAAAAGTCATTAAAAAATTAGGATTTTATGTTCGAATCTTGGGAAAAGCACACTGTTCGCTGTTAATGATTAAATTGGATTACAAGGTGATAATAAATTAAAATCGATTGCCAGGATATAATAAATTATAATGGTTTAAAGTCTGGAATTGATTATAATGGATTAAAAGATAATAACAGATTAAAAATCATGGTGTGGAATACATGAATTACAATTGATTGAAACCTACTAGCAGATTAAAACTCATTACCAGTTTGTGTTAGATTATAATTTATTGAAAATTGAGAATGAGATAAATGAACTAAAAATTCATAAATGGATTAAAGTTCGTTAAAGCTAATAAGAGATTAATATCTATGAAACAGGTAAGCATACATTCAAATCGATGAGTCAGTAAAATGGAAATACTTTGAGTAGCATATAAGAAATGGATTACTATGGATTTAAGATGATAATATATTACAATTAATAAAAAATATGAGCATAGATTAAATGAATGAGAGTATGTGGATAAATGAATTCCCATCAAGATAGTCATAAGTTAAAATCAATTTTTTTGTGATTAAAAATCTATCATAATGGCACTATTAAAAATGGAAATTAAAAGCAATTTAGACTAAAAAAAATGATTATAATTGATTAAACGTTTCAATACATTATAATACATTTTTTTATGATTGATAATCTATTGTAATCGCAATAGTCCCATTTAAGAAAAATGATCAATAATAGATTTTAAAATAATCGATTATAATCAATTTTTTCGATCTAAATAATGATTAAACTAAGCTTATAACGGTGTCATTAAAATAGATTTCTAATCACACAAAAATCAATTATATTCAGAGTTTTCGCGATTTTGTTTTACATGGGAAGTTTCTTTTTACATAATTTCGAACGCGATAGAAATAGCTGGTTTTAATTTTTTTTAATTTAAATCAAATTTGAAAAGGAGCGTTAGCATCGAGCGGCTAGTGAAGACACTTTTAATTAGTTTTGATGAGCTAAATCACAAATCAGGATCAAACCGACCAAGTTATCAATATCATCTTAATCGTGTAATGTAAGCTATTTAAATACCAGTAGATATTATTAAGAACGTTCTGATGTTAGAATTTAATGCCCATAAGCATTTATCTTCTTTTGAGAAAAGTAGTTCGCGAACACGCTCTAATTGTGGATTTTTGAGTACACTAGTCTTGATGTAAGTCATGAAGCATATTTTTAGTTGCATAAGCGTTTTTGTTGACTGAATTTTGAGTAGATTAGCAGTTCATATAATATGATCTAAAAAGCAGACAGTCCTTATGTTACCAAAAATTAATATTCTTATTGAAACATATGATAAATTGATCGGTGAGCCTTCAAGATATCAGTTTTCCATATGTCATTCGAATCAAAATAGATGACAAACTAGAAGAACGCCGTTCCGTATATTTATATCACGTTCTATCTTGAGATTCAAACTATTTCTGCTAAAAAATCAATCACAATTCGTTGAGTGAAAATACGACAGACAAACTTTCAGACAACTGAGTTGAAGAATATTTATTCGATACATGGATAAAACAATTATAAAAATTGGGCGAGTAATTTTAATATATACATATTCATATAATAGGAAAAAATGAATATTTCAAAGGAACCACAACTCAATTCTGTTTTTATCAAGTTCTAAATGGAATTTACCTTTGAATTGATTTTAAATCGAGACTGAAATATCTGGCAATCTTTATTGAGCTGCTCAAATGTTTGGAATCATCTGTGGAAAACTGAACTATCCTTGCATCGATACGTATTACCGATGGGTAATACTATCAATGTTGATTGAGGGTACATTTATTCTTCTTCAACTTTGAGTCACATAAATGTTGCTTTTCCTATTATTCAGTGTACTCGCGTGAGTTGAAATTCAAGTATATGATAAACTGTTAATACTACAAAATATTTTTCATTGTATCTTGAATAGAATGTATGAATTCGACTTTTACCCATCGTAGTTTTATTAGTACTAGTGGGTCCACATAAGTTGAATTAAATTCATACGAGTATTTCTATTTAGACTTTCAAATAAACTGGAATTGTTTCATTTGTTTCTTTGTTATAAAATATCAGTACAAATAATCCTCTACACATCGAAACACATGATAAAGTGAGACCCAATGGGTCATTATAAGTACAAAAATTTCATGTACTCTTCGTAGGTTTTAAATAGAGTCATATACATCGATTTATATGAATTTCATGAACAGCGAGAGAAAAACTTTCTCAAAGGATATGATATTTATCGATTCGATAAACAGTGCTTATATTATAAATAAAGACTTGGAAAATCTAACATAAATTAACAAAGAAAAAATGAAATAAATAATACAAAAACAAAACAAATAGTTTTACAAAAACAAAAATGGAAATGCTTAAAATTAATCAGTATGTAATCTCTTTTTTGGTGATTCATTTTCATCGGTAGCGGAAAAGAATTCTGATAATTCACCAATATCTTTTACAGTAGCTATAGCAGTTGTACTGTTATCTTTCATTTCATTTTCAATCGTTTGAGTTGATTGATCATTAAATGATTTTAACTCTGGTAAAGCAAATTGAAAATCAAGTTCATGATGTAAAGTTTCATTGTCTCCAAATGATAATAACCATGCACGTAACGCATCAATCTATATTATATAAAATTAGGAAAATAGATGTAGCATATAATTTCTTTTTCCATAAATAGATACTCACTTTTTGGCAATCATCATTGCTAAATGAATAAGAAATACTGCTTTGTGCAACTGGCTCATGGCTTATGTCATCGTTTCCATCAAATATAAGCCTGAAAGGAAGAAATCTTCAGATCTTATTTGAATATATATTTACAGATAAAAATACAAGTACCAACTATAAAAATTAGAAGATTTTAATTGTATACAACCACTTTCAGGTTTATAATTAGTAATCTAATGAATGATATTTTAAAAATATTAGATATTCATTATTTAAGACTGCTTACTTTCATTCTATGTAGACGTATTAATTGTCCAATTTCTGCCTGAATAGGAAGCTCAATTGTACCAGCAAATGATTCGCGATATAGAAGACAACTTGCACCCTTTTGGCCTGGAAAAAAATAATTATTGATTACATATAAGTTTACTATTGTTTTATGTAACTATATATGTTTTATTTACCTTTTCCATATGATGTCGGATCACAAATACCTATTAGCATACAATTTAGATTGATTTCACGCCGAAATTTGATTACACCGTAGAGGCACCATTTAGCACCACTTGGTTGAATTAATTTATTCAGTTCATCAATTGTCTTATAGTTATACTAATAACAATCGTAATATATGAGTTGGAATTTTCTTCCACACACATACTTTATTAGATGTGGTATTGACGGCAACAGTGTTTGGTTGTGCTGATGACATTTATCTAGAAAAGAAAGTAACATCAAACAAAAACAAAAACCAGCAAGCGACAAATGATTTTAAGTTTCTTGTTTATAAATTCTTGTCCAACATAATAAGAAAAGATACAGTCCAGAAAAAAAAGAGAAAACAAAAGCAGAAAAACGACAAGAACAGAAAACCAAAGGTCGAATCAACTGATAGACACATACTGTACAAAATAAATTTCAATCATCATTCGTTCTACCGAATAGAGAAAGAAAAAAACAAACGATTTAGCAAAATATCGAAATGTACAATATGTGTGAATAAAGGACAGCAAAAAAAAAGACATATATATATATATATATAGTACCTTTGACATACATTGTTACTCATAAAACAAAACAAACACACACCCACGCACCGCCGACTTTACATCGTACTGTTCAATAAACAATTAATTAGATATTTCTTAGATTATGATCTGTCTTTTTTTTTCCGTTGATTATCATCTTGTTTAAGTATACGAATTTCTGCTTTATAGGCTTGTGACAGTCCTTTTTGCCAAAACCGTATCATTGCCAAATCACTCGCATTTTCAACATTAAATATTGACATTAGTCGGCAATCGTTAGATGATACTGTTGTCGCTGTTTGACATCGGCCAAATTGAAAGTAAACTTTTGCTTTGCTAAAAAATGAAAATAAAAAACAAACAAAATTAGAGGTAGATCTAAACACTATTTAAGCATTAGATTTTATTGAGCTCTATGCTTATGGTATACAACAAGATTATTACATGTAGTCAGCAAGATAACACTTTAATATAAACGTATCATAGGGAGCATTATTGAATGAGAAAATTGACCAGACTTCAATGAAAGCTTATGTGGAAAAACTGCTTATTAATAAAAAATATATGTTAGCAATTGAAATTCAACTATGTACCACAATAAAACGAGTGCAATCATAATATGATATTTAGCTCATGTTGCTTCATTATCTCACTACAAGAAAATGCCTTGTTACAGATAGTAGTGTGCTATTTCAATTCTAAATGGTAGAAGTATCGGTTGCAATTGAAAACCAACTTTTGAAATAAAAGTATGATGAACATTCACGATGTAAAAGATTCAATCATAAAAAGGCATGATACATTTTAACTCTATCTAAATTTACGGCAGAAAAGTGAATGAAAAGAAACAATTTGGTTATCTTTATTTTCCGGAGAACGATCTTTTTGTGTACTCAAAAAAAGTGAGTACACTATAGAATCGGTCAGTGTGTCCGGCCCTTAACACGATAACCTTTGAAAACCTCATCCAATTGTCATGAAATTTTGTACACATAATGATCTCATTAATATCTCAGTCGAGTTCGAAGATGAAAGCAATCTGTCAAGAAATGGCTGAGTTATCGAAAAAATTGTCATTATTGACCAGACCATCTCTGAGGGGGAGTACAGAGATTTTTTGAAAAAAAACGTTTTTTTCTCAGAATTATTCACAACATATATAAATCGACTCAGTTTTTAACGTTGATTCCGAATCTGATACTAGTTTTGAACTAAATCGTAGCTTTCTAACGAAACATCGCCTGAAAACGGTCTCAAAATGCACAAAAACTGCATCCAGAAACCAAAGTGCCTAATTTCTCATGGTAATTTCGGTGTTCAGACATTCTAGAATGACTCATATGTCCCATATACTTTTTGCAGTACACATAGCTTTCGGATGAAATTCGATGTTTCCACATTTTTTTCTAATCAATTCGTTTTCCTGTTGCTTATGTGTAGATGAAGAAAATTGAAAAATCAAATGGTTTTAAACAAAAAGGAAAAATGCCGTACGAATTTCATTTCTCATTATTCAAGATACACTAGTCAGTGAATGTATGAATTAGAAAAATGAAAATATTTTCGACCTTGAAACGCTTCGCAATAAATAGTATGTAAAAATTTCTTTTAAAAAGAGCAAAATAGTCAAAAGCTTTTAGCAAAATAAAGCTATTATATTCTTCGTAAGAATAAATTAAATCGTTTAGATTTTTACTTTAAATATTTAATTTTATTATGTATAATAATAGATTCAAATGCTTCTTCATCCAAAATATTATCTGTTGTTAAACCAAGAATTGTTTTTACATATCTAGGCGCTAAAACAAAAACATGCTTGAAATCAATTTTTAAGAAAAATGAAAAGTACTAACCATGATTCTCGGATCTTGAAGGTGGTACTGATTCTAATTTAACAACACGTAGATTATCATCAATATCATCAAGGATAATTTTTACAACAATTGAATTACTATCGTTAAAGTCTTCTGTTATCGATGATAATACCTCTTTTGTTAATACTAAATCAGTATCAAACAAAACTAAATTTGCTGTACATGGTACTATTTTATTTGTAACTTCAATTAAATTAAAACAGCCATCAGGCAAAAGTAACTATAAGGAAAAAAAAGAGCAATTAATCAAATAAATAAATAAATATTTCTTTTTTTCAATTTTCATTTACTCGAAAAACACTTGCTAAAGCACGAACTAAGTCTTTATTATCCGTTCTATTGGTATATTTGATAATTAATCGATTTCCGATAACCCAATTATGTAGAATATGTTGTAAATATTTTGCATTATTTAATTTTTTGATAAATAATTCATATAATTTAAATGCTTCGTGGCTATTCGATGAATAATTATATTGAAGCGAATCGAAATCATCTTCCTCTTCTAGAAAATTTTCATTTTGATGATAAGCATCAAAATTTGAATAAAGTGATGCAGCTAAATAACTTAGACATTCTGAATTATTTGTTAATGTTGATGATAGTAGTACCGAATTTTCAGTACCATTTATTACAGATTTGGATACAATTGTTGTTCGACGACGTTTAACCAGGGAACTAGTTACTTCTTCATCGTCTAACACATCTAATGACAATAAGAATGTTGAGGAAACGTTTTATTTCTTGTATTTATTTTTTACCTTTTCGTTCTAGTTTTGTTGTTTGTTCTTCTGTTGGTAGAGCATCAAAAAGTGTTTCTCTTATTGCTGTATTAGCTATTCGAAGTAGCCAAACAAATAGTGCATGTATACGATAGGTTACTTTTGAGTCATGTACAATATCACTTAGCATTCGTTGTAATGGAACAGTAGGTGGGGGACGAAAAACATATGTTGTAATTGTTGTTGATGAACCATTTAACTTCGTATTTAATTTAATACGTCCTTCTTGTTCATAAGTTTGATTTGCATCATATTGTAACCAATAAACAGCGTGTCTCAAACATTCAGTTAGTACTTTCATGAGAGAAAGAAGATGATATTTATCATTACATAAATAACATAAAGAGTAAAGACGTTGACTACCACGAGCATGAAAATCTTTACATGAAAATGCCAATGATAGACAGTAACCGCTTTCATCATCACCAAACATTACTGGAGCATCAACTTCAACTGATTTCTGTAAGAAACAAGATTTAAAATAGAATGTGTAAAAAAATTTACGATAGAAACTCTAAGTCAGAAATGTTAATCTGTGTAAAATCTATGGAATAACCAGTTTGCATTTATTAGTATCATAGAAAACATAGTTTTCATTAAAAAAAAGATTGTTCTTCACAGCTGAGAATTTTCTTAGTCAATCATTCCTATTGTACTAAGTCAATAGAAATGAATATCTACGTGATTGGGCTTCGAAAAGTGTTTTCTTTCGACAATCCACTGAATTTCATCATTTAAAAGTCTATTTTTTATGACATATCATGTCTACTACTACTTATATGAATATTTGACAATGTTTTGTAAAATCTCTTAGCATTCTACTTGAATCAGAGCAATAATAAACTAGTCTATAATATAAGGCCAGTGCTCTGAGAGTGATGAGAATTCCCATTATCAATGGGTATGGCGCTTTATTCAAGAATAGAGAAATATCCTAAGTGCATTTTTTTTCTGAACAGCTTATACCAAGGTTATGAGAGATGACGTTCTCTGCTTAACAAAAGTACGCATAGTATTCTTTTTTTTCATGAGACTCGACCATTCTGCAACTTCACAATCTTTCTCGTCTGCGCTAAAACTATCAAATATCTATATATAGTATTATATTTTGTAAAGAAATAAATAAGATATATTCTTGTTAGAAGAATGATTTTTACTTATTGACATTTACGATTAAATATGTTTCAGTTATATTTATAGAAAAAATAATGTATTAACATGCCTCAACATTTAAACTTCGTACGCATGCATTTCGTGTATTTTTGAATAGTTCTTGATTAGGTGTTGATGGAGATGAAATATATAACATATGATTTACAGAATCAATAGACGAAACGAGAACATGATCAGATGATAATGTGCATGACTAAATGAATATTATCTTGTTATTGAACTAAGAACAAATGAATCTTCCGCTATTTACCTTGCACTCCACTTTTCCCTGAAGATTTTCTGATTTAATATATTGCGAATACACTGTTTTTAAAACTTCATCATCATTATCGTTTGGATCTTGAACATGTGTTCTAGCTTCTGTGCACAATAATATTTGTGGGCCGTGTAGGTCACAAAAATGTTGTAATGCACAAGACGCATTCATAAAAATATTAAACAATGAATATTAGCATGTGAAGCATGAAGTATTACAGAAACGAATAAGTACTATCTAAAAAACAAAGAAAGCACAAAAATCTATGGCTAAAAACAACTGTTTTATTTGAGATTCATCACTGTTTCTAAATATTTAGTGAAAACAAACAAAGACAGCAATATTCAACGAAATGAATTATTTGAAATCACCGAACAAACAGTTTAAAACCATGATAAGTATCAATCACGCGTGGTGCTAATAAATGGAATCTCCATCGTTTTATACAATTAAATGTGTATAAAAATGGATAAATAAATAATGATGGAATGTATGTTAAAAGATGATAAATAAAATGAAGTCGCTTCAAAAATAAATGTTCATTCAAATAAGTATCAACATCAGCATTCGTCGGTTGACGAAAATTGAACTCAGGATAATAATATGAAAATGAACATTTCGGTTCGAGATGATTTGCGCGCCATGAGGCATTTGAATCATGACTTGTTTTTGATGTTTCATCAGTCATATTTAATTTAAGCCATATTTCTGTAAAAATACCTAAATGTACTTGGCCTAATTCAATTAATTTTGGCATTTTCTTTTGTTGATTAAATGTTTGTAAAACAATGTAAACACTTGGTTTACATGTGTTATTAAATGTTTGACAACGTATTTGTTTTAACCATTTATGTGAATGATATGTATCAAAAACAAGAATAAGTCTCGATGATGATGATGATTCATTCTCACACCACCATTGAAAAAGAAGATTCAATGTTATTTTTTGATTATCTAAATAAAATAAGAAGAAGATTTTAATTTTTAACAAAAAAATGATGTGATCTCTTTACCGGCTAAAACTATATCTCCATTATCGCACGTTGGACCAGAAAAATAAAAAAAATATGTATCATAATGTCGACCATCATCCATACGGCGTGCAAAAAATGTTTTTAATTTATTATCAATAAAATTCATGCTTACGCCGGACGACGAATAATCACAACCAAAAATATCAATTAAATTATTTGCCATGAGCCGTTCAAGGCCGTTAAGTATATTTGTGCAACGTTGGCTGCTTTCATAAGCGTCTTGTTGAGAAAGAATCTGGACGTTTCTACTATTTATATTTTGATAGAAATTTAAGAATATTCTATTGAAAAGCAAAAATTTTATTTTTACCTGCCAGAAAATAGTCCATTATCACGAGTTCTAAAAAGAATAAAAAAGAATAATATAAATTCTTTTTGAGTATAATTCGTATTAGAGTCAAGTGTGTTAAATACGTAGGAGCCAATTAGAGAAAGCTCAAGAAGAAAGCCAGTGCTTTCCAATAGGAAAAAAAATCAAATACCTTAATCCAAATTTTTCGACCAAGAGTCCGTCTGTTTTCCAATCTCTCGCTCTATAATTCAAAATATCTCTAAAATCGTATCTTTCAAAAATGAATAATAATTAATCGCGTGATAAAAATGAAGCTTTTAATTCTTGTACTCATCTACACTGTTTTCATTAATATCATATTCCCAGTGTATTACTATCTCTACTTTGAAGAAAACATTTCATAACAGTTTATTCTATCAAGATTTACTTTTTTATCACTAAAAAAAATGAATTGCCTTTAGAATTTTCTTAGTTGATTTATTTTCTACATAGAAACTATAGGTTTGATTTTTCTAATATGATATACAGTTAACCAACTTTCACTTAGAATCAGAATGAATTGCTCAATGTTTATACTGCAACAATACTAAAGAAAGATTGAAAGTCAAACAGCTTTTAGGTGTATGGAACTTTGATATGTTATAGAAACCGTTTTAGATTTGAGTACCTTTTTTTTTAAATATCTTCTTCGAACGAATGAGTATACAAGAGTTATTATCATTTAATAAATTGGTTGAAAAAACAAATCGTTTTGTAATATCAATATTTATTCAATTACACATGTTGACATGTAACGATTATTAATAGGACAAGATTATGAAGATATTAATAGTTAGTGAAAAAGAAAACATATCAATTTAAAGTCTTATACTTATTTTATCCATAAATAAAATGTCTTATATACTAGAAAAACAACTAAAAAAACCGTTAAGAATCTGTTGCTGTCAATATTTTCATTGATAATTAAAAGTTTCATTGAAATCTTTCGCTTGGAAATAAATCTGTATTTTTAGTGAAAATAGTTGAAACGCCTGTATTTTGTATGTTGATTTAATCATTGTTTATTTTAAACAATTCTCTCAATTTTAATCAAAAATTTAAATTTTCATCATTCATTAACCTTTGATTCACTACTCAATGGATACACGCCGTATTGCATTTATTTCTTGTCAAACTAGCATTTACATCAACTTTAACGGCCATTGCTTTATTATAGAAGAAAGAAACTACTTACTCAACGGCCGGTTCAACTAATGCATAACCAACGCATGATCCACCAACAATTGATGTTAACTGCTTGACAAGTGCCAAGACCAAGCATTCAAAATCGATTGTTAAAAGAAATAATACAAGAGAATAAGTTGTACATGTATCATAATGTAATAAACTAATGAAACATGTTAATATTGTTGAACATACAAGCATTGGCCAAGCAATAAGACCAAAATATCGAATACCTTAATAAAAAGAAAAATGTTAATACATTTCTTTTGTTTTTTGAGGGAAAACTTCAGTTATACCTCTTGATGCCATTAATTTCGTAAATGAAATTTTATGATGTTCATCGGCATTATTCGCTTGAGTCATAGTTAAATAACAATCAATTAATTTGTTGGATAACATCCAAAGTAAACTACATGTTAGCGAACGAAATATAAACCATATTCCTATACTAATGATAAATAATGGTACAATTATAAACCATTCATTATGAAAACGAACTGTTTGTCCAATAATATAAATACTATGTAATGGTAATAAACAATAGATCAATATCATAAAACGTTGAAATAAAACTCGATATGAGCTTGATAAATGTAACAATAAAATCCAACGTTCAAGTGATGTTAAAGAAATAAAATAAAGTTCAATAATAGGTCTTCCAATTAAACGTAAAAGAAAGCAAAAGCAAGCTATATAAGAATATGGTGTATAATAATTGTAAAAATATCCTAAATTGAATAATAAAAGTATGAAACCATGAAATGCGCGTAAACGCAATGTTATTATTAATAAAAACAATGATAATAATAAATAATAAACGGATATTGATTGAACTGTTATATATAAACCAAAACAGTAGCCTATGAATTCAGCTAATTCATTATAATGAATAAAATAAAATGTTGTATTATTTAATAAACGTATTAGATTTGATAGGAATGAACATATTATTGATAAGATTAATAAAAAATTAAATAAAACAAAATTTGTTGTCGATGATACTGTATTTGTTATTAATGTAAATGTTGACAATGATAAACATAATGATAGAAGAAATGATGTTGAAAATATAAATGTTTTTGAAAATAAATAGGATGATACACGAGTTAAGAAAAACAATATTATGTAGAATATGACAACAGCAATTAATATCCAACGTGATATTAAATGAATATCAGTACGATATTTGACAACGAATAAATCGTGTAAACAAGCGAAAAAAATAAGACAATTTGATATGCATAAAAGAAGTCGATCAATACTTCTTGTTTGCATCTAAAAATAGATACAAAAATCGACTTATTGTCATATATGTATTATGTAATCATTTCTCAGCCGTGTAATTTTTATTTAGTTACTTTAATGGAAGAAAAAACTTTTTACAATTGCATGTCTTGCTTTTTTAATTCAGCCATGTGACTTAGTGTCACTAGACGCAAACAATAATAAATCATTGTTGAAAACTTGTTAAATGCTACTAATTCACCATAATGATCTAATAAATATAACCACAGTAAATTCGTATATTTTTCTTGAATTTTATATATATGTAATGTATCCAGCAATCCAGTATATTTATTACAGGTTGAAAAAAGTAAAACTACTAATAATAATCGAATACATGTTGAATCATTGACGTACTCTTTCCATGTATGAAATAAAGTATCAGCTTCTTCAATTAGTGACTGTCCAAATAATATCTGAAGTAATAAATTAATCGCAGGCCATATTGGTAATTGATTATCTACTGTTTCAATCATACTAATTCGAACTAAAAATGTCACATTATGTTTAATTAATGCATTTTGTTGATCATCGGATAATTGTTTTATTTCGGGTAAACTTTTTAAAAAATTGATTAATGATGTTTCATATTTTTGATAATATCGAATATAATGTTGTATCTTAATTCTTGATTTAATTGGTTGTTGACACAGTGATGCATATTCATTTTTTTCAAATGATAATAATGGTAAATAACAGTATTCTTCATATTTATTATGAATTCTTTTAATATTATTCCAATCGTGTGTTTCTAATCGAAGTTCTTGTCTATGATCTAATGAATCATTCAGCTGAACTACATGAGATGGCATTGTTCGATTTTCATGGATTCTTGCACGTTTTAGACGTTTAAATTCTTCACTTAATATTGATTCTTTTTTCATTCCAGCTTGAAAGCATTTTTTCAGACGACAATAAGAACAATCGCGACGTGTTTTCATATTAATAATACAATTATCAGTTGCATATCGACATTGTAATGACTCTAAGCCATATAATGCATTACGACGAAAAAAAGCTTTACAACACATACATGTTCTCACAGAAAAATTAAAACCTGTGGCTGGTGCATCACATACTGTACAAATATAACCTTGCTGATGAACGGATGATTTTTTATTAGCAGCTGATAAATTATTCATTTATGACGAATTTTATGTTTTGGAATTAATACAAAGACCCTGTGATTTTGTTAAACATGAAAGTGGATTTTGCTAAGCAATATTTTTATTTTATGGTGCTGATCGGTATGAACGATACTATCGTTTTGTCAAATAGCATTGAATGTAGCGATCATAATTTTATGACTTCAAGTAGTTTAATGCAAATAGTGACATCTTTTTGATGATATAAATGAGAATTTGAGTTTGTCTTTGAACAAATTTGTATGTTTAATGAATTTATTACGTTTTCTTAAAATAATTTTACATAACAATTTGACTTTACTTTGCCATTGATTAGTATTGGTTACTTCGATTCGTTTACGTGGTGGTAGAAATGTTAGAGTAAACCGATAACATTACTCGTATATTCACTTTTTTTTCAAAGATCGATGAAGATGTTTATTAAAACGCAATTGATTTTACTTGCATTAATATCTGTTGTACTCAGTCAAACAGATGACGAAGAATCATTTCTATTTGTTACAAAACAAACAGTTAATCGATTTATCGTGCAAGACAAAGATTTAACTGTTAAATACGGATTATACAACTCTGGTCCAACGTAAGAATATTGTAAGAATTATTCGTTTTTTTTTCTTCATTTCAACTCTTTTAGAACAATTTTCAATGTTAATTTGAATGACGTGCTCAGTTATCCATTTGAAAAATACGACATACTTGTCGGTACACTGACACCAAAATGGGAACGAATTAATGCGTAAGTCTCATATTAATATTTACATTTATATAGAGGCTTGCTTTGTTTTCTTTCTAGCGGATCTAATTTAACTCATGTTGTTGTTCTTAAGCCAAAACAAAGTGGTATCAGTAATAGTTCGCGTGCTACTGTTACGTATCAAAAGAGTGAAAAAAATACTGAAGTCCAAGTAAGGAGATCATATTTTGTGATTATTTGAAATTGAAACAGCAGATATGTTTGATTCAATAAATAGTACAGTTCAGTTTGATGACAATGAGAGAGAAAGATTTCTTTTTGCTTGAAGTAGTAACCCGCAGATAATAGTCCCGCGATAATAAAAAAATAAAATACTTACACATTATTTACAGTTTTTGAAAAAATTCAATTTCTGTTAGAAAAATGCTGCCGAGATAGTTTATTCCGAATGATAAATATCAACACAACAAAGAAGATATGTTTAAGAGAGATTCTATAGTATAATTTGAATATACCGTTTTTATTATTTAAAGTATGCAATAATATTTTTCTGCAAAATTGACTGATCAGTGTTTCGAAAAATAAAATGAGCCATCATACGGTTAGGTTTAGTAATATATGTATTTCTGACATTTGATTGAAGTACTATAGAATCCCGTTTTCAGATTATTTTTACAATCAATGCCAAAACTGCACATTATATTTCATTTATTTCTGTTTTAGAAAACCTATTCATCGGAAATTGGTGATGTTTACATAATGACAGCACGTGAATATGATCGCCGATTTTCATCACACATTGTGAGTATTCTTATTTCGTTTTTTTTTGTTTTGTATAAGAAAAAATAATGTTTTCTATCTATTTAGATTGATTGGGTTCTTTTTACTGCTATGGCAAGTCCATGTATTGTTTTTCCATTTTTTCTTTGGTTTAAAAGCAAGAGCAAATACGAATCATTATTATCGAAAGATAAACAAACAAAAAAAGCTCAATAGATAAATAAACATTATAAACAAATCAAATATATTTGGTTACTCGACGTGCGATGCTCCTTTGCTTTTTCTTTTCGTTTTTTTTAACTTGTCATGTCAACGGTGATTGAGTGTGTTCTTGTTAGTTTCGTCTTCATGGTTATTGTTATCTGTTTCAAACAAGGAAACCTCTTTTGTTGTTTGTTTTTAGAATTGCCGTCGATCTTTTCTTTTGTCGCTCTTTATTGTTATCGATGCCAGAAAAAAAAATAGGGGAAAATGATTTTAAAAGAACATCATTGTGCTGAAATGTTGAATTTGTAAAAATATGGTTAAAAAAGAATGCGTCATCTTTTACAGTTATCTTCATTTGCAATACATGTTTAGTTCTATTGATCGATTTGAATGGCATCTGTGGGTTCTGATGCGCTTGGCACTTTTCTTAACATGCATGTTCTGTAGACTAACAGCCAACGTATAACATAGCTATAGTGAACTTCGATTGATTTTTCATTTGTTTATGCCACTGTTAAACGATGCATAACGTTTAAGGAAACACTCAAAGTCTTCGGTGTGTACTGCTTCAGCTCTGTTTTGTGTTTTTTTTAATTTTTGACTTTTAAATAGATAGCTTTTATAGACACGTCCTGATATATTTAGGTCAATATTCTCAAGAAATAGGTTTCTTTCTCTTCCTACTTAACGAAATAAAATATATCTATGATCAATGTGGTAGTTCAATTACAGATCTTTACAACATCGAAAGGTTCGCTAAGAATATTTGTGATCAGTTCCATCCAAAACCTATGCTTTCGAAAACAGTACAATATCATGTGTGTCGTTAAGTGATTTTAAGTGAACGAAGAAATTTTCAAAAACTTTTTGAAGATTAAAAAGGTGCTTGTAAGAAGTTCCGGGCAAAGCAAAACAAGTAGTATCTTGCGCAGAGTTATATTAGTTTGATTGAAAAGATCAGAAGAAGTAAATCACCCCCCACAATAACAGACACCAGGTATTCTATTATGTGCCAGCCTAAAAGTTTTCCAGGGGGTCTTGTATTAAGAACCGCATTTTTTCTAATATTTAATTAAAAAGGTTTTCCAGAAAACTAAGGTGATTGTCAGGATTCCCATCAGAATTTTAAGGGTGTCATTAGAATTGTGACCACATTCTCTTAATGTTTCTAACTTAAAATGCTAAGAATCAGGAATATTTTGATGGGAAAACGCTAATTAAAGTTCGTTTGAAATTCTAATAACAATAAAATTATGCCAACGTTTCTTGCGTTAGTCATGCTATAGAAGGAATTTACTTAATCTATACACAATTAATAGAATTGGAGAAATAAAATATCGTTTATTAAATGAAACTAGTCGACAGAAACAATTCATGCACAAGAAAAGATGTACGATCCTAATTTACAATCAAATCGTTGCAACATAATAATTATTATTGACATTTCCTGTATTTTGCAACATCTAAAATCCGGAATATAATAATTTAAAATCACATCAAGGAATTATTTTGTAAGATCCCTTCATTAGCTTAAATATACACATGGGTGACCATAATGCAAACTTAATCAGAAAAATGAATGTGTTAACATGAATATATACTTGAAATTTATCCTTTCATACTTGATTTGATATAATAAAAGTCTGCATTATATTTTTTGCTTCTCTCTATCATTTTCTATTCCGAATCGAATTTTGAAGTAAAGCAAAACAATAAGAAGTGTAATAGAAAAAAGGATTTGTTTGCTTTTATAATGTTGAAAAAGACGTACTTGAGTTTATAGGATTAGTTTCAGTGACAAGAGAATCGTTTCGTGTAGCTATATATGTAAAAGATCTGGTCATGTTCAAATGATTGTCTTGAAGAACAGCCACCATTTAAAATCTTTTTTTATTTTATTTTATTTCATATTTATATACATCTATTAAGCGTCATCTCCATTGAATGCAACTGTCGATGGTCGTCTACTGTTCAATTGTATGCTGGCCATTGTTTCATTACTAGGCTGTTTGGATAAATCATTCAGTTGGAATACACATGTCTGCGTCATCGAAGTTGATCGTTGTCTATTGCGACCATTTCCCAGCTGATTACGATGATCTTGGTTGATATTTGAACTTAAATAAGTATCATTTTTAGTTTGTCGTTTTCGTCGTCGTCGCAATCGAACTTCTTGATTACTTGATTTCATTTCCAGAAAATCATAGATATCACTGAATGTATCTATGCACGCTGCGCGAAATTTTGAACCAGCCAAACAATAAAATAAAAAGTTCGTCTAAATTAAAAGAAAATAAATTGCCAACCATGAAACAACAGAACACAAGCCAATAATGATCATCTTCATTCAAGATTCATTGAAAGCAGAATTTCATCAAGAATTATTTGTTGAGGAAAATTAACGAGACTTGAATGCTCGAAAACCAGCTTTTGTTCAACTTATTGATATTCTCATGATTGGCCGGAAATAGATGACTCGTACATACAAAAATAATTCATGTCAATCTTTCCATTCTCATAAATTTCTCATAGAAAACAAAGTACATCAATTATTTATAAAATCATCTATCTATGGTAGAAATTTCAACTTCAGCAGTGAAAATGTTGTTGCCTAATGTTGTTTATATTTTTCCAAATATGTATGAAAATTGCATAGTTATACTATCGTCTCTATTGACTATTGATTTGCAGATACTACTCAATTTTCTACATGATTCTAGTCTTTTATAGGACTGCATAGGGACAAGATGAATGTAATATTTGAACTCAATATAACAGTTTTGAATCGATTTGCTTATATTTGTAAGCTCTTCTGTAGACATTTTTGTCGATAAATTTAGCTGGAATTACCCTCGAGATCCGTCAAATAAAAATGAATTTAATTAGTAAATGTTTTAGACAGGCGATCACAGTTTGAAAACGCAAAAAAAGACATTGGATGACACAAGAGCATACAAATTAGCCATCAAAATGTTGACATCCAATTCCTTTTTTGACAGCACTCAGATGAAAATCTCAATTGAAGTTTTCAAGAAAAATTGACTCACACAACCTTTGACGTGCATCGAAATTGATCCAATTTTATATGCAAGTATCAAATATTTTATCATGTTTGACCTGAATTCGATTTTTTTTTCTATTACAGTCTATTAAAAAATGGGTAAGATATAAAAAAAAAGACATCGGTCTCTCTCTATACGTAACGCAAATAGGCTTCTTGAGATACTTCAAAAATAATGAACACAAGTGAAAGCAGTGATAGGAGAATTCTGTGCATTTTGTTTTTTCGTTGACTCGTATCGAACTTTCCATTCTTACTTAGCAACACTTTAACTATCCGTTCGATTATGAGATCGATAGTTGTTTGACATGTTTATTTTACTCTAAATATTTCATTTCGAAACAAAGTGCACGATTGGTTCTCCGATTGATGAATAACACAGTTTTATTAAATAGTTACTATTCACTATGCTACGTCGAAATTTTCTAAAAAATAGATTGATTCTTCGTGAAATTCTGCGTTTCAGGATCTATCAATAAACTTAAAATAAAAATCGCTGAAGAATAATTTTTATACACTCCTGCCGATTTCTTTTTCTTTTCTTGTTCTATCAATTACATACCGCTGAACTCATTTGAAGCCACAGAACAGACAAATTCGTCAATAAAAAACGTAATTTAAGTCGTTTTACATCATGATGTTTTGGTGGATTCATCTGACGAATATAATCAATAATAGCTGGTGTTGTAAAAAAATAGAAACTTAATGAAACTGTAACGAGCATGACTGTTAATTGTTGTTGTTTTCTATTAAATGACGTAGCATTCAATCGATGGATAGCATTGTCAGGATTCATTGATGTTTTTGTACGCTGTCGTTTAGCCATAAATAATTCGTAGATAACAAATATATTTGCTAGTAAAAGAATATCAGGCACAAAGTAAAATATTGTTGGTTTTATAATACGTATTATTTTTTGATAGCGAGGACGAACCATACATTTTTGTTGAAATGTATCTACGATAAATATAGTTGGGAATGTTGATGAAAATAAAATAATTGATAAAACTATAAGAATATATATTGAATAACGTGCACGTTCTGTAGTGCAAAAACGTTTGGCTAAAAATGGTGAATGTACAGCAACACAACGTTCCAATGTCATTATAACCATAATCCAAACACTGCAAAATGTGACAAGATCGGTTAAATAAGCAAAAAAACAATGTAATATGTATGATTGTATATAATATGATATTGCTAAATTTGTAATATGAACAGCAAGAACTAATATATCAAATATTGCTAAATATGTAATAAATACACTTGATGATGTGTCACGTAATGAACGACGATTGATAACAATAAGTGCAAGCCCATTACCAAGTATTCCACATATAACCATAACAATTTCCATGATTGTTATCCAAAAATTTACTTTTTGTATAAATTCAGTTATTTCAATGCGAATTAAACTGTCATTTAACATTGCAACCGCTGAATCACTCTGATTAAAACTGTTCAATTGATAACTACTACTGGCATTATTCTGAATCATATTTGAAAGAAAAGAATCTATAACACGACAAAAGACTAATAGGAAATGAAAGAGAATAGATTCAACAAGAAACTATTTATCTAATCGATGACGTTCGATTTCTATTAATAAAACTAGACTCTGATTTTCTTAGTACCAATGACGCATGAAATCAATCTCTCTTAGTTGACCTTTGTTTTTCTTTTTGCAACAGTATACTGATATTCTTTATATTCTGTTTTCTCTGTACAGATAAATCACACATCTAGAAGCGCCACTAGTCTGTTCTATACTGATTACCAATCGCCTGTGTAATCAACCTAAGAGTTTGATGTGGGCTTTTAACCTTACATAATACTTCTGTAATATTAGAAAAAAAAGTTTACTCTATAGATCATTGTTCAATGATGAAATATAAAGATGAATATATCGTAATGTTGTTTTTTCTTCATAGATAATAAATTTGATTATAAAGTTCTTATTTATGTCACTTGAAATGAGACGAATGATTTTTTTTGCTTTCTGATAAAAAAAAAGAAAAGAAAATAGAAGGAAAAAAGAACTGGATAAATATTATTCTCAATATTTAAGGAACCAATCATTTAACATCAGATGGTTTACTTACTGGTAAAAGCGTCAAAATGGATTTTTCTATTGATTAATTCAATCAACGACAATGGAAGGAATTTCTTTTTTTTTCTCTACTTATTTGGTTTTTCACGATACTTTTCCCGTGAAGAACCGCTATTTGATCTTTTCTTCGTCTTTTTCATAAACTAACAAGAAAAAAATAGCATGAAAACTTATCAGTCTCGACTACATTCCTAAATCATACAGTAAATACCGTTGGGAGACTCGATTATTTATGAAAAAATGATTTCGGAAAAAGAATCACGAATAATGGGAAACGACAAAATCTCTAACACGCACACTTTACTCCCACTTCTGATAAGTTTATAAGATTGATGACTCGAAATAATTATAGATAACAATATGTTAAAAGTTAGTATATTCATTGACAAATAACCAGTTTTCTATCAAGCGTATGAATGCACTTATGATAAAGAAGGAAGTCTGATAAATCAACAAGCATCTGGTAAGATAGTCTTTTTGTTGCTGTTGTTGATATCTAGCTTTGGTTAGAAGCGTTATTCATTCTTACTAAGATATTGACAATCTAAAAACTATGACCTTATTCTTCTATTTTGCAATTGTATCCAGATTGTGCTTTCTTTTCTTTTTTCTTTGTATCAATAATCGAAGGAGAAATGTTATCAATAAAAAAGAACAACAGAGAAAAGCAATAAGTTAGTGTTGATAATTTCCTGTTTTCTTTTTATCAATAAATCACAATCATCAGGCTACATATGCAAATGTATGAAAAATCCTTAAATGTACTTCAATGAATATTGAATTTATCATATATACATAGGTTACGAATCTTCTGTCAAATTTTTTATATACATTTTATTTGATATAATACGTGCTGAATGGATTCATTTATTAATGTAAGAATTATTTGCTATCTTATAGAAACTGACATTACTAATGATGTCCTATAGAGTAACAGACACAGACAAAACGACATGATATTACTTACATAGAAAAACTAACTACTTCATTTGTAATATATCATAATATTTAGAGTATGTGCAACATCAAAGGCACTGCTAATAACAGATGTAAAAATATCTGACAAATAATAAGTAGACGATATATAGAAAATAATAAGTTTGTTAGAGGAAATTGTAAGCTGACAAATAACACGATTATTAAGTAAATAATTGTATATTCATGATTTTTCCCCCTTTATGAACAAACAAGCGTCTGATCCGAATAAAAAGCTATTTATCTTTCCTTAACGATTACTCCGCTACTTTAAATAAATTTCTGAATTAATAATTTTAAAAAAAGAAAACGGAAGCGTAGAAATTATCTTGATATCTTATTATGTAGAGGTAGATTTCATCGAGCTTCGCTTATTATATCTAACATTATCTTTATTTTTCTTACAATAGTATATAATGGATGCTTTTCCGCTCTGTTAATAATAATAGAAAACGGACTTGGAACTTTCCTATAATAGATGATGAGAGATCAATTTATGTTATATACAAGGAGCGTCAACAGTAAAGAATCAGAAAAGAAGAGAAATAGAATACTTTTATTGCCATATTGTGACAATTACAAATTTATTTATTTCTCATTCTCAACTTGACGACAAATGAATATTTTATGCTATAGCAACTAATAATAAATCTTTTATGAATGCCTATATACTTATAAATAAAAGCATGGCATTTTATTTTTGACAAGAATAAAGTTCATTCTCAAAAGTGAATAAAATCGTGTCAACTTATTTAATTCTATCTATTCCCGTTGAACCACATCACCAAAATTTATATGAATCATACAAATAATTCAATAAAGTTAAAAATGTAAATGAGACACACATGAATTAGTATTCCAAAACATGATATGTCACGTCGTTCATGTATGTAACGTAAATATGAATAATGTTCTACTCTTTCTTTGCATTCATATTGAATCATTTGATACACAGGCTATGCATAATCAGATACGCATTCATAATATTTTATAAAAAACACAATGAAAATGTTCATGGTCACAATGCTCTCGTTAGATATATATTTATAAAAACAAAATACTATCTCTTTTACATAATGATGATGATGAATCTGTTGGATGATAGAATGTGCAAAGAAACCGCTCCAAAGCATTCTTTTTCTTTAGAAGAAGTCAGCGTTTTCTGTATTATTTACTCAGTTGATTTTTAATACTAGGTACAGGAGATCCCTTGGAACCTCTGCAAATTAATTTTTATGGCAACTTGACTTTTAGATGAAGAAATTTTTATTTTTGACAAAAAAATTTTCAATCTTTTTCATATGGAACATATTGGATTGATATCTTTCGTCTACTGTCAAATTTTGTTTTGGTCATAATCTTGAATTTTCTCTAATAAAGATTTGTAATGGATTTTTTCTGTAATATAAAATGAAAGCTTAACTGAAGGGAAACATTGTTTGAACTTTTATCTATATTATGAGTTCTTCCTATGAACTAAATCTTAATTCAAAATAAGAAATTATCAATCGAATATACTCTCTCATTGACGTATTGAACATGTTACGATCCCAGTACAAAATTATCAAAAGCAGAAAATTAAAAATCAAAAATTTTCTATCAATTACTTTTCAATTAATATAAAAATAAGAAATATTCTTTGATAGTTAAAAGAGTATTTTATCTCTTTTTTATTTTAAATTCCCATAAAATACCCATGATATTGTCTAGATTTTTGCTGATATACTTATTTCTATTTTCTTTTTGATTTAATGTATATTGATGCTTAGACCTTTGCATTCACGATCTTTGAATTAGACTAAAATAATTATAAGAATTATAACACGAAAAAAAAACTTTTCTCTAACAGTAAATTCAGTTCTTGTTGGTAAAAATATTTTATTCAATTAAGTTTTAATAGATGCAGGAATTTCGAACAAATTTAAGATAGAAGTACATGTATCTTGTGTTGTTAATGAATAGTCTCAAAGCAATGAAATGCTAATCTTAAGACAATTCATTATGCTCATATCCACAAAATCAAAGAGACGAACGTAATTCCTGAAAGATCAAAACTAGATATATTCGTCTTTTATTCTGAAATAAAACTAGATGGTATACGAGTTACGCTCGTATACGAAATGCGATGCGATGCAAAGTAAGAATACGGATCTTCACGAAAAATCTTCAATTCAGAGAAATCTTGAATACTTTTTATATCGACATGATGAAATTCATCACTGAGAAAACTCTATTCTTACTTAGCGGTACATTCTTAAGGATCGATTTCGATTGGTCGATTGGTTATCTCTCCATAAATTTCTTTCATTTTCGTCATTTTGGAACAACATTCCTGAGTGAACAAAACTTCAAATTGAAGATCCGAAAACGGATGTAAAAAGTTCGATCTAGATACTTCGGTCTCAAATTTTAATGAATTTTGTGTGACTTTTACTTCTCGAGATCATCAAGACATAAAATGATAATAATACCAATATACGCTAACGATAAGTACTTAGCAATTAAAAGACGACTATAATTGCGCATCGCTAGTTCACATTTTCGTGTCTGAGATAAAGGAAAACGATGAGGTATGTTCAGATTTCCGAAAAAGGAAATTACAGAAATTTCCGAAGCTTCCATCAACTCGATTACTACATAGCAAAGCAAATGAAAATTTTTTGAAAATATTTGAAAGTTTAGAAATTTCGGAATCTTCTGTAATTTCGGAAATTTCGCTTTGTACAGAATTTTGGAAATTTCAGAAATTTCGGAAATTGTATAATTTTGGGAAATACCAAACAATTTAGAACACAAGTACTTGAAATTTCCAAAACTTCCGAAATTTCCTTTTTTGGGAAGTCTGAACACTGCTGAAAACGATTGGAAAATTTTGATAAACACTGCATTTATTATGAGAAAAGGTCAAGAACATGAAAATGGAAATAGCTGTGCTATGTCTTTGATAAATTTCAAGCAACATGCAATCAATTAAAATGAACAAAGCAAAATAACTTTCAAATAATTAAAGATAGTGAATGAAAGATTAAAGAAAAACAGGAAATCATAGTACGATATAACGCACACAATTTAGACTGATCGAAAATGAATTACTATGAATCCCAACTGCTAATTGTTTATAAATGCAATTCATAAATCCCTAATTGGATCTCGTGCTGTTTATATTCTCTATACATAGATGACCTTTGATCTAGCTGCTTCCGTTCAATAATAATATGATTTATCGCTTGAAGAAATTGTCTCGTTATCTGTTAAGAATTCCGATCAAGTTCGGCGCAAACAAATAGCTATAAAATCAACAACAGAATTCGTTTGTAACGATATAGAAAATTGATGTTTTGAACTCGTATTAAATTTATTAAATACGTCAAAATAAGAATATTTATTTTCTAAAAACAATAATTAATTTTCATAATTTCAATTATAAATAAATAAAAATAATTGATTTTCTATATCGTTCATTAACTCATCGAGAATTTCAATTCTTATTTTGTGGTCAATGATCCTCTACAGATCATAGGAAAAAAACCTTATTTATTATTTGTAGTTAAATGTTTACTAGAACAATAAATAAAGAGAAATTTTATGTTATCATAGGTTTATATAATAAATCACATTTCGCATCAACTGTTGGTAACTTAGTAGTTGTTAAATTTGAACGCAAATCATTTGCAACCGACAAATGTGCTGATACAAATAATAAAGCCGTACATGGCATAGCAATAATAAATAATATAAAGAAAATTCGATCAAGAACTAATGCAACTAGTTGCCATTCATGTAAACGTTGTTGATTATCAATTTTTAAAAAATGATTATCCATGTCATATTCATTATGTGATTGTAATGGTAATAACCATTGTGTACGTATATATGTTTTAATTTGTTGTAAACATTGAAGTATTTCAACAGCCTTAAAAAGAAGAAGAAAAGACAAGATAGAATCTTGACTGGCGTATTAATGATGCTTTACCTGTTGGTTAGATGTTACGACTGAAGGTGTTATAGAAAAAATATGACATATATTCTTTTCAATACTACTTAAACGTCTTGGTTGATTTTCTTTGATCTCGCTTTTTGATAATGATTTTTTCTTTCTATATTTATTTATGCTACAAGAAACAAATGGACTTAAATGATCGAGTAATATTCTTTTCATATATGTTGGTACACATGCTATATGTGATGTTGATGGACGATGATATAAATATAGGACATAAACAGTCATAATGCATGATAGAAAAACTAAAAAAAAGTTTGCATTACAAAATAATGTTAATATTGGAGTTTCATCATCGGATTTAGGTATATATTCACTAAGTAATTGTAAATAAATAACTAATGATAATAATATTGTAACATTTAATGTTAACTTTTCGCCGGATTGCGGTGGTAGTAAAAATGTAAATAATGTTACAAATGAAACAAGTGTAAACGGTAATATGATTTTTATTAAGTAATGTAAATGGTTGCGTTTTAATATTAATGAAAAACGTACAAGACTATAATCAACTTGACCAAAATCCGATACACGTTCATCAGTAATCTCGGTATAAGAATGAACTAGTTCCCATTCACCACGTATAAATGAACGACCTTGAATAAGACGTCGTTGAATAAATTTAATCGACTGAGTATCGTGTGAGCCACTACGAATTATTATTGTACAATGTTGTTGATCAAATGGAAAATATGTTGAACGAACTTTACATATGGTTTTCCATAGATCTTGAAACATGAATCGAACATAACCTGAAAGAGAAAATATTAATTATATAAAGTATATTGTTTTTCAAGAGTAAACAATGTTTTACAATGTGTAAAATTTAAGTTTACTATTCGCTGGTTAAATATTATTTATTTAAAGAAAAATATCTCTTCGAACCTATTCATAAATTATAAATACATACCATCATGTCGAAGAATGATTGCATAATTTTCTCGATTTCTCGAATATTTCCCATCAGCTGAATTAACGACAACAACATCAGGTGTCCATAAATAACCTGAACCAACTGAAAGTTCAGTTATATTAAACCGAGAAGCATTCCATGACATATATGGATCACACCATGCACATGTTAATTGAATATTACTTGTGACAACCTATAGTTAGTTTCAAGCAAAATGATTATTTTAAAATTTTTTTAAAAAAGAAAATATAGGAAAAAGAAAACCTGTGCTTTTTCATTGACGCTTTCAATTTGAAGTAAAATTAAATTTGTATGAACTTTAGTAACACCTGCTTCGGGACAAACATTTTGATCATATGCTCGTTTATGAAATAATAATCGTCGCAGTTCGATTTCATTTGTACTTACACGCAAAATTTGTATATTAATATATAGGACGATTAAAACAAATCCTCGTAAGATATTTAACAAATCAGTAGAAATTGTCATAACGTTTTTCTGTCTGCTTTGGCTCAGTCTACTAGGCGAACATGGCAAGAAAAATGGCAATCGATAAAGAAACAAAACTAAATCCTTAAGAATTGATCATCTTTTTATGTAAATTGGTCTCATATCGAAATTGACAAGCAAAACTAGATGTCTTTGCAATTTTATAAATGCTCTCAATTTCTTTTTTCCTATTATATTTCTTTTTTTCCTATTATATTTCTTTTTTCTCTAGCCGTTGCCGATTGGAAAACTCTATTAGTACGCATTAGTTGTGTCAATCCAGTCTACAATAGCCGGAAGCTAAATAAGAAATAAGAACAAGACATAGCGAGAACATATCTGTATTGATAATGAATTTATTAGGAAAAAGTTGTTATCTTGTTTTTCTCGCTCACATAATATGATGATTGACTCTCCCCGCTAGTAATTCATATATTCTAAATGCTATTGCATTAATTGAAACTCATTGTTCTTTCTTTTTTCTCCTCCTTTCGTCATATTAAATGGCATCCATTATTTTTGCGTCTTATTTGAGTAAAATATAAATGTGTTATTCTATCATCAATTTAAAGTTGCTCATGTGAAAGAAAAAGAAAATTCATGCAAACATTCACATAAATGATTTAATGTTTGGTTTTTTGTTTTCTTCAGCATTTTTTATTTGGTAGCCAACAGTGAAGAGAGTGGAAAGAATCATTTTTTTTTACAAAAAAAGATAGACTTATATTTATATTTGCTATGCCGTTGATGATGTTGCTATGAGATGCTGATAGGTAAGTAAACATCGAACTGTTTGAAAATAATAACAAACTTCTTGAATGCACTTTAAAATCAAGTGTATCTTTCTTTTTAATCGTTAAACAAGAAGAAAAACGAAAAAAAAAGAGAACAAAATTGGATAAATGGTGACTTTTTTATGAGATGATTTTTTTTCTAAATTGAAGCAGATACGAAAATTTGAACATACCAATTGAATGTAAGTATGAATAAAAAAGAAACGAGTACCCTGTTTTTCACAAGAATCGCTTTTGTGCTTTTCACACATAAATACTTGTATATTCGAGATGAAAAATAAAATATTAAAAGAAACTTACGAAGAGCTAAAGATTTTCGGGTACTATTTCAATTTTCTGATTCTTGATGTTGACAAAAACAAGTATTTTCTTCAAGAAAAAATATAATTTAAATCTATACACATTGCTTTGTTTTACTAAAAAAACAACAAGCAGAATACTAAGAACTGTAAAAAATAAAAATTCAAAAATTCTTTTATTTGATCGAAATACATTATGCAGCACTTTCATACTAACAAATAGTGAGTATATTTGAATTGTATTACTGGTTAGAATATTAAGAAAAGTTCATTGATTTTATTACAATTATTATTATTATTATTATTATTATTAGAAAATTATGTCAATTTTTGAACAAGCGTCTTCGCGACCTGGTTCTCGGTTCGGAAAACTTTCATCAAATATGTTCTTTACTCGAAATACTGCGAAGCCCAAACGTGTACGACACATTGAAGGTATACGACAATGTTATTAGTCAAGTCTTCTATATATTTTGGACGAAAATTTTCATCTAGGATTAAATGGAGCACTCATTTGTAATGTGAATGATGATGCATCTGTTGTTAATATACCACGTTCTACTTCACTTAACTTTAATAGAACTAATTTACCTGCATTTGAGACTTCACGTCGTACTGAACGACTAGTCCCTCCAACAGGCTTTTGGAATACTCATGGCATTAGTAAGTTTTCGTTTTTTCTCTTCAAATACATTATTTTCTTTTACAAAAAAAATTGCTTTTCTTAAGTTCATGATACAGAACGTTGGAAACAAGAATTGGCTGCTTTAGCTTCTGCTAGTGGCATCGGATTAGAAAAAGATGATCATAAACATTTAAACAAATCAACAACAGCAACTGCTGACCAACAACATGCATCACGATCGGGTGCTCATTATTCAACAAGAACAGGACGTTTCAATGAAGGAACTGCAACGTCAAGAGGTCGGACTGGTTCTAAGCATGGCACGGCATATTCGGATACGCTATTTAATGTGCCTGAAAACGAAAGAGAAATGTGGGTAAGTGAAAAATTATCGATAAAGAAAATGAAAAGTTCATTTTTTTATTTTTATTTTTGCTTCTTATGTGTTGATTTTGTGAGTACTGTACAAATCTAGGTACTGAGAGTAAGCAACCTAAGCCAAAACAGCTATAGGAGAGTTTTTATTCATGTAAAAGAACACCAAAATATGAAAATCAAATCAGGTTTTACGTAAACAATGAACTGTCTAAGGTGTGTCTAAAACAACACAATTAAGCGGTTGCTAAAGTGGAACAAAGGCAAACACTGAATTCTTCTTGGATGAAAGATGTTGATTTAAATTGTTTTTAGCTATAAAAACAAGCAATACTGCGATTCTTTAAACTTTAAGTTTAATTCTAAGTTTTTTCTCGCTCGATTTATACGAATCATATATTTAATCTATGTATTGATTTTCAATTAAAATATAAAACCACAATACTATATGTGTACTGAAAGTTTAAAAAGCTTTTTATGATCAATCCTCTCCATTTTACTTTTATAATTTCTAAATAGTATCCGAATTTCTAACATGTTAATCAATAAGCAGAATCAACGATGACGTCTTTGATGTATTCACATTTTGCATTTGACATGTTTTTTATTCGTAATAAAGATTTAAAAATGCGTGACAGTGTCGTTTGTTAAGAAAACTGTTTAAAAAACAAGAAAAATAAATCGTATCCCGGCTACGGAACTTCAATTGTATTGTATGACATGAAAAGTATAGCTTTTTTCCTCTATAGATGACTTATAACAATTTGGCATTGAACAGCACTTTAAGTCTAATAAAGAAACTTTTAAAATAGATTTATTCTAGATAAGCACTTCAAAGAAAAAAAACCTATAAATGATCAAGTGTTATTATAGAAGTAGATAGAGATGACATGTAATGTTGTTTTTTAATATTAAAATAGATGCTACAAGTGCTTTGCCAACTTCTTGGTACAAGTCACTTGGAAGATGTTCAATCATGGCTTGTTTCGGCTGCACCAGCTGGTATATTTTAACTCTATGAATTAATGATAAATATTTTCTTGGTATTCTAGAAAAAGAACAAGCTCGTACAATGATTAATGCTGCATTACGTGGATTGAAAGAATCAGAACGTACAGTTGACCCGACTCCACAATCTGTTGATTTTAATTCATTGTCGAATTTTGTTGAAAAGTAAAAAGAAATTCTTTAAAATTACAAAATACTCTAGAATATTTTTCATGATAATTCAGACAACAAAACGAAGAGAAACATGTCTCTCATAAATTTATTCAAGATACTCTTAATCGGTCTGCACCTGTTTTGCCATCTATTGATGAAGAACAACATGCTGATATGGGTTTAAATGGTGGATTGGGTTATGCAGAAAATAATAATGAACATTTGAAATCATCAGCACATGGTAAAACAACGTATGGACGCGCTTATCACAATTTTAATCAACGATCCTTTTCATCGTTCGATAGTGGATCACCAAAGAAGAACAATGATCCATTTAATGAAAATGAAGAAGAAAAAGAAGAAGATAATGAAGAACAAATCGATACAATACATCTTGACGATGATCGACAACGGCCTCGGTCAGGATTGTCACTAAAAGCAAAAGTACAAACGAAAAAATCTCAATCATTTGTTGAACGACCACCTTCAAGTCATAAAAAGAAACATCGTGTTGAATCACTTGAGTTTACTGATAATGATAATGATAATAATAATAATAATAATAATACTCATCTACACAATAAAAATGAAACCGATGATGACAATCAACAACAAGATTTAGTGGCATCATCTAATAAAGTAAAACCATTATCAAGTCAAGATGATCAACGTAAAGTACGTAAAATTCGTGACCTACAAAATAAACTATCGCGTCAAGAAGAAGAAGCAAAAAAGAAATTCAATGAATTACAATCAAAACAATCACGCCTTGAAAATGCAATTAAGTTACTGTCTAAACAAGCATCGTCTTTCAAAAAACGTCGACAGCATAAAACTGAACATGTCGAAGGTAAATCTTATATTTATTTTGTTCATTGATATTTTTGAGTGTCCTTTTTATTTTTATTTATTTATTTATTTATTTCGATTTCTTTTTTTTCATGAAAAAAAGATTTAGATGCTCCTGTTGTGAATGTTATCATTCAATCGCCAAGAGAAACTGATCCTCGTGATAAATCACAAGAAACAATTTCATTAGGGAAACAGCTGGCACTCTCAACTCTTCCTTCTAATGAAAAATCAAAACATAACCGAAATGGTAATAGCAATACCAAAATTGGAGACTATACTATTCAAGATGTCAAAGTACAAATCAGTCTTTCTCGCCTAGATAATCATCCAGCGAAAGTTTTTGCGGGTGTATGGAAACCCGATGCATCGACACTTCATCGTCTTCAAGGAAATTAGAAGAAAGAAAAATCAATTTCGGATTTTAATAGCTATTAATATATAAATATATATATATAAATATAAATGAACATTTGATAAAAACTAGTGTGAAAAAAGATTAAAAAGTAACAGATTTTTTTCTTTTTATAATATGTAAAATGATCTACTAAGTTGATTCTCTTTTTTTTTCTAACGAATAATTTTCTATGTACCCAAAAATAAAAACAAAGCTCGAGAAATGAAATATTGACAGACAAGAAAAATAATGCACTGTTTTTATCCGATTCGATTTCGATGCGTGAAAAACAGATAGATAGCTTGTGTAACTATCGTAAAACTTGATAATATTAATGCTATTATTTCCAAAACACCTGACCAGTCAAGACGAATTTCATAATCTTTAGCAGCTGTCGTCAAGATATTCTGCGTTCGGTTATGCTGTATCGATGCATTTTCTAGAAAATAAAAATAAAATATGTCCCATTCAAAGTTCTATATACACAAAACCATACCATGTGAATAAAAATCTAAATTATAAACATATTGATGTAAGTCATGGAGCATTGTTGAACCAAGTAAAATAAGGGTTATAAGAATGAAAATAAATCCAAGAAATAATAAACATAAAGTTATAATACCAATATAGATATGAATTTTGTATTTAAATTCGTTAATCAATATATGTAAAAAAATTAATAATAGAGATAAACCAAGTGCAATAGCAGAAATTATTGTACATGAAATAAGACCTTTTCCGATGGACGAATAATCACAATGACATTTATTTGCGTTCACATTGCAAATTTTTTGTTTTTCATTGAGTAGTAATGCGCTTGCTTCTTTCGTACATTCTTCGTTGTCTTTAAAAAAATATTTATTATCATAACAAATGAGATGGGTTGTACTCAGGTTCGCTGTTATCGGATAGTTATAACTTTCACAACGTTGATATGTACCAATGAATATCGTTTTAGAGCTCTCGCTACGATGTTCATATATTCTAAATGTTTAATTTCGTTTTTTTAATCAAGAAAACATCATGAACAAGAAAACCTATCTTATATTAAATAGTCAAACTGGGAATTATATCTCTACGATGACTGGAAAATTTGAATTTCGTTTATTATAAATCTTTTAATGTTATTTATACCAAATGAAATTATCTTTGGTAAACGAATTTTGTTCCTATTTCTCTTAGAATTATTTCTATATTATTGAAATGAAAAAAGATTTTTTTACATAAGGATATTATGTAAGGATAAATTTCGGTTAACCTTCGTTCAAAGTAGTTGCAGAGTATTTGTTTTTAAAACAAATAACTTCATACTTCTAGTATGATGTAACGGTACTTGAGCTAATGAGCTTGAGTACAGAGTGAAAGTATCAGTCATTATAGAGTTTCTTTAATCTTCAATTTATTTTTTGCATTTTTCAGACTTCAAGTCTTTTTGCACTACTATTTACAAAGTGTATCTTGTAACTTTCTAAGCTGAATAATGTAATATAATTGCTTTTTCTTTACATTAGAATATTTCACTTGTTACTTACGAAATTATTCAAAAATTTTAAATTGTATTCAAGAAAAGAGAAATACTTACTTCCATCTAGGATATGCCATTGCTGTAATATGTGCAATGAATGCAATAGTAAGAACCAATAAACCGGCAGTAGTACATATTAGAGCCACTTTGATCATGTTTATGTCTTGATAATTGATGAACCAGTGTAATTCTTTAAATAGTAGCTAACTAGTAAAAAGCCAAAACTGACAGGCTGTCACTTTCAACAGTCTTCTTTACAATAAGATTAATCGCTTTTTTTTGTAATAAATATTCGTTATACTTTCTTCTTTTTTCGTACATTTTCATCATCATATGACAAAGACAACAAAACTAGACACTTCAAAAGCATTTTATCATGTCTACTACATAAAGTCTGTTAATCATACAAAGAGAAAACAAAATATTTTATCCGTTTTGCTTAAATATGCGTTCAGTCGTACATAGACAAATAAAGACTGACAATATCATTGAGAATACGTATCGATTTTTATTTTATATTTCGGAAAGAAACTCGATACATTTCTTTTTTCGACGAATCCTTTAATCAATTCTTTGAAAAGAACAAAACAAATATTCATTTGACATATATCCACCGATTGGTGCTTTTTTCTTATTTGAAATACAAAAAAAATGTAACACTAAATCAGCACAAATTTAAAAATAAATCTGAATTAATAAGTGGTTCTCTCCATTTTAAATCGTATAACGATATGCCACTATCAATAATACGTGCAGCACCTAAGACTTCATCTCCATCATAGAATACTGCATACTAAACATAGATAAAAACTTAATTAATCAAAAATGTTTTAAGTTTCCTACTTGTCCAGGACATATTGAACGTATGGGAATAGGTAATGATACATTTAACGTATTGTTATTTGAGAGAGAAATCACAACAGATAATGGACGATGTTTATGTTGAAAACGAAAATCGCATTTATACTCTCTAGTTTCTTTTAATACTGATGGTATTTCATTAATCCAATGTGGAATATCTGTATGAAATGATTTCGTAAATAATGCTGGATGATTTGTACCAGGGGCCTGAAAAACAAAAAAAACGAAAGATCTTTAAAACATTTGAATTTTAATCGTCCATCTTTTTTTACAGCATAAATAATATTTTCTATCGCATCTTTTCTTGCAATATACAATGGTTTTGATGATTTATAATATCTATCTATTGGAGTGATACGTTGTCCTATCGTATAACAATGTAAGCCATGATGTTTCCCGATGATTTCGTTTGTTTCAATTAGTTTTATATAGCCAACGTTGTCAGGAATAAATTGAGAAATAAAACGAGAAAATTTTCGTTTACCAACAAAACACAGACCCATACCTTTGTGTTTTTGAAAAAAACAAGAAATCAATAAATAAACAGATAAATATCATTATTTTGAATTTTACTTTCATGTTTCTGAGCAATTTTTTCAAGGTTCATTTCATTTGCTAAATGTTTGACATCGGATTTCATCATGCCACCGACTGGAAATTCAACGAATGGTAATACAGAACTATTCAGATGGCACAAAAAGAATGATTGATCTTTTATAAAATCTTGACTACGCATTAATTTATATTCTACAAATAGGAAAAACAAATTCTATTCTACTAGTTTTCTTCTCTGCAATCAATACTTAATTCCTTGCTCATCTTTTTTTATTTGTGCATAATGTCCTGTTGCTAAACATGTTGTATCCAAACGTTCTTGACAATATTTAAGTAAAGCATCAAATTTAATGTATTTATTACAAAGTATATCTGGATTTGGTGTTAAACCTGTTTGATAATCATTAAGAAATGGTTCAAATACTTTAGTCCAATAGTCTTTTATAAAGTCAACAACATGTAAACGAATATCTAATCGATTACTAACATAGATAGCATCGTCAAGATCTTTATCATTTGTACATTTCGTTGGACTATCATCATCCTCATGTTTTTCCCAATTACGCATAAAACAACCGATAACTTCGTAACCTGAAAGAAAGAAAGAAAAACACTTGATATTATTTTTACACGATGTAAGTCAAATGTGATAAACCTTTTCTCTTCAATAGAGCTGCAGATACCGAACTATCAACACCACCGGACATTGCACAAACAATACGTTTTTTTATAGGTAAATTCATTCTATTGATCTACAAAAGAAAATCGGAAAATTGGTTTTAGTAAATATTTTATGATTATTCAATTGTTCCATCGTCCTGCCATAAAATAGCAAAAGTAGAAAACAAAATTATAGTTAAAAGTTAATTTCTTGAAATTTTTAGTTGTTTTATGTATACTCTCAACATGTGTCACGAACATATTACTTTGACTACATGTTACATGCGCAAAATGAATTTGTGTATTAACAAAATTCTAGTATTGTACCGTAGTTTTAGACGTTTTTGTGTATCATTTATATGTGATAAAGTGCTTGTTCCTTATTGTAAAAGAGAGATATAATCATAGTAGATTTGAAATAAGAAATTTTTATATCAACTTCTTTTATTATGAGATATAAGTGTTTCATAGATACTTCAGTTTCCGTTACAACTTTATAAAGATACTTGATAATCATGATTAATTCTCAAAATTCATCTACAATTATTTCAACAATGTCTAGATCATATTTATATTATTAAAATATCGTTCTTCCATTTTGTCACTTAACATGTAAATATCTATTATCAGTTTTTGAGTGACAGAATTTTTTCGTCATTTCAGTATGAATAAAATTAGATATATAGCTACAGCTAGATGAAAGAAAAATTCTCGCTTTGTTTTCTATTTACAAAAAAGCTCGATCTCCAAAACATGAGAAAGTAGATGTATCGGAGACTTGCTACTTCTACTCTTTTACCTTTTTTAGTTTAATTTTATATGAAAGCAGCTAGTAACAATATTTACCTAGATAGATTTCGTGTAGGAAAACAGAAAAAGAAATAGAAAAAGAAAACATTTGCTAGAATTGAAATTTACTCAACTGATTTTTGCTTCAATGATAATAATGATGACGTAACACTTTTTAGTTTTTTCTCTATTCATTCTTTTTTCTTCTCGGTTGACTCGTTGTATTTTCTATATTGTTTTCTCAGCTTAATAAATATTTTAACATCCCCAGTTTTTTTTTCTTTACTCGAGTTAAAAACTAAAAAAAAAACTTCTTAGTTTTATTCTTCTCATTTGTTATTATTCATCATGAACTCATCATTGGCACTAAGTCAGAATTCCTCATTGGAATCCGATCATTATGAAAAAAATTCCCAAGAGCAACCAAAAAAGAAAAAAGGTTCAGCAACAAACTTTCGAAATTCATTACAAATTACGAGAAAACGTTCAATAGTTTCTCGTCCACGAAAAGCTTCCGAATCTGATTTAAATAATCTAAATCCAGAAAGTCAAGTAAGATCATACCAATAAGAAATCATTTTCCAGTAAATTTAATAATCTTTCTAGGAACTTATTCTACGTACAGTAGACAAAATAAAAAGAGACGATAGTGAACATGTTATTAATGTACTCGATGAAAGTCGAACTATATTCAGAAATTCATACGAAGAATTTAAGCGCGAGCAAGACGAATGCCGAAAACAACTTGAAGAAATTTCGAAATTAAAAGCAACAGAACAAACTAGCAAAGGTAAATTTGACTTTTCTATTTCTATTTAAAGTTATTCCCTACGGAAAAGACATATTACTCTAGAAAATGCAATTTCACTTTCAATATTTATGCACAGAAAAGGTGAGACTGCTGATGTTCGTTGGAATATGCGTTTGGATTCGGCTGTGAATCCAAAATATCAAGCATACTTTGAAGAACTACTTTCATCGAACGAAAATGATTCCCAACATCCAACAGATAAAGCTGCTGTTCTAAAATACATTCGTCGACGTGAACGACAAAAACGTGCTGAAGAAAACAAAAAGAATCATGAATTATCCGAAGACATTCTCGAAAAAGTATCTCATCTAAAATGGAAAATTCAGAAAATTCATGTTTTTTGTGTTTGTTCTTCATTTCAGCAAACAGCTGAAATTATAGAAAAAATGGAAGTCGTTGATATTAAATTACAAAATGAAAAACAACGACAAAATGAGCTGTTACGCATGCGCATGCAGGAAAATAAAATAAAAACTCATAATAGAATTCAAGCTAATGAAATTATTGACCAAGCAAATGAAGCTGATTTAACGTAGATAAAAACGGAAAACATTTATTTTTATTTAATTTATTTTTCATACTATAGGCGTCAACGTTTTGAAAACATACAACGAGAAAAAATTGAAGCACGTCTATCAGCTGTACGTCAACGTCATAGTTCAATAAATATAATTCACGTTCAAAGTATTGCCAATGAAAATAATAATGAAGCATTAAACGAGAAACAAGTTGAAGCAACTAAAAAATCTCTTCAATTATTGAATGAACATGATGAACATCGACAAATGCATGCAATGGCATCAGTCTATGGGAATAAATATAAAAATGAGAAAATTCCGTCTATTGATATTTAATCAAATCTTACTATATTCAATATAATACGCAAATTAATGATGATAACATTTTTCTACTTTTCTCTCAAAATAAAGCGTCATATCAGTTCAAAAATATAATAAAACTCTGTGATTTTAATGAAAAAAAAACCAAATTGATGAATCTGTCATATCGTATAACATATAGCAGAAAAATTCACAAGCCATTTCCGTCAATGGTAGCTATTAGAATATCGGAAGAGAGACCAATCATGATTATAAAACACGATTCACAGTTCATTAGAGAACTTATAGATTCATTTTTTCTTTAGGGCATAGACGAATCTGGTAGATTCTCATGTCTAGAAGTCATAACTAACAAAAATAGTATCATTGTAGACATGTACTAGATAGACGTTTTGATATACCATGTAGTCTGGCTGATAAAAACCTGTTAAGAGTTCTTTTGTCCTACGTTGCATTATGGAGAGTATAGCGATCCTACACATAGAGATGTTATTATAGAAATGGAAATTATTTATTCTATTTCCATCACTGAATTTACTCTTTATATAATTAAAATAAAAAATAAGACAAAATTTTGCTTAACAGTGTGTATGAACTAGAAAAACAATATACATGCTATTTTTCTTATCATTTTTTTTAAAATTTGACTTCAACAACATGATAAGTAATAAAACATATTCGTCTGAAATCAAACTTTCAACAGAGAATAAATTGTCTGCTGTACTTGAGCTTATCAATACATAAAATTTAAATTATAAACAATTGATGATTCATATTCGAAATATATTTTCTTTGTTTAGAGCAATTTCAGTCGAATTCAGTGATTAATAAAGCAATCTGAATCATGTTTGTTTTTTGTTTGTTATCTGCAGTTAGAAAAAAGATTGTATTAATAATCTGTATATTTAGCATTTTACTGCTGTTTGTTTTTATGTTTTTTTGTCAACATACACAAAAAAGGAGAATATACAATGACTGCAGATACGAACACACGAAAAAAAACGAAGGAAGAGTCTATTTAACCCGAAAGATCCTCAGCTTGATAAGCAGCTTGATCATATAATTCAGCTTTTACCATCCGACCACCAAACCATCGACCATTGAGCGATTCTGCTGATTTTTCCGCCTCTGCAATAAGCGTTTATTTTTCTTGATATATAGCTATCAAAAATAATGAATACAATTTACCTTTACTATTTTTGAATTCCACAAAAATTTTCACAATTTGTTCAGCATTATCTTCTTCACCTTGTCGTTCAGTGTAAATAACAACTTTATTAACTTCACCATATTTTGAACATTCTTCTACAAAAATAAAACATGAAGTAGAAACGAAAGAGATAAGAATTGAAAAGAAAAGCAAAAAATGAAACCTGTAATTTCTTGTTGTAAATCATCATCAACATCTTCTGCACCAACCATATTTCGTAATACACATACACGAGAATCAAGTCGACGTTGATTTAATTTTTGCATTAACAAATGTCGTTGTTCACGGCCTTGTTATTTTGTATAGAAAAATAAAAACGAATTATTTTCCTATTAAAACAAAATAATTAAATATACCTTTAACGCTAAGCTCTTCCTGTTGAGATAAACTAGCCAAAGGATCATCAGCATTTTTTAAATCTGCAACTGTTTTTCGATTTTCAGTTGTATCTAAATTTGTTAACGATTGATTTTTTGGCAGAACAAGTGAAATTGATGGATATTGTTGCTGTTGCTGAGGTTGCTGTTGTTGAGATTGTAAATCAACTTGAAACCCAACAGGTATTGGTGGTTCTTCCAATAGAATAGGTTGTGGAATTGATAATGATGTTGGTGTTGGTGGATTGATTACTTTAAATTACATTTCATTGTTGAAATATGAATAAAGAAAAGAAAATGATTTTACCTTGAGGAGGTGGTGGTAGCGATGGCTTTAGCACTTGTTGCGTTGGTGAAGAGACAGGAAGGCTAGTAGCCATCGGTGTAGCAAAACTAATGATAAAATTTTCATATAATAGAAACTATACAGTAAGAGTTTACTTCGAAAGAACTCCAGGCGAACCAATAATTGATGGTTGAGGAATGACATTTGTTATAGCATTAGTAGGATTGAGTATAGTAGAAATCACTAAAAGAAAAAAGGTAGATTTGAGCTTAAAGAAAGTTTATATTAAAAAATTGATTTTCATACTCGATGTAACAGCAGATGCGCCACCATAAGAAGCAGCAGAGAGAGCAGCTGCAACTGTTGTTGGTGCAATGGTACCACCAAGATAACTAACTTGTGTTAGTGGATTATTCATAATTTGTGATGCAGTCTAAAAAAATAAACTGATGAATTAGACTTTTATTTTGTTGGAAATCGTTTTACAACAATCGGCTGTGAATTAGTTTCAACATCTTTTGCTTGTAATTGAGCTGTGATTGTAGCAGCGGCTAATGCTGCAGCTGTTGGCATTTGACTTGTTACTGGCTGAGCCGATGCAAATAAACCTTCAGGTGGCGTGATTGCTTTGCCTACTCGAAGAAATTGTCCTGTAATTATAAAAAAAAAACAATAAGAAATAAACGCTAATATTACTAAGAAAATGTAGCCTACCACCAAGATCAAATAGATTCATTGAATTAATTGCATCTTGTGCTGCTTGAACTGTCTCATATTCAATGAAACCGTAACCTCTGAAATATTCCACTTATTAACATTTTTTTATGTGTTAAACAATAAAAAACTTACTTATGTTTTCCTGTTGCTGTATCTTTTGATAATGAAGAACTTCTGATTTTTCCTTGAAAATAAATTAAACAGCCTTTAGTAAAATTCTTGTAGGATTAAACCGTAAAACACGATGTAACTACTACTGCTAATCATAGAAAAATTGTTTTATTCTATCGCTTTTAGAACACATATGTTTATCATCCTTTAACTTAATCGTTTGGAAACATTATCAAAAAGATAGTTCAAATATGAAAGTGAACCTGTGTTCACATACAATTAAACATTGTATATCAAAAATATCTGTCAAAACTTGGAATCTTTTTCCTTAATATTCCGTTTTCATCGTATGTCACAAAACGAAAAATAATTTCTTTGTATTTACCAAAAGCTTCAAATACACTTTGAATATCTTTTTCCGTTAAATCTGGATGAATAGAAGCAATATAAATTCGGTTATAGTTCTTAGCTTCTTCTGTTAATTGATCAATAATTGGTTGTGCTTGTGGCATATTCGATGGTCGGCCAACCTATTTAACACAAAACAATGAAAGTTAATTATTTAAGAATGTTTTTCTTCTCTTACTTTAATATTTCGTCCACCGAGAATGACTCCATTCATTTGTTCAATAGATAATTGTGCCGCTTCTGGTGTTTCATATTCAAGAAAAGCAAAACCTTTATGACGATTCGTCACAGGATCAAATGTTAATGAAACTGATTTAACCGGACCAAATGGTTGAAACGCTTGTTTAAGCATAGCTTCATTTAACTCAAAATTAATACTTCCAATATAAATTCTAAAATTAACAAAAACAAAAACAAATCAAATAAATTTTTCTTTCATTCTATTTCAAAGCACAAAGATATATTTACCGGCACATTAATAAAAGTGCTTGTTGTTTTTTAATTAAATCTAATTGTGCACGTTGTTGATGTTGCTGTTGTCTAACAAGAACATACTTAACACTTTGTTCCATGGAGAATTTTTTTGCACGTTTCATACTATCATCATCAGCGGGTCGAACTTTATAGCGTCCAGTATCACGTTTGGCTCCAGGTCCTTGAAATAATGGACCACGTTGATCAAGTTCAATTACATTTGTAAAAGATGCAAACGGAGTTACTTCACGTGGCAAACGTGGTATGTTTTGAAAAGCAAGTTTCTTTTCATTAGAATTTGTTGGTTGACCATTCTCTAGAAAAATAATAGAATGCTAAATATCACAAATACGACCTTCTCAGAGAATAATTATAGATGATCAGGCATATGGACAGCATGTTCGATTAATGTTGTCACTGAAAAAGGGACAGAGAAAGAAAGCGACAAAAACAAAATTAGTAACATGAAATTTAAAAAATAAGATGCACGATTTCTTTCATTTTTCTTAATGATATGTAGAGTATTGTTGCGTACCTAAAACAGGGAGACAAAAGAAGACGACAAAGTAAAATAATAGTTTTAAGAGTCAGTCTGAAATATTTTTGATGTTGATAATTGTCTGAATGTTGAAGATTTGCATGTGTCGAAACTTATTCATATTGATCAATGTCTTTCTGCAACATGGACAAGAAAAGAGAAAAAAACAAAACCGAGATTCTTCTTGAAAGATAATTCATTGTTAAGTTTAACAAAAAAAGCGGCATGCAGAATAAGCTATTTTTTTTGTTTTGATACACAAAGATTAAGTGAAATGAAATATTAACTCACCAGCTATAACTGGACTTGGTTGATCAGTAATCATGGGTTCTGTCATTATGACCAGACTTTATCTATCTGAAAATATTTCTATTTTAGTGCGAAGTTCACAAAAATAACCTTTGCATAGCAAATCACAAAAGACATTACTCAAGCTGTTCTGGAATATATGTATGAATCTATATATTTATATATACATCAATAAAAAAATATATATATTATTCTTAGTTTAAGGTACAATTAAATAGGGTTGACATGGAACAAACTTATTTTCATCATGGCAATCTTGTAACCAATCGAGTGAGAGAAATTTTATTTCTGGATTCGTTTTTGATATCTAAAAATAAAAATAAACAAATAATTGAATAAACTAGACAACGAATGTAAATTTTGGTATGGCTTTCTAGAAACTATGTAACTACTTTAGAGTGACTCAATGTTTTTTTCTAGGTCTATGTCTACAAGCATTGTCGGATCTAATCAAAGTCAACTTTTGAAACATTTATTCATTTGTGGAACGTCATTTCGTTGAATAATAATTCACAGATGAATGAACTACTCAAATATTAACAATCGAAAATCAGTGAATTGAAATACTATTATGAGAAATTTGAAAGATTCTTTCGACGTATAAATTTGTCATATTCTTATAAAGATATCTTGCAAGGCAACCCAACCTTTTATGAATATTATAATACATCATATCTGAAGAGTTCTGAGAATGTGAAGAGTTTTCATAGAATTTGCATCTAATTATTTGTCAATCGATATTATTATTGAGCGATAGATATATAAACTAGAAAGTACATTCGACAAAGACTAACTGATAATGTATGTATTGAATAATATTTATGGGCGGAGATAATTCCCAACTAGAGATATAGATTCTTTGATAGAGTCATATGATACTAATGGCATACTTTCGATTTTAGAAAATATGAAAAGACAACCTTGTTCATACTTTTTCAAACTCTTGATTCCATATTCGATTTGTAATAACGTATTTTACATCTGCTGTAATTTGTTTTTCTAATACTCCATCATAGGCATAAATAACTCGGCGTATATCACGAAGTGTATTATCATCGAAATCATTATCAAACAAATAAAAATGTTTTCCATGGAAAAAACTTGCTAAATCATAGGACTTTTCTTCCATGTTCGGTTCATCTTCATCGGTTTCAGCATTATAAACTAAAAATGAAATCAATAACCATATATCAAAACTGAATCAATGAATTTCGTATTAGTCTAATCTGACACACGTCATACAATAATTGTTTTATATTTGTATTCCTGTTGCTCACTGAGCGATTGAGGAGTAAAACAAAAAACAGCACAATTAGTATTGTCTTTACCGATGATCCATTACGTATAGATATTGCTCAATTAAACGAGTCGATACATTTAGCTACATTATAGCTGAAATACGAATGAAATTAGTACAGAAACGTCTCTTCTACTGCATGTTGACATCAATGCTGTCCATACATCTATCTAGTACGCTACGTTTTAGTTAACCGAGCTGGACAATAATTGCCTCAAGAATTTTCTGATAAGAAAAAAAAATGGGTTGGTCTGACCAAAATTCTAAGTTGGATTTCAAAAAAATAATAAAACATACATTACCGTCATTATCATTGGAACTGGTTATTTTTTTTGTTACATATTTTGAAACTGTATTGTTTTCAATTTCATTATCATCATCATATTCATCTTCGTCATCGAAAGTTCTCATTTTCTTTTTAACTCGTGATTTTCGTTGAACGTCTTTTGAAATCAAAGGTTCTTCTTCGTCAGCATCAACGTCATCAATTGTTGCCACCTTCGTTTTCATTGGTGGTTTTCTTATTACATCTTTTGATAATTGATGGTCTTCATTATCTTTTTCTTCTTCGCTATCAACATTAAAGTGTATTGGTTTTGTTGATTTTCTTTCCGATATTCGATTTGGTTTATCTTTATTTGTGTTATTATTATTGGACCCTTTGAATTCGTAATTTTTTTCTGATAATAATTGATTTTGTTTATAGCAGTCAAGTATCCATTGTTTATTGACAATAAATCCTTTTCCTGTTTGTTGAACTTGTGTAAATTTTGGTGTATTCGAAAATGCACAACTAAAATGAAAAAAACAATTTTCATTTTTATGTCATGAAAAATAAAATTGTAGAAGTATATACATGAGATGTGTACATGATTTATCCCAATCATCATTATAAATTGCACCCATAGTTGTTGCTTTATTTCGTAATTCTGATCTCAGTGGATTTTGAAAACCACTTAAAACAAAAACAACATGTTTCATGATTTGCGATCGATCTTGAGCTAGAGCCAAAGAAAAACAGAATTAGATTCAATACTAGATGGATATATTTTTTCTTACTACTTTTGGTTCGTTTGGTTTCTTTTTCATTGATGGATGTTTCTAATTCATCTGATATACGGCGTTTTGATAAACGATTTGAAGTATCCTAATGAAATCTTATTTCTTTTCTGTTTTTAAAGCAACGTATGTTTTTCTTTACTTTAACATCTTTTTTTAGTAATTTTTGAATTTCCTTATCATCCATAGATTTTCTAATTAATAGTTGATCGGCAACATTAGATAACGCACGTATTTGATTGGTAGCTGTTGATTCAGTAGGTTTCAATTGCTTTTCAGCTTGTTTTTTAGCAAAAAATGAACCAATTTTACTTTGTTCTTTACCGGTTTCGTCATCATTATCATCATCATCATTTTTCATAATAATAGAAGATTTATTTAAAGATTCACTTTGATTTGTTTCATCGGATAATGTTGCTGGCGAATATAATTTAATAAAACACAAACCGAATAGATTCAAACGATCGAATTTTTGTTCGCAAACTATTTTCAATCTATCCCATTTTTCATCTAAACATGTTTTATTTAAATCAGATGATTTTAATAATTTAACATGATTGCGATTCGTATTTGAACGCGATTCATTTGGTGTCATAAGTAGTGTCGCTGGTAATAAAAGTGTCCAATCGTCCATTTTCGATGATGATGATCGAGATACAAACAATTCAATAAATGAACTACCATCATTACCAATATCAACAGATGATATCAGACTAGATTTTTCGAACTCAAGAATACATGTTATACGTTCATCACTACCTTTTGCTGATAGCCATTTTTTATATTGTTCAGGCTTCAATAGATTTTCGGCACAATGAATCTAAAGAAAGAAAATGATGTAATAAACAAACAATTATTTTACGTTTTGAAACTAACTCGATCTTCACTGGAACAAGAAAGAATATTTCGAAAATTGATTAAGGGCATTGAAAGTATTTGTTTATTGTTTAAAATAAGATTGAGACGAATCGAATAAATTATTATTGATATACAAAATTGTTAAAACTGATGGAGATATAGAAAATAGAAAATATGAAGCGATCAAAGTGTAAGAACAGCTACGATTGGTGGAAGAAGTCGATGGCAGTAACAAATTTACATTAGAGGACGCTACTCAATAAATATATTATAGAGGACGCTAAACTACTCTGACCACTGTTCATATTTTTGTCTGTTTTGTTTTTAAAAGAATAACTTTAACAGAAAGATACTTTCTCATTGCTTCCTATTTATTGTCCACCATCATTTGCTAACATGAGAATTAGAGGCAAAACATTTTCTTCAATCAGGTGCAATGAGAAAAAAGAGCCCCACGCATGCATTTCGAGCAACTATCGATATTGACACTATATTTAAATCAAATGAAAATTTCTTTTTTAATATTTCATTCAAATATTTATAATCGATGTATACGCCATATACAAAAAACATGAGATTTATGAAAAATATTTGGCTTGCAGTAGAAAAAAAATCTATTTTAACTAATCTCTCTCTCTCTCTCTCTCTCTCGTTGATAGGCGTTTTTGTTGGACGTGGATAAATCAATTGTTAATCCAATATAATCAAATAATACATGCCGTATATTTTCGATTTGAACTATATTTTTGAAAAGGACTACGAAATATTTTTCTTTTTTCAATATAATTCGAACAATCCATAGCTTGAACTCTTTTGTGACATGTCGAGTAATGATAAAATGTCATATTGTGTTGTCCTCTTGCATATGCATATACAATATGATTATAGACCTTTTTTTTCAAATTTGCATTAGAAAATGTTGCATATATAAACCTGTCACGATAGGTCAATAAACATGAAACATCGAAAAAGCAAAAATATATACATACGAGTCATTCAAAAACAACTCTAAATCCCATGAGACTAAGTCGTGTATTCGATATTGATGTTTAATAGCGTTATCTATCGAAGAGACAACAGACGCCTGCTAGTTTGATAAAAAAAATCATAATATTCTGTATCTGAACTAGCTAAATAAAAAGCAAATACTATTTTTTACTACTCAGTGTATATCTTCTTTTTGAAATAACATATTTTTTTTGTTTTATATTGGACAAACAAGTGCCATGCCTTAGATATTAATAAAGTTTTTTTTCCGACGTTAACTACCCACGTTCAATACAACTGCGGTCATTTTCTAGCGGAAAAAACCTCAATGGCCACTAAAATGAGTTGAGTAATTACAGTGAAATACGGATGAAGATGCATGACTTATTAGCTCGCTTTGTACCTGTTGCAGGTCGTAGAAGGCAGTGTTTGCAGATAATCGGAATGAACGACTTGGTGTTTTATAAAAAGATTGAACTGAAGTCTGAAGGGTTAACGGTACCGAATTCACAACAGCTGGGGTTTAAGATCAGTATAGTTCGTCTACCATTCAATAACAAAAGGGTTTGTTTTTGTGGCAATGTAAGCTGGATCAAAAAGAAAAAACTCATTTGGTATTTTATTAACATACATTACTAAATCGATTTATGATGCTGTATTATTAATAATAAAAAGAAATCTTAATTATAAATAGTCAATTTAAATTGTGCAGTATTTTCTATTGAGATTTATGAACAAATCTCGAAATCATCTGAGTCGTCATGATTATCTGCATCATTATCATCAGACGACTTGAACGATAATGAATCACTTCAAGAACTCGATGAACAGTCACGTAGCCCAATATAGTTTGATTTATTATCATTAAAATTATTACTACACGCACACCCTTATATTTAATTATATAATGAAAAGTAATTTGTTTGTTTAAGATAATGGGCCGTTCAAAATCAAAACGTTTTGTAACTAAGAACCTAGATGAGTTGCCTCTAAATCACTGGTTATTAGTATAGTTTCACGAAAAGAATTTTCTTCATCGTTAATCAAATTTGTAGAATTAGTTAGTGATTGTTGTTGATCGGTAGTAGCAAAAATATTAGGTGATAGCGTTCGATAAAAATCAGTCAAATTAACTATCCGATAAGGATCACCGTCAGTAGCCCATTCTTCAAGTATGCACATTCTTGCACGAGCTATATCATTTAATATAATATCATCAATTGAACAAGTGTCTAGGGTACTATGCATGAAAGTAAATAGTGAAATAGCTGGTATGAATTGTAGAATACTCAATATGTAATCAATAACTTCACCATAATAACGGGTTTTATCAATGCGGTATAGAATACGTAAACGACGTAGCCATAACTCAACGTCAATAGTAGTAAATGAAATGGAAGTATTATGTGCATCAAAGAAATTTGGTAATCGAGTCTTATCAAGAAAAAGTACATAACGATGATGATGACTATTATTATTTGATGATGATCCGGTTCTATCATTTGATTTCGAATAATTTGATGTAGATTTAGCTGTATGACGACGAGTATTAGATGTTAATTGACGTAATGAAGAGACGCTAGTTGTATTATGATTATGACGAATTAATGATTCAATATCTTGATGTTGAGATGAATCAAGTGCAGACTCACTAGCATGAAAACTTTTCAATTTCATGGATGGCTAAAATAAAATGAATACATACAATGAAAATCATTCAAAACAGCAATTTTCTGTAATCACTTGTTCAATTTTTGTTTGTGTAGGAAGTGAAACAAATTTAAAGAGTTTCAGTTGTTTCATTAAAAAATCTCTACATGGTTGTTTAAGATAGTCAATCATATATTCATCAGCTAATAAAAGAAAATCTTCTACATTATCATTTGTAATTTTTCCATGAAATTGTGGATAAATATATTTTAATAATTCAAGTATACTTTCACTTGTTTTACCTTCTAATACGATTTCATGAGCATCATGTTCTTTAAATTCACCATCGAACATTCGACTAAATACAGGTGATACTAATGATAATAATAATCGATGGCAATAAAATTTTTCTTTTTCAACTACTAAGATAACGTCAGGTTTAAGAATTTTCGATGAATCAGTAAAATAATCTAATGGTGAAGGTAATATTGATGATAATCGAAGTAGTTCTGGTATCGATGACGACGTTGATGATGACACCATTGGATATGTATGTTGATAAAATCTATTGGAATTATTTTCTTTTTCTATTCATTATTAAAAAATGGGCAACGACTAGATGAAATATATTTTTAATTCACCTTTTCTTTTCTTCTTTTTTTTAACAAGATTGATGTATGTTACGGAAGCATGTGTTTCGTTTTAATCAACCAAAATGATTGAAGTAGACAGAAGGAGTAAAGCAAAAGAACAAAAAAAAGAACGACAAATAACGATTTTGACGAGCGGAACTTTTCTATATGCTACACATAAATAAGTTTGTGTAAGAAACAAACGGAGAATGAGAAGAAAAAGGTCTATGAATACATGTATAGCTACTTGTTCTTAGTAAAGAATGTAACAACGGCTTTACATACAATAGATAAAGACAATTATTTGGAAAATAAAATAAAATACTACAATGTATAAAAACAATGAGGATCAATGTAAATGTCGATCTTCTTATTCATTGTATACAGGTTTTAAAAACAAAACACCACATTTTAGTGTCAACAGCAAACAAAAAAATGTGAGACCCTGCACAAAAAATAATAAAGCGTATTTGTGGCCTTGAAAAATATCCGAAAATTTGGATCATTTTATGTCAATTAGGTTATTTTAAACTATTCATCTAAATTATTTTGTAATCTATCGAACACAGTTTACTAACTGAAATGGTATTTATTATTTCTATATTACATTAATATCGATATTGCTTGAAATAAAATCACCACATAGTATATAACGTTTACTAACTCGAATTTTCAAATTTATCCTTGTCGATTATTTCTTTTAAATCAAAGTAAATGACTGCTACTAAATAAAAACAACGATTTGTGACTTTGAAAAATGTTTTCAATGGCATGGTGCAAATAATGACTGATTATAGACACGTTAAAATAATACGTTCATTAGACTTTTTTGCATCCGAAAATCTATCTGTTCGTGAATAGATAAGCTGATAGGTATTTTATATCTATGAATAAGTAAAATTTTTATAATAACAATCGATCTTCTTACTTTTGTCAAGAATACAACTGCTGCAATATTTTGATAGATCTTAAAAATCGGTCTCGACGGTTAATGGAAATGTGAATAATCAACTATCCATCAGATACAACTAAAACATAAAAATGTGACAGCAACGTATGATGAAAGTTTTATCTGTAAAATATTCTTCATCGGCAGAGAAGATGTCAAGTGATTACATGCACACATAGAAAGGAAAGAATATATTTTTACCGTATGCATGATTTACTTGACACGGACTTACTTGACGTTGACTAAATAATAACGGATTCCAATTAGTCTATTTTTTATATGAAGATTTACTTGCCGTTGATTGCTTAGGCGTAAAAATAATGAGCATTTATTGTGACTGACAATGCATTATCAGAACAAAAGAAACAACAAATATTGTTCATCACGTACTATGACTGAAAAATCTGCAAAACTTGTTGCTGTTGTATTACATTTTACACATGTCATATTCGGAACCATTTTGGGTTTTGGGTTTTTTAGCAAAATATCGATAACCTATGGAACATAAATTCTTTTCCCATGTGTAGATTCAATGAATTTATCAGACAGGTTTTAAACCATACGCGACGCAGTTGACTATCCGCACTTTCATATACAGTTTTTTTTAGAAAGATTATTACATGTTGACAACCGTTTTAGTCACAAAACTAATGAGAACTGCTCGTTTGTAACTGAAAATTCAGTTAATCGTTCGCTTACTGAGGAATGTTCCTTCCGATTAGAAAATTTATTAGAATTTGTTCCGACAACGAATCAGCACATTTTTTTAGGCCTAATAAATCAACGTCAAGTAAATCTTCAGCAACGAAAATAAAATGTTTTCGCTGAAAAGACCAATTAAAATCGAAAAAACAGTCAACGTCAATGTTATGCCAGGAAATATCTGTCCTGCCATAAGTATGTTCTCTCTTCTTCTCTCGGTTTCATTCTATCACATTTACAATCATCCCATTCTTCTTCTCGTATCTATTCTATTTAAGTGAGTGTTAATGTCTTGTGCGAATGTAATAATAACAAGAAGAAGAAGTCGAAATAAAGAAGAAGATTGTAACAGTCAAATAAGTTCGTGTCAACCAATTTTACGAACAGTTTTCAATCTGAACTTTGATTATGTATGTTTGTTTTTATTAAAATTTGCATTGATTGTTTGAAAACCAATTTATTATAGCAATTTGATAAACAAGCTTATCATTGGGCACCATAGTCATCATTTATTGGCCCTAAATCATATAGCACTATCGTAAACAATAAATTGATGAATCATTCCAGATTCCTTTATCGTGGATTTTACAATTGAAGAAAATACACATTCGCTATTAACTTACTTCCAATTCTTCTTAGCTATCAAGAAATGATAACGATGCTTTGAACGCATTAATCATTAATATTGCAACTTTTCTAAGAGTCATCTTATTGAAATAAGCATTAATGTAGGTACTGCTCGTAGTTTCAGTCATTGTTTCAGGTTTTGATAAAACAGCTAATCTACATTTTAACACATTTATAATTTTCAATTATCAGTATCATCATTCATACTACTATGAAATACAACATTTATTCATCTCCAAATAAACTATGGCATCGAATTACTCTTCATGTAGACCAATCATCCTATATTCCTATATCAAACGGCATAAACTATTTTCTTCTTATGATTTCATCTACACAAATTCTTTATATTAAACAGGATTAGATTGAATTGCTAGACTTTCTAACTTACTTGTTTTGTAATATGATCAATAAAACGATTAAAACTGTAACTCTTTCTTCGTCTATTTTGATTCGCATACAAGCGACAACTGTGCGTGTATATCTTATTATACATGCTGACAACATCGTCTTTTTTGTTGTTCTGCTGCATTGAACATTCATCGCACTCATATGATTGAAGATATTCTCTAATTCTATTTATTTTTAAAATCAAATTAATTGAAACAAAGCACGATTTTAACCATAGCAAATTTAATTCATTCATTTTCTGGTAATTATTTTAGCATGTTTCAATACAATAAACTGAAAATGAACATTATAATCAAAAAACATTCAAGACTAAATATATATATATATATTATTCATTAGTTTTATGAAAGAAATTTGTTCATACACGTCTTATAATTGATCTCAATATCTTAGTACATCGCAGCAAACTTCACTCAACAAAAAAAAAGAATTTCAGAAATCTCAATTCAGACAATAAAATCTTTTCAACATTAAAATTTTTTCGATTAATAATAATAATCATAATAAGAGAATGTGCATGGCATGCATATGGTCAATAAACGAAAAAAGAAGAAAAAAAAAAGAAACGAAAACGAAACGAAATGAAAAAAAAAGAGGACAATTAAAGAGACTGTAACACAACAATCACTCATAATATTTATTCATTAGTTCTGTACAATTGTTAACTTTTGAACATATCTGCAAGTAATTTCGACATCGATGTATTTCCCATCGTACGTGCAAAATAAGTTTTTTCTATTAATAATGATGGAATACTTCGCAGTAATGGCAATGTTAAAAGCAATCGACCAAAACTAAGAAAATGAAATTTTACATTGCATTCAAATTGAATGAAATCAAATTATTTTACCGAGTTGGTTGTGTTGAATTATGAATTTGTGTAAATTGAGCCAATGTTATTTGTGCTTGATCTTGTAGATTTTCAACCATTTTTGATTCTCTTAATGATCGAATATCTAATTAAAGCGAAAGAAAAGATGAAAAAAAAACAGATTTGCGGTTGATTTTTTTGTAAAAAGAAAATTTTCATTATTACCGAAACGAAAAAGAACGATGGCTTTTAAACAAGCAAATTCAATTGGATCAAGTTTTAATTGTTTAAAACGATATAAAATATCATTTAATAAACGATAAATAGATTTGCCATTTTCATTTTCTAATTGATAACGATTAAGTGCTGTTGTAAAAAGTGGTCCACCATTATCTAATGATGTTGAACATTGTATTGCCCAAAGAAGAAATAATTCTGACCAAGATTCTTCCAATAAAATCAACTAGAAAAGAAAAACGAAAGAAATTTACTTGACAGATGGGAAAACTAATTTTCTTTTTTTTCTTCTTCTTTTTTCGTTCTTGAAGATTAACTATGATACTTCTAAATCTCTTCTACTTGACCATTTTTAGTTCATCTTATTATCACTCTTATGTTGATTGAATGTGAATTTATTTATTTCTTGATCCTTCTTTCATCATTTGATTATTTGAATAGACAACGATATGTATCGAGTTCATCAAAAGATGTTCACGTTTTTCAAATGACATGATATTTCAGGATTAGAATATGTCAATAGAAAAACATTATTTGAACTTGTTTCTTTTGATTATATATATATATATATATATATATATATGTATATGTATTGTATGTATACAAATAAATCATACCTGATCACGAAAAGGTAAACTTGAAAATGTTGGCAAATTACGAATCCATTTAACAATCATCAAAAGTATTTGTGCTGATGTTGCAGATATTTGATCATCTGTTTCATTTGAAAATACTTGTGATGTTGATAAATCGCATTCATCTAATAATAGAATATAAATTTATACGAGTTATGTCTTNTTTTGAAAAAACATCTTTATTTTATTTTCTTATTTACCATCTTGTTTAATTGATGATGTACTACCTTCACCAGGTGATGAAGGTGGATTTGAATTTGTTGGTCGATGATGCATAACTGAGACTGTTGTACCATTGCCATCGCAATTAAAATCAATTGAATCAGCACGAACTTGAGCACTATTACGTGGTTGACGTTCATTTTGTACCGCTTAAAACAAAAAATATAAATTTGTGTTAGTTCTTTTCTTTCAATCCACATTGAACAAAAATTTACCTTCTTTTATCATACCCATTTGTAAACACTAAAAAAAAGGTACACCATACAAAAAAAATTAATACATCCATATCTTATTAATTTCGATTACTTTTTTAAGTCGACAAGCTTGACATTGATTACGATGTGCTTTATCGACAATACACATTCCTGTATTAGCTTGACATCTGAATAATGCAAATGATGTTTTCTTACTTAAATGAAAAACAATTTTTACCGATAAATTAATTTTCGCCTAACACTTCGTTTAAAAAAACCACTACAACCATTACATGCTAATATTCCATAATGTTTCCCACTTGAAATATCGCCGCAAACTGCACAAATTAAATTATTTCCAATATTATGATTTGATGAAATCGTATTGGTTCCTACAGCTCCAACAGCAGCCGCAGCCGCTGCTGCAGCTAACTTAACAGCCTGCTGATTACGTTGTTGTTCAGCAACAACAGCCGCTGCAGCTGCTTCTGTATATTTAGCCATATTAGCAAAATAAGCATGAGGAGAGATTGGATATGGTTGAACAACTGCAAAACGATGATTTGCAAATGAATGAGGTCGAACCATCTTTGATGACGATGAAGATGATGCTGATGATGATGATGGTAAACACATTGAAAGAATACCAAACGGATTTTCAGCATTTGAAGCTGTTTTAGGAGGTACTAAAGTATTATAATAATTTAAATTTGGTTCTTCTTTTGGTTGAGCAAGTTGTTGTTGTTGTTCATCATTATTACTTTCGAGACTACTATGATTACTATTATCATCATCATTGATTGTTGGACTTGTTTCATTTGGTGATGAACAATCTAATCAAAGAATAAATATACAAATCAAATTCGGTATTTCTCTCTCTCTCTCTACATTTTTCATTCCCTTTTTTAGATTAAGATTTGCCGCTCACACATCTCTTCTTTCTTATTCATCCTTATGAGAACAACAACACTACTCAAAATGATGATGTGTATGTGATTAATTTTATATAGAGTCTATGTACTGCTTCTACATAGCTTGACAAGTTTAACGATGTTAATTTAGCCAGAGTGAACACATACTCAGCATGATGTCTTCAAATCATTGATCACTTGTGCGAAGGAAGAGGAAAAAAGCGAGATCGATGTGATGTGTGCGTCTAATTTGTTCTACTTCGTCGCTGCATGATTATTATTATTATTATCATCATCATCATCATCATCATCATCCTTTTTCTTTCTTTATATATATATGAAATATTCGATCGAGCAAAAAGAAGATAAGTTTTTTAGGCTTAATTGGATAACGTGCTGTCGTTGTCGTCAACTTCCAATTCTCAATTTCTAGAAAGAAATCTATTGAATTATCATCGTGCAAATAACAATTGAACAGGCAAAGTCTAATCGAAAAAAAGAGAACATGTCATCGACAATAGAACGACAAGTGAATGTCTCAAGATAATCATTGTTCACTAGACAGTTTACGGTTCGAAAGATTTACTCACGCACTTAGATTTCAGTCGAACAAGGTTTAGGATTTGGGAAAATTGAGGAAATTGAGAAAAATGATATAGAAAGAGTTAAAGTAAAAACTTGAAACTTAAAAAAATACTTTTCAATAATAATAAAAATATATATAACTTACCATCATTGTTTGCTGATTTATTATTGTTATTTTTTTTATTATTTTCATTCATGTCCATAATTAAACCAACAAGTAAAGAAGACAAAAAAAAAGAGTTGTCGTCTTGCAAAAAATGTCAAGTGTTTGAGGTGTAAATCAAGCGCGAGGCGTCGAGATCGAATGAAAGAGCACTACCAACCATCATCATCGATCAACTTAATTTCGAGTGGTTGGAAAGAGAGAGAAAAAGAGCAAAAGAAAATCTCTCATTGGTTCGTATGAGTTAAAGATTTGAGAAAAAGAAGAAATCTTCCTTTTTTTTCTTCTTCTTCTTTTGCTTTCAACGAATCAGCTTCTTCAATTTCTTCTTCTTCCCTTATATGACATGTCAGAGAGCGGTATATGGCATACAAACGAGACGACGAAATGAGAGAAGAAAAAGAGATTTACTGCTATTGCACTGGCTACCAATGTTGAAATTGGGGATTAATAAGAGGAACCATCGGATATGAAATATTTTTTTCTTCTCTGACTGCAACCAAATCAGGCACGCATATTCAGTGTAAAAAAAAAATAGGAAAGAAAATCTTTGACATATATTGATTGAGTAAAGCAAAAAGGAAAACAGGAATAAATTGTTAGATTAACTATCGAAAAAAACGTAAAATCAATTTGAATATGTAGATCAGTCAATTGGTGAGAGAATCTTTAATACATATTTTTATTTACTCTTCGTCTTTTAAATAACAGAAAACATCTCATCGTTGTTTCTTATTGACAGATGTATCGCCAACAAAAATGAATGTCATTCTCTTTCCTCATCAAATTGAATGAACAACCAGCGCGTGTTAAAGGCTTATCATTTCAATTTATTTCAACAATATATTCCATCCTTACTATAGTAACCCTAACATACACCTAGATATAGTTTTAAATCGTTGAATAAATAGAAAATGAATTTGATCATCAATGAGTATAAAGACTACAGTAGGTATAATTGATGTGACACGTGTGAATGTAACCAAGCGAATAATGACTTTTTTCGCTGGAATAAGAAGAACAAAACAAAAAGAAAGTTATCTTTCACAAAAAATTTTATGACAGATGAATCGATTAGATTTCGCGTGTTCTTTGTTTTATGCATATTATATATATATATATATATATGTGTTTTACACTTGAAATTTACCGTTTTCTCTTCGTCGTCTTCTTTTTTAACAATCTTTTCTTGTTTAATGAGACACGCAGCAAGTTTCAACTATACACTGTAAACGTCAATCATAATGTCGTCGGTCTGCCAACAACAAGTGGATTTGTCCTAACTTTGACGCGATTTGTCACACGCACATTTTTCTAAACGTCATGCATGCTTTCGGAATGTCTCATTAGAGTTGAACATTTTGTAATCTTTTAGAATATAATAGAAAATTTCGTTTAATATACACACACACAGTTTCTTAGTTATCAAAAAAAAAAGGAGAATTGTTCAATCACAGTGAATTTGACAATAGGAGAAGAGCAAAAAAAAAAGACATCTACGAATGCACACCCATAACTATAATAAAGGGTTCTAGGGAGAAAATCAAAAATATGAAAGAACAAATAATTGATTGGGGCTTTTCTTTTCTGTCGCTTTTAACGTAATCCAAATCCTTCGGCATTATCAATGGCTATAGACAGTTTTTCTTGTAATTTTTCAATTGATGAATAATCAGGAAGGAGAAGCGCATTGAAACATGTATGAGCTGTTGGCAAACGATCAGTGTCCGGACCGTTGCGAGATATAATTAGTTTTAATCTAGCCAAACCACCAATGCTAAAGAGAGAAGTTTTCATCTTGCTTTTTTTTTTAAGAATTATAAACTAGAATGAACTTACGGAGTACGATCACTACCAGTGGTAAAACGCAAAAATTTTCTTTTTTGTTCATCAGTAAAAGTCATTAAAACAGTCCAAAAATTTCTACATTTAAAACAAATAAACAAAGAATTCAAGTACTTTCTTTAAATACATATGAAACTGTGCTTGATTTTCACTGTCATTTGATCATACAAAATAATTACAGATTATTGAACATTCTTCGCAAAAGAGGTCATCGACAAATAATAAAAAAAGGAAGAAAGAAAAAAAACTTCGATAGCAATAAATGTCAACAAATATTATATCTTATGTGTTACTATCAATCAATATACATATAGATATATAGATATGTACTAAATCCAAGTAAGGACATTCACACGTAGAAACTAACAGTGGTTTAAAGTTACAGTTTTTTCCGCTACTCATTTGATTGATATAATCAATTCAATATTGATTCTATCATGCATCTACTATTTTAATAACACGTAAACATGTTCTTAAAACTGGCATACTTTCATAGTTATTATTTTTATTTAAGTTGAGAAAAATGCTGTTTGTAATTAAGATGTAGTTATGCTTCGGATTTGGAGCCAAAAAAAATAGTCAAGAATTTATTCTATTTAATTATGTCAAAATTAATTGATTATATTGTATCAATAATACATCTTAATTCATTTGGAAGTGTCCCGATAAATCAGAAGGTCGACTGGAAGATTAGATAGTAAAGTTGACTGGATTCGATGATCGAAAAGAAACAAAAAAACCTAGAAATCTACTGGAGAAAGCACTAACTATTTAAGGTTGGGAAACATTGCTGAACTCAACAGATGCATCTCTATATGTGACGAATAAATTGCTTGCAACGAATGATAGACAGATTAGATTATGTAAATAATGATAAAAAGACCTACTTAATTGTTGGACTGTCTTTTGAATAGCCACCATCATATTCTGCAGCTAATGCAAGTTGATTAAAATCAAGTACATGACTGCCAGCAACAAGTAAATCGATTTCATCTGCTCGAAATAGTTTTCTTAGTGAACTATCGTGCGTTACCAATAAAAATCCGTGAAAAAACGGATCAAATTGTCTTTGAATACTTTTGTTTAACAAAAGATCACTGTAAAGCTGTACGAATTCCTAAAGGGTAGAATTCAAAATGGTAATTGTGAAAAGGGAAAAAGAAAATTCGAATGATAACCTCTCGGTTAGCGTTTGTTACTGATATTGTATCTCCACCGTCTTTTAAATCGAAGAGTAATTGTGAACCGATTGCATCAGTAATAGCAACTTGAAATGTTAAACTAAATGCATCTTCAACAGTCATGCCTTCGTCTTTTTCATTAAATGCTAAAAGACTTTTTAGGCTTTTATAGCTAGTCTAATAAATAGAAATTTATTGATTAAGAATTACTTATGAAAAAAACGACCTACTGGATGTGAAGTTGCAAGATCTTCAAAAGTACCAAATTTTCCCAGCAATTTACGATAAAGTATGGGTGGAAATTGTATATCAAGAATAATTGAGTTATATATAGCTAAACCAAATAACATGCCTATTAATGTATATTCACGATCGAGATCTTCGGCTGCCGATGGATTGAACCATAAACAACGAGTTTCTTCATTTGTCATAAACATAGCTAAGAAGACAAGAAAAAAGCGTTTTCTTCACAAAATTACAACATTGAAAGATATAGTATTCATGCAAGAGCAAGTCTACAACTAGATAGCTATTTATTTTTAATAGATATCATTAATTGCTTGTCTAAATAACTCAGATGTAAGTAACTGCCATACTATTTCGATGAATTTCAAACGATTGATCAAGGAAATACGACTGACAGCTGATTCTATGTTCTAAAACTATGCTCTACACAATGTATTTTCCACCTTTTTTTTTGTACCTAGCAGGTATCTTCACCTGTCAGAATAAATTCATGATGATTCTCAAAAGTTGTTTGATGATTCAAAATATGCTTTAGATTCTTGTTTAGATAGACCAAGAAAGCAGCGAACTATAAAAAATCAATAGCTTGTTTTTTTGAATGTCGTTTAAGAAAACAAAATTTCATTCATACTTTCCCAAATTAAATTTTTGGAACTGACCAAAAGAATACAGTACATCGCAATCACAATACACTAATTCTTTCGATAGCAAAAATAGCCAAAAAGCACGCCGTTTGGTAACTTCAACTTATAATAGCCATAGAAAACTGATGAAAAATAACAGTTAGCTGAGAGTGTTATTTATTCACTAGTCTTCACTGACTGACGATGTCTTTCATATCAACTCTTTATCAAACATATTTTGTCCGTTAAGCAAAAGTCATCTGAGTGCATAACTACCATTCAGCGAAAAAAAATAGCACGAAACGAAATAGAGCGGATGCGAATCTGAACAAGTACATCTTTTGGCAATGTTCAATTATTTACATTTATAGGTGGTTCATCTTTGTCGATCTGTTTATACACGTTAAGCTTGACGAAGTACAATATCTCTTGATCTTCGTAATCCTTGAACAGATGGAAGAACTATTTTTAAGAATGGTTTCTCTCTTGAAATGACTGGAATTTAAAACATTTTTGGAAGAAAACTACTACAACGACATCTAGTGTTTTTGTTGAAAAAAATGTTTCTGGTTATTAAGTACTATGAATTGAAACAACCAATGAGACGTGGCTCTATTCTAAAATTCCAGAATTTTAGAATAAGGCCACTGCTGTGAACATATTACGAAGGCTTTTTTGCTTACTTTATTTTTGTACTTTCCCCAAAGTAACGTCGTGAGGAAGTAATATAGAAGGATTAAACTGTTTCACAAAATTTCATTCAAAACTCAAACGTGTTCAAATCAATTCTCACTTTCAACCATAACTGCTAACTAGAAAGCATTGCCTAGAATCAATTAAATTTAACTTTGAAAAGAAAAACAAAAGCTTAGAAGATAAAACTTGCTGCTGCAACAAAATTACTGTTCAACAACGCACCGTATTCTGGACTGAAAATTTGTTCTGTGATGAGTTGAAAAAATTCTTTCGACAATCCACCTAGACAATATACAATAATTAATAACAAACGAAAAAGATATTTCAAAGAAATTTTCAATACCTTCATCGTGACCTTGTTCGCCCTCAAATTCGACAAATAATTGTTTTTTTAGTTCCTCTGGTTGTTCAATTCCTTGATATTCGAGCTAGACAAAATAAATTGCCTTCTATAGAGAAAAAATTTGTGTAATGAAACACAGATGACTCTAACATACCGAGATCAGAGCATCTTCAATCAGATGATCACGTCGAACATTGATTTTAAAAACTGGATTTAAACGAACTGAGCTAAATATATTATGAACAAATATTGAACGACGTTGAAGATACATTCGTGCTTTACTCTCGATATTAAGTAATGCTAAAAGGAAATAAATGTTTATGAAAATAAAATTTATATAAAAATTACCTATTTTATTTATAGTTGAGAGAAAAAATGGATAGTAAATAAATGAGAACTCAATAGAACTGGTTGGTTGTTGAATAAAGTTCAAATATTCTTTTTTTATTTCCAGTTTTTCATTGGCATATTCATTAATAAAAATATCAAATGCATATTGACCACGTCGATATTCATTTGGTTTAAGATCGAGCTTTATTTGTAAAGCATTATCATAGGGTGAGTCGGTATCCTCGATCTCACTGGTTGCTTTACGGGTTTTTATTCTTGTTGCAGGTGTTGCTGAAGATGTAGAAGCTACTAAAACATTTTCACTATCGGATTGTTGCTGTTCATTTCGTTGTTGTTGTTGTTGTTCAGTATCACTATCAGTGTCGTTGTGTCGTTGACGTCGTTCGACTAATTCACGTTCTGTTTTTTCATAATTTTTACGTTCAATATCTATGATTTCTGATGAATCACGTTGTCCACCGAGAAGATTAGCATAGAAAAGTAGTCGCAGTGTATTTAATCCTTCTTTCATTCCTAATAAAATAAGTAGAAATATATGATTAAAATACATCGGAATTGTTTAAACTGAATGCCAATTAGATTAAATGAAAATTCTCGATATCACCAGTAAAGATTTAGTTTTGGAATAGCATCGATAAACTGAACATTCACTTACAGTTTATCATTCTCCGATCGTTAATTTAATAGAATAATTCTTATAGCATTTAAACAATTTATGTATCACTATTATGATGGCTCATAGACTTACACTGTGCTAACGATTGAATAAGTAAATCTAGGAGAAATGAATGAACAGCAAGTATATTACTTTTCAAAAAATAATTTTCTAAAGTTGAATTAGTATCAGCAAAGAAGTATGTTTTCAATGAATGACCTATGCTCTATAAATGATAATAAACTAAGAACTCGAACGCTTTTCAGTATAGGAAAAGTTCATTAAGATCTTGGTGATGCCCTTTATATCATCTCTGACGCGATTTATTAATCGTGAGACATCCCTCGCGAACACTTACGGTGACTCAAAGAAAGCTAGTTAACTTCTAATGGGATTCAACGTAGATCAGAAAATTTTGAGAAATATGTGTTCATAGAGAGTACTTCGAAAACGAAGTCAACACTTCTACTGTACCAAATAAAATAATATGGACCCAAAAATGGTCAAATATCTGGTTTGTAATAACAGATCAATATACATATACGATATGCAGATTGTCATAATTGTACGTAAACAAATAACAATTCTTTTGTTGAATTTTTGATTTTTGTCTAGATGTCTAAGTGTTCAGTAAAATATCTACATTGGTATTTGATCCTACAGGAAAGGAATTTTTTCGATGTAGATTTTATTTTCTTAGATATTTGCATTTATTTCAATTAATTGGATGATTATGTAATTTTAAAAGTATCTCATACTGCACATTTCTATTACCTGGTTCACTTGATAGAAGCTCTTCACTATTAGTTTCAATCCCAACACGATCACACCAGCGTAACGTATGCATAGTTATATATTGTTGTACATGTACAACATAAGCATCTAGGTTCGTTGTGTATTTGGATAAAATCCGTACGAATTTTGCTTGTGCTTTAATAGATAAATTCGTTAAAATTGAATAAAATAAACGAGCAACGTCGAAAAGAAACAATGGATCGGAAAGATATGGTAGTTCGAATATAATCAAGAATAGATTAAAAAAATTTGCATCTGTTTCAAATTCATTGCGTTTTGATTTCAATTCATATTGTAATTGATTTAATAATAAATCTAATGATTTATGAATTGTTGAAGAAATTTGATCTTCATAAGATCTTAAAAGTTTCATTGTACTTTTCATGACATCAAAATCTAATGTTATTTCATCATTATCCAGTGTTATACGTGGATCATGTATAAAAAAGCCTAAAATATATTTATGAGAAAAGAAAAAGAATTATCCTACGAATTACAAATGAATAATTACTTTTTGGTGTAGCACTTGCTGTTGGTGACGATTCTGATTTATTAGAAATATTTTCTGTAAAGTCTACTTTTAAAAAGCTAGTTAATAAATTAAATCTATTGGAGAATATAATCTCCATCGATTTCTCTAATATATTCCAATCATTTGTTTTTTCACACTGACTAATTAATTCTTGAAGATTATTTTCTGTTAAATTATTTATTTTAATCTTTTGTTCATTTTCTTCTATTAGATTTACATCATCACATAGTGGTGCATATTCAGAACTAAGACGAATAACTTCGGCAGCTACTTGATTTCGATCTTCTAAAATTGTTTTATCATACTTAAATGAAGAACTTGATCGACAATAGATATTTGAGCATTGAGGATTTCCTATAGATTAGAAAACATTTAATGAAAATTGAAAGCAATCAAATATTCCTATACCACAGCCACTAATCAATTGATGAAAATAGCGATGAATAATCTTCTCTGCTAGATAAAAGAAAAAGATAGTTTGTGGAAAGCAGAAAAATAAAGCTGTTTTCAAAATCTATACCAGCTGGCATTTATTTTGTTTGTGTATGGAAAGACCCTGTTTGTTTTAATTTCTAGAAGAATATAAGTTTTAAAAAACAATATTTTATCAATAATTATTTGATCTTCTGTTTCGGTTAGTTTTTTCTGTTGGCAGTAATTTCTCAGAGCTATACTACGTAGATATTCTAACTATTGGTTTGCCACTATTTTACCACAGCTACACAGTATTTATGCCAATCGAACGTTGACGAATTCGGAAGCACAAACGTTAAAGGAAAATTCTACAGAGGGCGTTTGCACGTTTACTTGTAATATTGAGGAAAAAAAATAGCGGGTATAGATATTTTAATTAATCATTAAGCAATGAATGCATCAAGACGTGTGAGTTATATGGTTAATAATCTTTGTAATATCTGTCATCGCATATTTCTAGAAATCTACTCGACAATTTAATATAGATGATGTTCAAAATGCAGCACCTGACTTTGTTACTGAATTTACTAGTAGGCTAAGAAAAAAAACTAACATATGTGAAAGCACCATGAACTCGAGATATTTTGAGACTGGGTAAACTTATTACTTATTTTAGAAAATAAAGTAGATCTTCGGAATAAGAATCTATGTCTCTTATCTAAATCAATGTCAACCAGACCAGATGTTGTTTCTCTTGGCTGACTGCTTGTTGCTTTTATTTAAATCAAAATCAATTGAATTTTTTGTATAGCATATGAAGCCTTCCTCGATAGTCAAATATCTGATGCAGATCAAAATTATTTACAGGCAAGGCTTATTCTTATGAGTAAACATAATAAAAACTGATCGCCTTGTGGTTTTGCTCTTGACTCTTAAGGATAGTGATATAGCACGACAATTTGTTGAGTTAGGATTTCGAGGTATTGGCCATGCTCTATCTCGAAAAGATTTTCAAGAACGAAAATATCATGCTGAACTTATTCTTCAATCTCGTCGACAAGGACCAATATCAATCATTAGTGATTCATTAACTGTTATTGAACCATTTGCTCAAGCACTTGCTTCTCGTGAAGAAGCTAATCGAACTACCCGTTTATTGACAATTATTTTTATTCGCGATAGAAACAATGTCGGTCATGAAATATCAGGATACATTGATTATGCATCTCGATTAAAACTCGACGATTTCACACAATTTTTTATTGGGCAAAATAAACTTGTACCATTAACAACAGATTTAAGCTTTTATAATTGGGATACACATATGTCTACATCAAATGATTCGAATAATTTTCATTTATTACCCGATGTCAATGGAATACGATTTCGATGCCAGCATGATAGAAAAATTGTTCATGTTGATCCAGAATCAAAAAACTATGGAGATGGAACCACAAGAACATGTGTTAACACAGATGGTTATTTACAAATTATTCTCTATGTAAATATTGAAAACATTTTCTTTTTCCTTTTTTGTGAACAGTTAAAAAAAATCGTTATTCTCTTCTGAAAAACAACATGGATATATAGTGGTAAACAAAAATCTTCCTTCTAGCCGATTTGTCTAGAAATGTTCATAAGACTACTTCAGAAATGTAGCACTAATCATCATCTGATTGCCAGCATGCTAAATGAAATGTATGGCGTAGATTATTTTCTATGTTCACACTGATTGAGTTCAATGCTCACCTATTGACTATGGTATAAATGTGTCATTATACTATCGATGATGGTAGAATATTCAGTAAAGTTAACATACTACACTGATTCGATTCGGCCTAGTCGACTATGTGGAACAAGCTTATAATAGGAACACACAATCATACATAGAAGAAGTGAAACAATGTAGTCTTTTCTCACGAGCTATTTGGGAAAAGCTTGTTGACGCTTTGCTTTCACTGAACTTGCAAGACGACAAGGACTTCCTGAACTTGTCAAAATTTCCCATCGATTCAAAAAGTAATAATAGATCTCATAAATTTGATTAACTTTCTATTTTATACCATCTGATAACAATTGAAAAACATCAGTAACTATTGAGGACTGGGTCAAGCACAAACTAGCACGTAAATGAATTAATCTTTTGTATTGGTAATAAATCTTGAATATATATGTACATATTTACACGTGGGGAGTCATCAAATTTACACACAGTATGAAAAAATTATATTACGTTCATCATCAGAATCATTTGACTTCATACAGTTCGACTAGGGGCAGAAGCTTCTGTTTATTTCTGTCAACATTACACTATTCTGCGAATTTTACTATTTGTTTGCTTATCTTATTTCAGGACCATTATCTACGTCGAAAAAAATTTTAAGACTAATAGAATCATTAATTATATTTCTTTGTTCACATGTTACTTATGTGATCGAATGGTCAAAAAAAAACCTTTTTCTTAATCTCTGGTTTAAACAACCGGTTGACTGACACAGTAATTATACAAAGAAGAAAACACAAGAGCACGCATACACATTGATAATGAAAACAAGAAAAAAAGGGCGAATATAATTGATGACATATCAAACAACAAAAACAAGTCAAAGAAACGAAAAAGAGACCGATGATGGTTTTCATGTTTTTCAAAACAGCTCATCTCTGTATACATGAAAATTGAAGTTTCACATGTAACACAAAAACAGAGCACAAACGAGTATATGTCATCATTTTTTTTGTTTGGTTTCTGCACGATAAGCATCAAGTTCAGCATCAAGATCTTCAGCTGAAATATCTTCTTTCTTTCCACCAGAACCGTTTTGTTGTTGCCTACCACCACGTCCACGATTACCACGAACACCATTTGGTTGATTATTCATACGACCGCCAAATCGCTGATTTCTAGTATTACCTCCATTAGCTGATGTAAAACGATTGGACTGTAGTTTGGATCTATCATCGACACCACCAACAAGTCTGATGTCCATAGGGCGACCTAAAGAAGCCAAAATAAAGGTGTGTGCTTTTTTTGGGGGGGGGGGGGGGGGGGGGGGTTGGGGGGGGGGGGGNCGCCCCCCCCCGGGGGCAGGTTTGCTCAAAATAGCGTACCATCTAGATTCAAAGTATTATATTTTTGTTGAGCAGTAACAGCATCAACACGGCGTTCATATACAACTTCAGCTGTGCCTAAAGATCGACCATTTTCATCATAATGTACACGAGCTATACGTATAGCTCCAACATCCTCAAATAATTCCTTAAAATAGCAATGAAGAAAATTAGCTTTAATCAAGTGAAATTAATAAATTCTTACTTCAATATCATTGGTAGTGACACCGAAATCAAGATTTGAAATGAGTAGTTTAGTTGTACTATTCACACCAGCAGTTCGTTGTACTTCTCGATTTTGATTTGTATTATTTTCATAGAGATCATGTTTCCAACGACCGGCTGCTAACGGATTTGTTGTTCGAGGCTAAATAAAACAAATGAATAAAATAAAATAAATTAATAAATATCACTCACTATTCCACCACCACCACGTGTTCGAAATCCATTAGCACTTCCTCGGCCAGTTCGTGCACGAAATCCACGATTACCACCACCACCACCACCTCGGCCACCACGTCGATTTGTTGTACGATCGTTTCGAATGATATCGTCAAGACCAAGGCCAAGTTTGTCCGAATCGGTCATTTCAATATTTTGCTATTATTTATTATTATTATTAAATACGATAATAAAATGGCGTTAATCTAAAAACTTCAGTGGGTTTTTGTATGGCAAATTTCGCTGTTGATGTCAAATTATTTTGAACTGGATTTAAATCACAAGTTCAATAAGAACAATCCGGCTGTATTTGTTTTATTTGTCTGTAAGAAGATAGACTCCGTCTGAACGATAAATTCGACATATTCGTCGAACGAATAAGCGAATTATGCACCTTCAATACTATTCATATGTTTGGGTTGGGTTTTTTAATCATTTCCTAAATTTTCATACTTGTCATACAAATGAGAAGGACTCGAGATGTTAATTATAAGCAAAAGTACAGAAATCATAATGCCAAAAGAGAAGAAAGAATAAAATCTTGATGCGTAATTTCTTTCATAAAAAAACAATGAAAAAAGTATGTGTATGATGAGTGTTAATGTTTTCGCTAACCATGTTTAAAATAAATGTACATTGACCTTTATTGCCATTTTTTTCTATCGACGAGTAAGAATCGACTTGAGAATGGTGCAGCAGCGCTAAAATGTAAGAAAATAAGTAGTTCACTTCATATAAAGTAAATGAACCAATCAAAAATGAATCCTTATTTTACCGTCAACCAGTGGTGCTTTTCCTTTAATAATCTAAAATATCTCGTCGATCATTTTTTTTATTTCGATACCTATATAACTTTGATTGTCTTACTATAGGAAACGAATTAATATGAAAAAGCATATCCACTTCGTATATTTAGGATCCATCTTTGCCCACACCTGTTTAGTATAATTACGAATATTTAGTTTCTTTTTCTGGTAAAATTGAAATAATTTAATTCTGATGTATGAAACTGAAAAACAACTGCTTAGTAATTATTTTGATCAAAATACTTTTCTGTTTTTTAGTTATCATACACTTTTCATCATATGCTGCTATTAAAGATTGCTTTTTATTTAATAACAATAATAGTATTTCATATCAAAATATGATTGATCAAGTAGTGATGTAGCTCAATCTACTCGGTAAAGTGGGACTGTTTAAGTTGTCTTAAATAAAGTATATCAGCTCAAGCAACGTGCGTCTTTTATAATTACAATATGACACTGGGTGCTTTTAAATCAACTTGCGTTTTTTCTATAAATTACCTTGGTAGTTCTTATGCTTTCTCAATATATTGTTCTCTCATAAGAAGATCGCTATTTTTTGTCTGAAGTTCAAAGCAATATCTCCTTGCCTGCTACATGTTTCATATCAAACGAGTGTTTTGAATATATATGTTTTCTGATAGTAGTCTTGTATACAAAAAAAAAGATTTCGTATTGATTAAAATGCCGTTTTTTATTTTATCAATCAAGAATATGATAATATTGAATAGAAGAGAAATTCAAACTCTAAATGAGCTTCGGAAAACCCATTAATTTGTTTATTAAAAATCTTACTGATTTCTTCTTTTTTGTTTCTGATTTTCGAGGGCGTATCTTCTTTGGTCAAAGAACTGTATTTCCAATTTTTAACGATGGACACGCGCATGGTCTTATTTTTTCTCTCTCCTTCCCTTCTAGAGTTGATATGTTCACGTAAAGATATTTCGATATCCTGAATTCGTCTTCACCGGCAACTTGAGAATTCATAACGATTCTCATTTTAACTTCTTTTCTTTAGTTAACTGTCTTAATTTATATTGGTATCAGCATCGACTTTCATTGTTTCCTAATGAAATTTTGTAACCATCGTTAATGACATAATTTTAGCAGCATAACAGCTTTAGCAGAGCTTAATCACTTTTTTCTTAAACGATACTTTGAGTCAAAAACATAAACTTTACAATTATTTTTTGTAACTGAAACAATAAGAGCTTCTCATGATTTCTTCTCGTGTGTATTATATATTTCGACATATGTATGAACGTAAAAGCTCGTGCAAATATTACACCCTTCAGCTGATATTAAAATAAAAACTAAATTTTGGTCAAGATGATCGTATCAATATTCCGCGCATGAAAATAGATTGATGTTTCTCTTATGTTCGCGCTATTTATACACACGTGCAAATGCTCAATGCATCGAAGATGACAGAAAAAATGTTAAGCCATTGTAATGATTTTTATGAAAAAAACTGTTCTAAATAATTTTATTCGATTATCAATAATAATCAAACAGTCCTTTATGTTGTTCGTTTCGAAAAACATAATTATCTAGCTTCAAAACAAAAAGTAACAAGAGACTGCCATGAATTTTCACGTTTGACTTGTTTAATAAATAATTGAAAAATATATATTTTCGTTTATTAATAAATCGTTTTTAGAAAGCAAATAAATGTGGAAACTTCGGATTTCATTCGAGAGTTATGTGTACTGCAAAAAGTGCATGCGACATATGAGTCATTCTAGAATGCCTGAACACGAAAATTATCATGAGAAACTAGACAATTTGATTTCTGGATGGAGTTTTTGTGAATTTTGAGACGTTTTTCAGGCGATGCTTCGTTAGAAAGCTATGACTTAGTTCAAAACTAATATCAGATTTAGAATCAGCGTTAAAAACTGACTCGATTTTTATATGTTGTTGATAATTCTGAGAAAAAAAAGTTTTTTTGAAAAATCTCTGTACCCCTCCTCAGGGATGGTCTGATCAAAAATGACAATTTTTTCGACAACTCAGCCATTTCTTGACGGATCCTTCTCATCTTCGAACTCGACCTAGATATTGATAAGACAATTCTGTGCACAAAATTTCAGCTCAATCGAATGTAATTGTGAAGAGTTATCGAATAAACGGACAGCCGGACGGCCGGACACACTGACTAGTGTACTCTTTTTTTTTGAGTACACAAAAAGGAATAAATTTTAAATGACTAAACTAATTTGCTATTATTGATTAGTGAATCAAAAGGAAAGACTGATATTATTTACTAAATGACTAATTGATTGATGGGAAATATATAAATATATTGTCATTCTAAAATAACTAACAAGAATCTTTCGTTTTTTCTATGTTTGAAGATGATCATTGAGTGCTTCAACAAATGTTGCTGAAGACCAAAGTTTTACTGAACATGAATATGAACATGAACGTCCATCGTTATTTTTTAATTTAGGTAAACCATTCTAATCATTTGACTTTAATAAATTCATATGTAATCCATAGTATAAATATGGATGATTGTTCTTTTACTTATACATGTATATAGAAATCGACTAATATGAAAGGCTGAATGTTGAAGTTCATCCGTTCGTTATCAATTGATTTTCACAAAAGGCATTATATTTTTTAGCTTATTATATTTATATGAATAAGAAGTATAAGAATGTTTCACCGCGGCAATCTTTCTAAGGTGCATTTTTATAAAAATGAATTATACTGAGAAATATTTTTTGTTAAAAGAAATTCAAATAAAAAGATCGCATTTGATTTAGTTTTGGATTCTTTACATTGATAATGAATTTTACTGATTATTTGAATTATGTCAAATCTCAACTGGTAGGAAATGAACTTATATCTATCTATCTATCTATCTATCTATTGCGTATTGTCAAAATGGATTTGTTTTCTTGAAATAAATACTCTATTGAGATAAGATAAAATGATATTTTGATTACTAATCCTCTGAAAATTAACTACTAGAATTATTTTCGTTGGGAAATATTAGACTGATTTGGTACGATTTCGTCTCATTCGTATTGTTTTGGGCAATGAAGCTTGTGATCTTGATTCAACTATAAGTGCATGTATCTATGCATATTTTCTTCATAGTGTAAGTTAAGTAAGCTAAACAAGTATTTTGTTTCATATGTTCGATTTCTTTTTCAATATCATTTTATTTTAGACCTGCCAAACAAACAATGAAGTTCTTCATGCACCTATGTTACAAATCAAGTCATCTATATTTACTGAAATACGCTGGTTTCTAAAAGAACACTATTCGAATATAATTTTTATTGATAGTATTAATTTAAGTGATTTATATAAACAAGAAAAATTTGAAATCGTTCTTGTTGATCATCATTCTCTACGTTCAAAACTGAATCAAGTTGTAACAGAAATAATTGATCATCATTCTACAGAAAAGGATTGAACTATATTAAACGCGTATATTTCGTTGTTAATCTATTACTATTAAATTTTTCTTCTGTAGTTCGTCAAAAGTGAAAATAGAACATGTTGGTTCCTGTTGTACGTTAATAGCTGAAAAGATCTTTGCATCTAATGCAAATTTTCATGTAACCGACGAAATTGCGTATTTGTTAACTGGTAAGCAAATAGAAAAGGAAAGAAGAAAAAAATAACAACAAGATAAAATTACGATAAAGAACATCAACTATTATTCATTCAAGGTTCTATTTTATTCGGCACACTTAATTTTTCTTCTAACGCTGGTAAAGCAACGAAAAAAGATAAACAAATATACGAACAACTTTTAACCTGTCGAACTTCACGAGTTGACGATTTTAAATTATATAAAGATCTAAGACAAAGTACTGCCGATATTACAGGTAATTATTTCGATTGTTTATTTTTCTCTTATTATATGCAATTGTTGATTCATTAGGAATGTCTATTCAAGATTTATTACAAAAAGATGCGAAACAGGTTGCTGGGCCTAATATGCGTCTTCTAATATCTAGTCTTCCATCTGAATATACAGTCGAAGTAAAAAAAGGAATATTGAATTCATTTTTTAAAATTAAATGCTTATATTTTCAATAGAAATTAATTGGAGAATTAAAAACCATGAAAGATATGGATGAATTTTTATCTAAGAATGATAATGCTGACGGTGTAATTATTCTTTCACTTGAAACACATAATGATGAAATCAAACGTCAATTAGGTTTTTATGCTAAGAAATTTGAACATATGCTTCCAATCAATGAATACATACAACGTGAAGAGCATAATCTCAGTTTACGTGAACGTGGTATACCAATAAATCAAGCACGTATCAAATTATTCGAACAAAGAAATGTTCAAGCGTCTAGCAAAGAAATTCTACCATTGATCGAACAATTCATAAAAGATTTTGCACCACAAAATTCCTCCTAAAAGTATCTATTTTATTCAAGACAAAGAATTAGTTTTTTCTGTATTCTCTTCATTATTATCATCGATTGGTTTGATTTGACCACGTTTAAATTCATCTACTATTGATTTAGCATATGTTGCATTGAATAAATCACGTGCTAAAAATTGATCTTGTTTGATATCTGTTACATCATAAGATACATATGGTTTTAACTAAACAACATAATCTTCATGAAAAAACGAATAAAGTTCAATATTTCTTCGCTTACTTTAAAGTCAGTTAGATCAGGTACAACTAATTCTGGTTCCATTTCTTCAACATAGACAAATTTAGCAGTTTGATGATCGAAATAACCAGGCATTTGTACGCCACGATCTAAAATTTTCAATTTACAATCATAGATTCAGAAAAAATTACTAATAAACAATATCTGGGATAAACTCTGCGCTTCAAATAGAATTTTGTATTTTTTAAATGACTCATTTATGATAAATTTATGAGTCAGTGTATACATTTGATATTCACATTTACTTTTTTCCAACAATCAATAAATAGTAAATGAACCTAGTTAATGTTTTGTAAGCCAATCTATTATTGATTGGCAAGAGTGCGAATCGTTTAATTCTTTTTTTGGCCTTCACTAATAGTAACAGGATGTTTTTCATGACAAATTTTTAAATTATTTTCATTGCGAAAGATTTAACAGTATGAAAAATAGATAGAGATTGCAAAAACACTCACTAACAGCAAACGAGATAAAAATATTCTCATCAAAACAAAAATGATTCATTTGATTGATTGTCTACTACTCAAAGAAGAATTTTTTATTCCTGAGATCCAAATATATAGAAGAATTCATGCATAAAATATTTTTATAAAAATTCAACAGTCTCTGTTTGATGAACTTACGAGCCATATACATTGCATGCCAAAGTTTATGACCGCCAGGTTTATGTTCACTAGCCATTTTTGTTGTTAATTGGAGTCGACTAAGAATCAAAGTTTTGGCAAATCAATAAACATCAAAAAGAAAAGCGAAGTCTAATTTTTACCTCCAAACAGGTACTCGGTCTCTATGTGGAATTGGATTAGCACTATCATATTTTTGATATGGAAAATATTGATATGTTGGATGTTTGATGCGTCTTCGAAAATGTATCGATGAAAGAGCAAATGTACGCTGAATAGTAATACTATGATTATTATTCAATAGACTTTTTAACAATAGATCTCTTGATAGAAACATTACAATGTTTTTTTTTTCTTAAAAATAAAAGTAAAGGAAACATTGTACAAAATGCAAGAATTATTTCCTCTTATCCTCTTGTTTGAATTTAGTAATGATAGAAAAAAATCATTTACAATTAATAAAATAAATATAGAAAGAAAACAAAAAAATCTATGTAAAAGGAGCCACTTTCGTTTTATCTCGGTGACGCGACTGTTGACGATGGTACAGTTGGTATTGCATTTGAAGTTGTCATGTCATCAGGTAATTGACTGGTTATCCAAGTTAAACCTAAACAAGAATTTTTTCCTCAAACACAAGAAATTATCATTTAATTTACCCCATTTTAAGTTAGTTAACATATACTTTAATGCTTTCGTCCACTCTTCGAGCGATTTAGCTTGATAACTAAACAGAATATAGTAATAGCTATAATAAAGGCAAATCATTTTATGAAATGTAAATACCTGACATGAAATTGATATCCATTACTATCAGTAATAACACCTTTCTTTTTTTCATTCATTTTATATGGTAAACAAAAACGTTGATTCTTAGATTCAATTGCTAGTTTAAACTAGATCATAAAAATACAGTAAAATTAGTCATTAAAATTTAAAAAAAAAACAAGAAACTTTACTTGATTAACACAATCAAGAAATGCAATCAATGCTTTATTAAATCTAAATTTTAAAGAAAAATGCATGCTTCGATAAGAATAAATGAAGCATTTAAATTTACTGAGTATCCCAAGTGAGATGTCGTCGACCTGTATATAGTGGCAATTGTACGAATTTACCATTTTTACTTTCACTTAAATCGTCGATATAAGAATGACTTCCTAATGGAATAATTCTGTATCTATTGATATCAATACAAATATTATCAATCGATCAATAAAGTATTTTTACTTCGTAAATTGAAGATCAATTCGGTTAGCTAACGAGTTCAATAATAAAGCAGCTTGGCCAAGACCAGCATTGATTTCAGACCATTCGACCTATTTTTATAGAAGAATCTCATTTAAAAAAGATTAAAATAATCGGAAAATATTTTCACATTGACGCCTGGTAAACGACCAAGTCGAAAACCATTTATTGTACCAAAATGCTCCTGATGCCTATTTGTTTTAATATAAAAAAATATATATAATAAATGAAAAAAGAAATTTTTTTTTTCTAATTGACCATATATGAAACGCAGCATTGAAAGCATTTGTTTTACTCAATTTTTCATATTGAGCACGAGCATGTTTTGTTTGATTATCAATGCTAGAAGATAATTCAAATAATTATATTATCATCTAGTTTCAATAATTACCTTTTCTGTTCATCTTCAGCTTTGAATAATAAACGTTTTTGTTCATTATATTCACGCAAATATCTGAGATGAAAAAATTAGAATATTTATTATTATATATTTAAGAAAATAATAGATTAAGAATTTTATGAAAATTTTCATAGAAAGAGTGTACGGCAAGTTTTTTCAGATCTTTCTGATAGTCTATATGAAGTTTTTCTCGGTAAAGATCTCTTTGAAAACTCAATATCATAGATTTAGTTCAAATAGAAAGTTGAAATATAGTATATATATATATATATATGGTAGGAATACATTCTTTACGAAATGCTTACTTTGTTTCTTCTTTTTCTAATGCTTCTTCTTCTTTTTTCAACTGTTCTGATTCATTTTGTACTCGTTCATTTTCCTGTTCTAATTTTTCTAATTCATCTTTTAATCGTGTTTCTTCTTCATCTAACTATCAATAAGAAACAAACGTAATCATTTAATTCTTGTTAAAAATGGAATTGAATCATCTATATTTTTACTTCAACTAATTCTTGTTTTAGCTTTTCATAATTTTCTTGTTGAACATTTGTCGAAGAATTGAGTTGTTCGAGTAATTTTCTACAAACGATAAAACAGGAAAATTTTGAAAAATAAAGTTTTTAAAATTTATTTTACTTATAGCTTGTTAATTCATGTGTTGCCATTTGTAGATCAACATCAAGTTTATCCAAAAGTGTATCTGTACATTCCTAATTAAATTTATGAAGTTAAAAAAATAATTTATTTTCTCATGAACAATCTTTCGTACCTGACAAAGAGGATGATCGAATGTATATTGTTCCGATAGAAAATCATACAATCTTTCGTGTATCTATCATCAGAAGGAAAGAAAAGATTAATTTAAGACATAAAAAAAAGTGCACATTCTTACATTAACATCATTTCGGTATTCACGCATTGACTTTTGTTCAAAATCTTTATTTAGATCATGAGCAACAAATGAAAAACCATTTGTACTATCAATACTACTTTGTGATCTAACAGTATGAGAAAAAAAAAGAAGAATTTTGATTTGTTCAATATTTTATGTCAAACATACAATCGTTTTCGACCTAATGTTTTTCGAATAACAATTGTACCATCGGACTAAAATTTATGCAAAATATAGAAAATAAAATCTTTCATAATGTACATACTCCGCCTTGCTGTAATTCATTGTAAGATTCATCACTGATTGTTGTGCTTGATGCTAAAGTCAAGAATTTATGAAGTTAAATTAAAAGATTAAGGATTTCTTTTTATTACCATTTGGTTTTGTCATATTATTATCGATTGTTTCTAGTGATGAATCTTGTTGAAGAAAATTACCACATACTTGACAAGCAAACTGTGGTAAAGGAGACTTTGGAGCATTTGTAATCATTTTATCTAAACAACAAACGTTATGCTTTATATTTCAATATTTGATTCTTTGAATATATGTATATATAATGTGCTGACTTACCTCGTGCTTGCTTGCTTTGCTTGTTGTTTTTTCTTGAACCAACCAACTCATATATGTATGACTCATTCAATTCTTATGATTGGTTATTTGAAGAACAATTTAGGCTACGATATATCAATGATAGATAGATGCCACGCAATTCTTCATTCATTAATTGAAACAGTTTCGTTGAATATATTTCTTTCATCGATTCATTAAAGTAATAGTAAATTAGGTTAATGACTATACTCATCATTTGAATTTATTTATAATAGAACTATTTCTTAAGAGTATTAACGTGTTCTTTTAGGTAGGTGTGCTTCCTACAAGATATTTCAAATCTATTTGAATTAGTATGTTTTATCGGTAGTTTCCAAGGTAAATCCAATAGATGAGTTTTTTGTACTTCAATGATCTATTCAGTCAAAAAATATCCTTGATGAGTTCATTTCTACGAGAGCGATTCAGAAGTGCTCTCATACAGGTTCCTTCGTGCACTGATACTATAAAATTTCTCAAAATAATAAAAATAACTCTTCAGAACTTACACTTAAGAAGTACTCGACATTATGTTAAATCAGTCAGTATGTTTTGTAAGATTCGCAACAAGAACGTCTTTCCAAGAGGTGGAAGCTAATCTGTAAGGGCAGCAAATTCTATGCTTATAATTGAATATTGATGGTGAGGCTTTTCTCATTGATATATCAAATGTTGATTTTCATTGAAGCTTATCAAGCCAAGTTTTCTATACTGCAATATAGGCTTATGCAGACGTGTTTCTTTTACTAAAAATTAATTATTCTATCAAAATATCTAAAGTCCATTCTTTGAAAAAGTTGCAATTCAATCAAGTATGAACTCAAAATAAACATAATTGTCTGAAAAAAATGAGATTTTATTCTAATGCTTTCGTCAAATATTCTATTTTTTACTATTTGCGTCGTATCAAAAACAGATGCCGTCTGAAAATATTGCGCAGGGTGTGGATGTTCTGAACAGCAATGCCCATACCCACACCATTATTCGGTTAGCACAAATATAGATAAAAGATTGAGATATACGTGATTCGATTCTCTTACATTCTTAAACGGAGTTCAAGCGCACTCGATTGGAACTAAATATGAGCAAATATGTTTAATTAACTTTTTATTATTTGGTATCTTCAATACTTCATCACATATACAGGATAAGTCCTAAATAGCAATACAATAAAAAATAAAAACTATTTCTACTGTACTTATATCAAATATTCACTGTATGTTTTCGTGATCGATTGAGAAGAGTTCAAATTTTTTTCTTTCCTAACTGATTTTGACATTTTCTTTGTGTTTGCTTTAAAACTTTGTATGTTAAGATATTTCATGTTATTGCAATTACATCACACACTATCAATCTTAGTCCTCAACAATATTTCTTGATGTTGTAGTTATTGAATCAAAATTTTGCACATTCGTCTATCTCTGCAAAAAAGACTTCCCTCATTCGATATTCAAATAGTAGAAACATTGATTCATTCGATTGTGATATTATTTATAGTTCATCTATGTATGATAGATAAGTAAATAAATTATAAGTGGGATGCTTTGGGAAAAACATATTAAACTTTCAAACGTGTCGATTTTGGCCTGGACTGACGACATTTACATTTTTCATAATTCGCAAGTTCATCGCAAGCACCAGTTTTGTATCCGTGATTTCTACAATGCAGTCGACATACCCATTCCTCGTGATCATGTGGTCCATTACAACCATAACTACCAGTTATACGTATTCTACCATCAATATTATCGAAAACTAAAATATAAAAGATATTTAACTAAAATAAAAAGCAGGTACTATTTTTTACTTACTAGCATCAAAATTAATGTCGGATTTTCCAAATGTCGCCGGTGTTATTGTGAAAGTAAATAAAGCTATTATTGCGAGTACCAATTTGTAGTCCATTAGTACTATTTGGAAAAAAAATTACATTCGTTTAGATAATGCATCTTAATTCTACAGAACATAGTAGTGTCCCATTTCATGAACATTTCTCAAAGATCTTTTTTTTCAGCTTGTAAATAGAATATAAATAACCTATTTACAAAGATTTACAAAATGGTTGATTGATTAAATATACACAAGAAATAGATAGATATATCTAAGCACACTTATCTGATTACATTAAGAAAAGTAAATGAGAATTTCGCAAAAGTAAAATAACGACGATATGTTTTATGATTCGATAAATTTTATTCTCTATCAGAATAATATTTTATCGGAACAAAAACGACAGGTCTATCTGAATATTTATTGCTAACGAGAGTAATAATTTTTATCGAAATGTAGTTTTATCATATGCGTTGAAAAAAAGGATCACTATTTTATTGTATGAATACAATTCATAAATTCAACCTGTTTGTATATTTCAGAAAGATATAACTAGAAGTAATGCATCATGAATCTGAAAATGCCGAGAGAATATTAATATTGCTTCGTTATTCGAATTTTATTATTTCTTTTTAAATTTTAAAGGAATTCTTATATTAAAATATCAATTAGATAGTTAAGATTTGTGTGATAAATTCATTATGGCGTGTATATCTTAACGACACGGTTGCCAAATCGAAAAGTTAGAAATTCGATTTTTTACATTGAACTTCGCAAAAGATGAACTAATTTTTAGATGCATATAAGTTTACCGTATTTCCTTTATTGGTTATCATTTATTGATGTACAGTTCATCGATAGTAAACAAAAAAGCACACAGCAGTTCATTCGTTATTCTTCTCAAAAGAAAAATCTAAGTGATTTGAAACAGCAAGGAAAAATAAATTGTGTTAATAACCTATTCAGTTAAAAGTACTTAATTAAAACTGAACGTTTTGTTAAACTTAAAATTCAATTCATTTTAAAGAATATCGTTTATGCTAACATAACTCTAATAGTAGTAAGAAAACTATACTGGCTCAGTCAAACTTGAGACTGAAGGGAGAATCAAGATGGAACAATAAGAGATAGTAACAGCTATAGTATAGAGCAGAAATTCATAAAATATGATTGTTCGAAAAACAATCGGAATAACTTAGAAATTCGGAAGATCTGAAAAGTCTGTTTAAGAACGTCAAACAACAATTTTACTTGCTCTATTTTCTAAAAGAAATTAAAATTAGGAAGTCTGTTTGAGCACTTGTGATGATTTTTTTGATGAAATTCTCTGTTTTAATTAATATTGATCGTTTTTGGCGAGGGAAAACTTTCTGAAAAGACGCGTTATCTTTATGAATTTCATACATCATTCTAATTAAATATAGAATATCAAAATTAGAATGCAATCATTGGCTCATCTTCAATAAGTTTTTATTACTACGTCATATTTTTTGACACTGATAAAAATTGTACACAATCAACGATATTCGACGCAAATCAAATAATTTGCAAGCAATAGCAAGTATGCAAATGTATCTCAGTAATATTTAGTCAATAACTCAATAATCAAGCTTAGTGCATATTTAATAATGAAAAATATCTTGAAATTTATTCGACTTACTCAATTTTAATTGATTTGTAAGAATAGAGAAAGTAAGATGAACTATCAGGGAAATATAACAGATACATGATCAAAACTCGTTGATATATACAGAGAACTACGTAACTCCTACTCTTACGTTAAATTGAAAATAACATCCCATTCAAATTGATTTTTATCACAATCAAAACAGAAATTTTTCTTTATCTACAATCAGTAGGTGTATCGGTCATAAATTACACTCATTGGAACAAGTAAAATCTTCTTTTTCTATTCAGTTTTTGAGGGTGTAACTAACCATTGTTTGACATAAAATAAATAAATGAAACACCAGAAAATTCTATGCTATTAAATTAGTCATAAACAAATGATTTATTTTTTGACGAGCAAACTCTTTTCCATTGAGATATACTAATATTATTTATCGTTTCAGTTGACAGGTTATCTAAAATATTAGTAATTTGATAGAAATTCATGACATTATCAGGACTGTCATGGATTGACAAAAAAGAAACATTCTGTAAGTCATAATCTATTCTTAACTTAACTAGTTAGCTAACATATCTATTACAACTTTAATGCAAATTAAGCAGGCTGTTATTTGCATAAGTATTGTTCTCTCCCGTATTTACGACATAACATACGTGTTTTCTGACAATATCAAATAAAAACTATCATCGACATAAAAAAAACACTTTATAAAGACATGAACAAGATTTTTATTTGAATAAAAATAACAATTATGTGTATTTAATGAGACTAGAATAAAGTAAATACTTTAAACGATTATTTCAATGTTGAAAAAGATCACTGTTAATTAGTTGTTTTTGATGTTCAATTCATGGTTTTTGTTTTTGAATATATCAAGTTTTTCTAAGTAAAACTGATGCGATCCATTTTAATTTAAGCAAGTGCATGCTTCATAAAAAATATTCATGAATCGGTCAACTAAAATGATTTTGAATATTGACCCGAAGAACTTTTATTGCTACAATCATATTTGTAATATTGAGATCAACAACAAAATTCATCAATGAATATATCTTTCAAACTAATAAAGTTTATAGTGTGTTGATATCGTTTTTCCAAGAACTCTTTCTTTTATTATTAGATAATCATATTTGAACAATACACGTCTTGACAGTAGGTTTACAGTTGATTAATTTGATCGTATCTAATGTTTACAGAATTTTTTTCTCAAATTCAAAGGAAGTAAATTATGTATTTTAATAATGATTGTATATAAATTTATTTCATATCTAATAAAAATCATTGCTCAACTGCTTCAAGAAAAAATATCAGAAGCGTACTGAATAAGTTGGAATATTATTGTTTATTTAAAATTTAAAAAATGAATAAAAAACAAGCAATTCTCTTTAATAAAATAGTTCGTAGCGATGGCAAATGACTTCTAATTATTATATTTTGATACGACAAATATCTTGTCAATTTAATGAACACAAACTCTTGTTCAGGTAGACAAATATTTTCCATTCATCGATGTAGAATAATTAATAGAATTTTTTCATTGATATTGTTATTTTCTTAGATAGACAATTTACGAGACTTGAGACCAAAAATCTTCTTTTCTTAAGCTTAATTCAAGAGAAATTTAAAAAAAACATTTTTCTTTACTTTTTATTATAGTGGCTAAAGTGTTAACAAACGGACCTGTTCCGATTCTATTGAACAAAATTTTATTCGAATTTCTTCCATACAATCTATTATTTAAAGATATTTTGTAAAACTCAAAAAAATGATGATATTAGCCATATTTATTTTGAATAGTATCTTTTTCTCCTGATAAATTCCAAAACAATCCAATAAGTGATCCTTGAAAACTTCTCTTTAGATGCAAATATTAATTTTAATCTGAATGAGTAAATCAGTTGTATTAAATTTAATAAAACGTTTTCTTAGTTCATATTTTTCTATGTAAGCCTTTGTTTTCAAGAACGTTTTGTTTTAAATGTAATTAAATAAAAACCTACCACTTGCTGATGTAAAACTTGTCAGCGCAGCCCCTTTGGGGCTAAAATGTGGAACTCACATATTGCCTATCACTTAGCTCCTATTTTACTAGAGAGATTAATTCTTAGTGTAATCAAGTTTCAAATTTGTCACTAATAAAAGAAAAAAGATTAGACGATGTATACATTTTCTGTCTTCGACGATTTAATGGGAGCCTTGATTATTTTATTATTATTGATTCTCTAAGACCTAAGAAGCATCAAACTATACACCGAAATCGTATTGATGATTATATCAAGTATCTCGATGAGCATGATAGTTCAATATATGTACCTGCGTGTTCAAATATCTTTAAAATGGAAAATATTCCACCCGATTTATTATTTTCAATGATTCATCCATTACCAACATGTCCAGCCGACGAACTTGCTTTAATACTCAATCATACTAGAAATTTTATATTTGATTAAGATTACAGCAACTGATTGGCAATTGTTCATAATGCAGACATTGGATGCTTAATACTTTCATCATTTTCTCGAGAAGTATGTGAATCACACAAAACAATTTTTTATTTATATTCATATTTCAAATGAAACTTCCTTTTAACTCCCGCTCTATTTTTATTTTATTAATGTTCGCTTATTAATATTATTTGATTTAATTTTTGTCATCATTTGTTTTTCTATCTTTTACTCTAATATTATTTAACTGTTACATCAACGGATAACTAAGCTTTTCATACAACATACATATCAAATATGGAATGCCTATTGATTAACTATTATTCATTTCAATCACCTTACAAAGATTCGTATTAATCTTTCTTGTCAGAAAAACTCGATCAATTCAGTCTTGTAATAATCATCATATTCAGATTATGGCAAACCATTGCATTTTTACCCATCATAATTAACCTACTAAACTCAAACGTTTATTTTTCACAAAGATCAAAATCTGGACGACTCAGAATGTTCACAAAACTATACTGTCGATTTACATTTTCACAAAGACTTCGTTTTTTGTTGTTGCTAGCTACTAAAGTCTGCAATGGTGAGTGTCTGTAATGGTGAGTGTCTGTAATGATCTGTGTCTGTAACGGTTAGATGTTTGTAACGGTGAGTGTCTGTAATGCTGAATGTCTGTAATGGGGATGTCTGTAAGGGGAGGGGAGGGGCTGAAAAAACCTCACCTTAAAACTTACACTCACTTTTTCTTCGAAAAATATATGTGAGTTCCACAAAATCATGCACCATGTCAAGAACTACACGATCATAACCTTGACGAAGATACCAAATCATTTTTAATAAAAAGAGCATGCACAGAATCATGAATAGGCAACAAGAGCAACAACAACAACAACAAAAAAGAAGACGCTTAATCGTATATTATAAAAGTCAAATAAAAAATTTAATTCAAAATAAAGCTATTCCAACTGCTTTTATAAACCATCGGACGTAGGGGTGTATCGATATCTTTGTTTTTTTGAGTCTACATGTTTATTTTGTATGGCTAAGTAATACTGCTGTAATTCATCAAAATTAATATTTTTTCTTGGATCATTTGTAGTTTCATTGACTTTGGCATTCATTGAAAGACTAGAAAAACAAAAAATATTCAAAAATACTTGTTTCACTCGAGTCAAAGTCTTACTTAGCAACACGTTTATCCACAGATGTAAATTTATCAATAAAATTTGGTACGCATTCAAGACGTCTTCTTAATACATGAAATGCATCCGTTTTACCTGGTAATAACATCAATAAGCCACATAATGCACGAATTAAAGTTTGATTGTTTTCTACATCAAGAAGCGCTAAACGAAGATCTAAACGAAATATTCAATAGGAATTTTAAAAAAAACTTTACTCTACAATCAAGCAGAAAATCTATTGTTCTTCATGATATTAAACTGCTATTTTTCAAGGTGTAACCAACAGTAAATGATCTGTATTTGCTCACATAGCTATACTAGTTCTGCGGTTCACACTTGATCTTTCATTGGTGATTATCTCATTTCAATCATTCGAACAAAAATGAGTATTTTCTTCGAACCATACATTGCAACTGACAATGAGATATTATAATCTCGTAGATTTTTACGGCGATACATCTTTCTCAAGAAGACTCTAATCAACTCAATATGAAAGCGACAATAACAGGTTCACGCTACAACAAAGATTCTCTGTCTGAAAACATATTGTCAAAATTTTGATTATAGCTGTCCAGCTCACTCCTAGTTTTCAAAGTATATATTTCTGTTTCATGTATAAGTCAATAGAGAAAAATAATGCTAGAATCATCAATTCAGTAGATATAAATAAATCTACTGATAATGCGTAACTGCTTGCAATTGCAGTTAACACTTACATAGATGCCACTAATATATCACTTCAATATCATTATGAACGTTATTAAATCATGAGCAACTATTCGTTTTCTTTAAGACGACTTAGAAAAGAATCATGTTTTACTTACATGTAAAAATAGGTGATTCAAGTAATTGAACTAGTTTATCGATTTCAATTAAAAAATCCACAGTAACTTCAATGTCCGCACTATTAAAAAAGTAAATAAAAAAATCAGTCTGTTTTCGACATATAACTCTTAATAATTTACAATAATTGAACAAGTTTGCAAGCATGATCATAATTTTGTGATAAAAAACATAATGCAACCAATGCTATTGGATTGTGACACCATGTTTTATACAGACATACAAATAAGCCAGCACTTTCTGTTGTTTGTAAATTTTTTAATTTAACTCGTAAATCATGTAATTCCGTTGATGTCAATAATATTGAACTAAGAATTTTAACCATTATTGCAGCAAAGTTAGTATCAGGCTCATTCGCTAATGTTTCAGATAATGTTTTATAGATATCTTCAGGTGACAGCAACATACATAATTGACTAAACAAACAACATCATAAAGAATTTAATTCCGGGTTTTTTTTTTATAGATTAAGAATGATTCGTTTTCATATGATATTTTAATGGCTTAAATTATCATATTTGATAATATAAAGTTCAAAAAGAAACGTTCAAATAATTAAATTTTTACGCAATATCTCTGAAAATATAGTTTAAATCTTCTTTTCAATATTCGTACAAAAGAAATGCAGCAAGAGTGCACAAAACAATATTGAATAATCTACAAACCGAATAATAAATGATCCACGAGCTTCTAGAAGTCCACGATCCGTGCGAAATAAATCCATAAGTACAATGATGAATTTTGTAAAATAATCATTATAATTTCTATCTGTATTTGTTCGATTGGATGTTGATATAAGTGCAAAAACTTGTAAAACCAAAAGTACAGCCTAGAAACATGATGAAAATTGTCAAACTATTTCTCAAAGAAAAATTTTATAATTATTAAACCAGCAAGAATCATAGAAGCAGATCAATAGAATGTATAATTTACATTTACATCTAGTTTAAAAAAGAAAAATCCAATCCCATATGAAAAAGAGCGCGTAAATGTAGATCAATGCAATTTTAATATTAATTCCTTTCCATTTTCTTACTTCTGTCGTATGTTGATGTTGTTGTTTATTAGGCTTTTTTCGCAATGATAAAGGTAAATTTGCAGTAATTAGTGGTGCTGGAGGCTGTGCGCAAATAAGGAGAAAATATGAATTTTATGCGCTTTAGCAAATATGAAACTATTTGATTTATATGTAATTTTTATAAAATGTGAATCTATGCAGTTTTTAAATTATATCATGCGAATTATTGGGATTGATAGTTTACCTTGATAGGATAACTCCCTGTCTGTAAAATAGCTTACTCATATTAAAAAAAGTACAATCAAATATAATCATTCCGATTAAGTTTACCTCATCAGTTGGATCGCTGAGTACACGAAATAATGTTGGAAATAAAACATCAATGTGCGCAACCATCTAAAATAATAATAAAACAAAATATCTTCATTATTTTAATCAAGTCATCAGATAATCGATAGTTATTCTTCGTTCGGTGATCGATCTACTTGCTCGTCTATTAGTTTTGCATGCTTGAACAAATACGTATAACATGATATGTTTTAATTCATGCATGAGAACTGATTTTCTTCTCATTTGTCTTTACAATACAAGCTCTTAGCAAATTACCTGATCTTGAAGACATTCAAATAGATGATGCACCCAACCTAATGCAATAATACGTGATGGTGAAGCACCCGATTGTATTTGAGTTTTAAGTACTTCAACCATTTTGGTTATCGTCAAATCTGGAAGACTACAACAAAAACAAGCAAGATTGTGTTGAATATTAAGGGAATTTCAGAAAATATTACTTTTGAGCTGCATTGTTTTCATTGCGTTTACTGCTTTCATTTTTAATTAATTGTCGTAAAACTGAATTGATCTCTTTGGCTGTCTCTCGAATGTGTGTAGATGATGGTTAGGGAAAAATACTTTTTCAAAATAAAAATAATGATAAAAAAAAACAAAGAAATCAACTAAAGAAGAAAAGGATATTTTGACGGTTATCATCATCGTATGAAAAACATGGAAGTACGGCCGACAATAATCCAGCTGAATGAGGTAAAAGTACTTGATGACATTTAGGCATATTAAGAAATTCTCGTAGCCAATGTAACGCTGTATATTGAATTAATTCGTCTAAAAAAATAAAATATTATGATAATAATAGAACAATTAGTTAAGAAGCTTTTAGTTTTCATCGTCGACTAAATGCGTACCCAGAAGGTATGAACTTATCGTATCTTTTAAAGAAGAAGTAATTATAAAAGAAAAAAAAATATATTGTTTTATTTCTATTTAAGCGTTAATAAATTGTCCAGTAACGTATAACTATAGATATCAAAAAATTCTTTTACCAGCGGGTTTGATAGTCGTAAAAAGTGGTATGAATACGCCTAGTTAATGTTTAATGTCATTTTAGTCATCCATTTTTATTTATTTTTCTCTATTTTAATCGACTAGAAATAAATTCAATTCAATTACCTGATGATTGACAATTTTGTATTAAAATTCGAGTCATATCTTCAAACATATCCGGTTGAACTTGTGAGCTTTTTAGAATCGTTAAAAATTCACTAAATAGGATTTCACAACTAAATAAATTCAGATGATGAAACGAAAATAAATGTGTTAATAAATTTTCGAGAGAATTATTACGATTTTCGAATTTCTGGATTAGGATCACCTAAAATATGAAATAATCCATCCATAATCTCTGGTAAATATTGCACCATATCAAATTCAGGTACAGATGTAAGTAAGGATACCTAATAAAATCAATAAGAATTTTATTCATTAGGTTTTCATCTTATCATACCCAAGAAACAATAAATTGCCTAGTAAATGCATTACGAACATAAATTCGTTCGCGTAGAAGTGGAATAAAAGCAATAACTTCAAATTGAGAACATGTTTCAATCACAATGTCTTTCAATAAGCGATCACTAAAAAACAAAACTGTTATTTAAATCGAATGAGAACTCACGAAACTTTCGTTATGTTAATTTAGAAAATTACATTGCCATGACTTAAACTCACATCTGTTGTTTGACTTACAAGAAGAACGTCTTTTTGACACTGAAGAATCGATCAAAACTCTTACAGAAGTGTTAATAACTCGATCAAACTGAGTATAAATTTTTCTTAAATATCTTTTCAACGTTATAAAAAGAAAAAAACGAATGCGTCTTAATTTTCTTCCAATACATGTATTGCTTCTATAATTTACTTCTGATCATAACATAAAAGTTACGTTTTGTTTTGAATTGATAATAAAATGGCAGAAAAGTTCTCAAAAATAAACAAAACTTACCATAATTCAGCTCCACTTTTCACTGTTGGTTCAAGATCGCATACAAGCTATGAAGAAAAACACAAAAATCATTCCGAAAAACTAAACCATCATGCCTGTTGAAAATGTACTTTAGACAGAGAATCAAATATTTCGTTGAAGTAAGAAAGTGTGACAGTTCGAAGAACTTTTGCTATATTATACAATGATTCACAAGCATAATATCGAACTTTTGGATCATTATCAAGAAAACATTGTAAAACCGGTGGTACAAGATATGTTTTAAATCTTTGCGCTTCCTAATAAAAACATATTATGATGAATATTTTCAAGAAACAACAAAAAACTATTTAAAAAAATACTTTGCCACACGCTATGGCTAATGCTGCAATACCAATTAAACCACCACGACGAAAATTTCCATTTTGTGATAAAACAAAATATTCACTGAGTATTCTACAAATGCGTTCAATTTGTTCATAATTTTGAGCAGTCATGAATTCTCGAACCATTCTTAATAGACAAATAAACAAATGTTTATTAGATAAGTAATCGATTCTTTTTCTTTTTATTTCTTACTTTTCAATCTCAAGTGCAGCTGTTTTACGTTTTTCATATAGTTTATCAGTTAATGTTTTAACTAATGTAGTCGATAAAGGTAAATAGTCTCGATCACTCATATTTATTTTAATCGCTTTAATCTACAACATACAAATAAAACAATCAATTTCATCCATTTCAGTTCTCTTTTGTTGTCTTTTATTGAGTCACACGCATACACACACACAAACATATACCGAAAAAAAAAAACAAGAACGAAATCGAAATAAATACAAGAAATAAAGAAAACAATTTCAAGTATTTTGCTTGCTTGACAATGAAATAGTCCTACTGAAGAAATCTCGTTGTCTATCATTTCTCCAAAAGAATTTACTTCTGACAAGAAGACCTGAAAAAAAATCAATCAAACACAGACTAATCTATGATAACGGAGCAAGTTCTTTTTTTTACAGAGTAGAATATTTTCATTATATTATTATTATTATTAATAATCACCGAACTACAGCAGTTTGTTGTTTTGATTCGGTTATATTCTTCTTCAGAAGATTTGAATGCATATTTATGACGTGTTGTGAAAAACGACTTCGACCTTCAAGTATTTCACCACATATTTTGCAACGAACTCGAACATGTTCATCACTCGGTGGTGACTAAAATAAAACAAAAAATCTAATACAATTAATTATTTTAATGTCGTTAGTATAAAATTAGTCATCAATAAGAAAAGCTGATTGTGGTCTAGATTTTCTATTAAATTAGAATAGATCCAATTCATAGTAATACATCGAATCTTAATGAGAAATACCAGGCATCTATCTACCACAGATACAGTGTCTCGGTTACATATTTAATCGGGATCTAGAAAAAAAAAACGGTCTTTCTTCTCCTTATCATAGTGATCAATGTTATGTTGAAACCTAAAAAGACTATCTTTTGTCTATGGTATGAAAATAATATCAAGATATTAGTATATTTAGAATATAACCTGTTGACTGCTTGATTTTCTTGTACCATTTCCGTTTACAGATGATGATTTTTTATTCGAAGAAGATATAGGTTTCCGAGCAGATGGTGGTGATCGACATATAATAATGTCTTCGTCATGTATTTTAGATTTTGATTTTAGATTTTCAATATTATTTAATGACGCTGACGTTGACTGCTGATCATTATTTAATGCGTGCACATATTCAATTGAACCACCTGATGTATGTCGTTGTTTATTTTGATGCTGTTGTTGAACGTCTTCTACTTCTATCGCTACTACATCGTCATCGTCATCATCACCATTTTCTTGTTCAATATCATTTCCTTCATCATCTATTTTGATCACGGTTGTAGAAGCTGATAATATCATGTTTTGCTTCTGTTGACGTGTATGATGACGTTTCTGTGGAAAGTTTTCGGTTGCAATAGCTACTGATGGTGATAGACTACGCTTTGATGAACGCTGTGAAGAGATTGTTGTTCTTTGAGTTAACTGTGCCGACGATGATGATAGCTTTGTAGCTGATGATCGAGTCGATGTTGATGAATTACTTGATAGGGATGCTGTATGCACTAAAAAAATTTAAAAATCATCCACGTCATGATTAACAATGTTTTTTTTGTCTCAGCAAGTAATTCGTTCAATATTGAAATCTATTATTTTTCAGAATTTACTAAACCAAATGAAAAATGAAATAAGATCACTATTTTCTTGAATTTCAATTAGTAAAAAATCTCTTTGCCGAATCGTTAACATCTGTTAAATTCATGACACAGGAAAAGCTTCTTTGTTTTTAGTAAGATAAGATAAATGAAGAACGAACGAAAAATGACAGAAACCGTTTTAATAAAAAAAAAAGAAGAAGAAAGGCATGGTTAATATGGAATCAATGACTGAAGCACTAATTTTATTTAAGGATACAAAATCAAGAAACAAAACTCTCACAAAAAGATATCAAGACTAATTTTTATCAAATTTCGATGATTATTTGCTCTTTCGATTCTTTTGCAAAAACAGAATAAATATGTTTGTTCTAATTTATAAAATAAATCTTTCGACGTTAATTCTATAAACAGGACTGTTATACATATTCATTCATTCAAGTTAAGAATTTTTGAAAGTCCATCATCCATATATTCTCATACTAACTACTTGCTACAAATAATGTGAGAAGAAGGAAAACTATTCAATATAGAAAAACAACTCGAGCTTATCAATTTACCAAATATCTATGCGAAATTTTAATATATATATATATCTTTTTATATCGTAATAAACGCTATAGTTTTGAAATAATCATAACAACGACAGCTTGTTGTTTAGGGAAACGATCAAATGTTATAGAATTCCATTATCATTGAGTATCAAACAGTCAGAGTCGTAGGGAATCTAATGAATTCAATTGAACTGTGATAATTAAGCATGGTAGCATAAGAGATTTTTTTAAGAATTTCTCGAAAACCATCGTAATAGTAGCAATAATCCGCAATGTTCCAGTAAACTTCTCTTTACTAGGATCACAAAAGATTTCCATATGGCCTATTTGAAGATTCAATAGTCTTAAAATATAGTATCATTTGTTTTTGGATTCCTTTGATCGATAAGAAAGCTACCGTTAAAATAAGACTGATCTGATCATCAGTGAGATTTTGTTTTTTTTATTAAATAATATACAATCGATATAAACAATATGTTGTCATTCTAATTACGGTTTCTAACGATTAGGCCATAATGAATCGAACTAATACTAGATGCAATTGTTCAATGACGTACTATTCATATAAACTATTCAACTATGCATAACTGTAGGTAGTAAGATTTTGACGTCTGAAAAACTATTTATTTTACTTTTATAAAGTATTTTTAGTATATGAATCAGTATATTTTTTTATCAACTTAAGTAGGATAAATATTACATTTACATATAGTTCGATTCATTATGGCCCATCCGTTACTTACTATAATTATCTTTTGGTAATATTTTTCTTGGTACACTTGATGCAGATGTGATAGCCGTAGTTAACGATGGCTGTTCCATGGAATTAATTTTTGCGTCATTTATCTACAATTGAAACTCATTTATTTAAAGAATCTAAATAAAACAAAATAAAACTCTTTGATACCTTTGTCGTTTGATTGACTTGTTGCTTAATAGTCAATTTATTATTTGAATTATTTCGGTTTGATTTAGAATTTGTTATTGTCAAATTTGAGTTAATTTTTTTCTTTAACGGCGATGATGATGATGATGACGATGGTAAAGAATTATCTGTATTTTTGTTACTTTTACGTTTTTGACGGCCATTAGATAAATCGTTTGATGTATTTGCATCATTTATCGGCAATGCTTCATGTGAATAAATATTATTCAGTGATGTAATTATCGATACAATTGAACCTTGACTAAATGGATTTCCTTTCGGTATTTTAGCAGTTGCATACGGATAATTTTTTATAAGTTCACTATATGATGAAAGATATTTTAAACATAGATTAGCACATGTACGATTTTCATGTTGACACTTTGGAAAAATGAGATGATTTTGTTCTGTTTTCATAGTACGAAATTTTTTCGATAACTGTTTATCAATAAGACCAAAGCTCGATGCTTGTTGAGATAAGATTAATTTTATTTCTTCAATATCATTTTCGTCATCATCATTTTTATTATTATTATTATTATTATCATTTACTGTTCGCAGATTAAATTCAACTTGTACAATAATATCCGAAAGAACTTTTTCACAATGTTCATATTCATATTGTTCATGTTTATTTAATAAATGATATTTCAATGTACGTGCACATGGAAAAGATATAGAACATAAATGACATGGATATAATTTTGATGATAAAGAACTTAATGGTAAGCGTTGTTGTTCACAAGCATTTTTAGCTATCAATGGAAATTGTTTTGATGAAAACGCTAAAACAAGATACGATGATAAATAACTATAATTAGGTAATGATGGATTGTTTTTAAAGTTTGATTTGTTTTGTATTGATGAATGACGTCGCTGTTGATGAGTTTTAAGTGAACGATGTGATCGAAATGTAATATGACAATGTGAACATAATACTGATTGACTTGGATGATGCATGTTCATATGATGATTAACACCGTATTCACTAGCAAATAATTTCGAACATATGTTACATTCGTGGCATACTCCTTGAATATCGTCAATATCGTCTTCTTCGTCTTCAAGTAATTCAATTAAATTTGCTGTTAACTAGAACAAATAGTTTTTATATATAATTGGCGCGAGAAAAAAAACAATTATGTTTATTCACTTGAAATGATCGACGACGATTTTCAGCTGATGAAGATTTATTTTCGTTGAATGATGCAAATCTGTTTAATGTTGACGTTGTAAGACGTTTTCGTTTTAAACGTTCATTATTATGAAATGAACTTGATGTTGAACGTAGCGCGAAACTCATGTTGATTAGAATGTTGTTGGCGATCCAACATTTGAGGAAAACAACAAAAACAGAAGAAAGATTACGAGTTTAGTTTTGTGGATGCAATGTGAAAGTTCAAGGGCAATCTTGAATCTCACTAGTTTTTAACCAATGAACATGACTCAAGATTATTATTCTTTGACATGATCTACAATATAGAGAAATAGAATGTGATTTGAAGTACAATTATGAAACCGAATTCTAAGGGATAAAACGTTACAGTTACAATCATCCGGTTCACTGTGATTATTTCGTTTCTGTTTTGAGTGTCTTTTTTCTTTCTTTATTTTGTAAGCTCAATTACGACATCTGCCGTCGACCTCGGTTTAAATAGGGAAGAAAACAGAAAAAGACGTCGATCTATTTCAAATATGGATAGTAACGAAATATAAATCAATAAAAAAACACTCGATTATATGCTTAAGAGATACAATAAAACACTATGTCTCGAAAGTCTTTTAAATCAAAGCAAAAACATCGAGTTATTATTGAAGGCATACGAAGTTGAGACGGAAAAAAAACAAGAAGAGAAGTTACGATAAATAGAAAAGTCATCTATCAATGACACACAATACATATAGAATTCTAGAAATCGTTCAAATATATCCACATGCGCAATAAAATTCATTTATCCAATGAATGATGATGATAGCGTGTGTATGTGTACGTATTCGACTGATTAGAATGATAACTATTACGGATATTAGTCTATTTTCCTCATGTAATACTAACACACACTACAAATGTTAAGTTAAACTAATCAATATATATGTATAGAGAGATATAAATGATTGAATAAGTTAACTTATATCAACTTATTTCATCAATAATCGCTGTTGTTGTTGTCGCCATTTTGATTTTTTCGACATTACGCCTCAATAATGATGCATCCTGACTAACAGAGCAGTCAGGTACGCAATGTTCTTCCTATATGTTAAGCAAATAATTCTGTTTTTCGTGCTTTCAAATAAATATTCGCTGCTTCAAAAACAAAAGAATTATAAAATAGAAATGTAACGTACTGTAATTAAATTTTTTGAAAGATGTCTTTTAAAAAACAATTCATATCTATTGCTCGGAAATCATTACCAACAATAACTGCAAGAAAAAGTCAATTATGATTATTTGAAAATGGATTCGTTTTATTATTATTTACATCTAACGAGAAAGAGACGTTAGTTTGAACTACCAACGAACACTTTTTGTTTGTTTTCGACAGAGATGAGTGGATTTCATTTCTTGATTTTATTACTAACAATATCCTGCAATAGTTGAATTCACATGAATTTCTTGATTAGAATGCTTTGATCGTTTCATTGATTATATATCTAGGTAAAAGATAAAATGCTTGAGTTTTTATATATTGGCTTTTGAGTTAGATCATTTAATCAGCAGATTTTTGCAGTACTGAAAACATATCCTCGATAAATTTGTTTTAGGCTTGTATTTATTTGACAAGAATTATTTTTAGGAATTGAATAATTTTTTTTTATAAAACTAGGACAATTCATGAGATTTTCCTTAGCTACAGTATTAGTTTTCATAGGCTACTAAGACTATTGACCATATTATATTTGTTTTGTTTTGTTTTAATAAATTGAAACAATGGTATAAATCAAGATTTAACACAAGGTTGTTTGTTAATCAATAATGTTAAAAAAATATTTTGTAGAATTTCGCGAAAAAAACCACTCGTTCCTTGTCAGTACCATGTTATTGATTCAAAACATGAATAAACATTTGATTGTTTTTATTTTTATTTTTTCTAAGAATTTGAACAGATGTTTTTTCCTATTTTATTCTTTGAATAGTTTTACATAAAGTCGTTATCTTCGTCGTATCCAGGATCTACTTCAACACTAACAATTCCATCGCCAACGAATGAATCCAATTCATTTCGTCGATCTGCTTTTAATTGTGGTTTAACCGATTTTTTCGTTGCAGAATTTTTCTTCTCGTTTTGTTTGCGCACTACTATAGCTTGTAATCTTGCTGACATACGTTTAACACTCTCAAGTGATAAAGGTTTTGCTAATCCAGTAAGCAAATCGTCAAGAAATTCTGCATAGAATTCTGACTTTGATAAAAGTTCAAGACGATTATATAAACGAAAACTGTAATTGAGAAATTCGTCTTTGTTCACTAGATTAACATTATCTAATGAATCTTTTTCACCGCTAGTACCAATGAAATCAGTTGCCATCTTCAATTTTACTTCTTCTTTTTGTAGATCAGCACGTTTTCTTAGGTCTTCAAGTTCTTCAGCTGTGTATACTCGATCAGGTTCTTTCAAAGACTCAAGAAATTCATCATCACTTGTATGCCCATCGCCAAGATATTTCTTCTTCACTTGTTTATTTTTTGATGTTGCCGGTGCTTTCGCTGGTGCTTTGGATTTTTCTTCTACGTCTGTTTTCTTAGGCTGGAGAATAAAAAAAAAGGAAAAAAAACTTATTATGTATTTCATAAAGAATGACTACAAACTTTTTCTACAGGCGCTTCATCCCAAGCATCAGGAACATCATCATCATCAATATCTCGTGCTAAAGCATTTACGAGACTCTCGTCATGCCATTGATCAGCCATTATACTGCGAGATTAATCGATATTAAATCTAAAACAAAACTGTGATCATGTTTTTTTTCCTGTAGACATCACGATACTTTGTGTATTTCGCAATAACAATAGCAAATAGCCTAGTTAGGGGTATTTTTAAAAGTTTCTTTTAGATAAATCTAAACTTTTGTTTTTGAATAAATCCAACATAATTCTTATGTAACTCATAATAAAAAATATAATAATTGTTACATGGGTATGGGCGGGCGTCTTTTTAAAATATGTTTAGAAAACTTCACGATTGGTTGATACAAACTGATATTGATGAAAATGATTAATTTGATGTCACTATATATCAGATAGAAATTAAAATAAAATAGAAAATTAGGAATTGAAATATTTGTATTTTTAAATAGTTTTTCAACTTGTATTATAGAGTAGTTTTTGCAGTTTGAAATGATCAATACATGTCGCTAGCTGACGATTATCGATGGATTTATTCGATTCATATATGGATTAAGTTATACAACGTGTTCTAGTAGTTAATATTAAAGTGAATTACTTATGTCATTTCAAAATTTATTATGCCGATGGATAAGATTTTTTGTAACAATTCTCCAACTTAGACTTTGACTCTACTCGGTTCCTTGCTATCTGGAAATAATTTTTTACAGTCATTGAGGATTGCTACACATGTTAGAAATTTGGAGACAGTTATACCAATTTTGAACTTACTTAACAATGTTCATCAATTATCAAACGATGTATGCCAACAGACTTGAACAAAATAACTAATTGAATAAGGCTTATATTTCTTAGATGCATCAAATTCCAGTTGTACTCGATCAAACGTTTGTTAACCTTTTTTGGTATTCAATCTCGAAATATTTTCTATGTGTCTTACAGAAATTAGCAGTGATATAATGTTTGCTGTTAGTTGTTAGACGAAACTATTTTAGAAGGTCTTGGTCAAAATGCTAATTTCATTTCAACACTCACATCTTTTATCATCAGGTACATCCATTACGATTCTTCTTTCATAGTTGCATTTCTTGAGCAATGCTAATGCTCTTAACAATAATTGTCTTCAAATTTCTGTCGCTCGTCAAGAAATTTTGCTACATTTGTTTAGTGGAATTTAAACTATTATGCCATCAGTGATTCAAGCACTTCAAGAATCATCGCGAAAAAAGAAAAGATATGATGTTTATATTTTCAACGATTGATTCGAAATATAGTGCATTGAAGAACGTTTGTTTTTGTTAGTTGCCTTAACTTGAAATAAATTATCTTAACATTATACTTGATTGATATAGAAACACGAACAGATTTTCAATGGCTATACAGTTGGTTAGGATGCTCGTTCAAAAATTTTTCTTTTCTTTGGAAGACATTATAACCTTTGTTTTCTATTCAAAACAGATTTGAAAATGAAGAAAGACTCGTCTCCAACAACTGAGAGAAATTAATACCGATAACGAACAGTGGTTTATACCAAAATAGAGTGCAGAAAAGTCTACAATAAAACGATTGATAAGGATACTCTCGATGATTTTTCGCTAATCAAATAATTAATAAAACGCTGAATATATGCTTAAATTTTTCACTGATGAAAATTCTTTATGTAATGAATGAGAAAGAACACGTATGCTTTTAGAGTTATGTGCAACTTATTTTTGAAGGCTGCTCTGCGAACTGCTGAACTTATTTTATTTCAATCTCTCCTACATACACTGGTGGCTCCACGATGGAGTTATGGGACCTGAACCCCCCCCCGAGGCGCTTTTGGTCACTCTCCCCCCCCCCCCCCCCCTAGAATTTGTTTGAGCCCCATTAGACTTTTTTGGAAATTTCCTAGTGAATTTTGTTTTTTCTGATATCAATATTTCAGAGCTTCATGCTGAGCTCTCCCCCTCACACCTAAACTTCTGGCGTCGCCGGTACCTACACATAAGGTATCTTTAAGGAACAGTCTTCAAAAGGTATAAATATATCGCATTTTAACCATCTTAATTCAGTCTCAAGTCGTTTTGGCTCGGTGCCAAACACTTTCACGATCCTGTTACTAGTATATATAAATAAATGTCAATAATGTATCAATATGTCCCGCCATCTATCAACATCAAAGAAATGTTTAATTGCTTTTACAGTTGTATGTTTTGTTTTTCGTCGTTAATTTTTCAAATTATTTTACCGCGATAATTCATGAAATATCTTCACGTGAGTGTAACAATCAAACGATTAGCGCTGCTTTTTAAGTGGTTTTAAAATGATGCTATTCCGAAATGTCAGTCGATCATCTACAAACTGAGTTGGTTATCATTCGTAGTACTCATTGCTCATGCTCATGTTGTAGCCTTGAGTAGTAGAAAACGAAACAATTTTAGAACGTCAGTTGTTCTATTTACGCATATTTATATTATATTTGCATTTAGTTTTCTAGATGCCTTCTGACGTTTTCATTGACGGTGCTCGATGTCTCGAGCGTATTCGTAAACTCTATAAATTATGGCAGGTACGTAAACTTGGACATCGAATAACATCAACAACAATATTTATATTGTATTTGTTTTCTTTTTTTTTACTATATAGAATACTAATAATGAAGATGGAACTGACGTACTAACTCATGAAAATGATGCAATACGTTCTGCTGATGCTATCATCATTGTTCGAGGCCAAAAAGAAGATGATTTTACGTATAGTAAAACAGCTGCTATGCAGGTTTGTGATTTCTAATTGAGGTTTTATTTATTGTTTACTGTTTGTTTTTCAGACTTGGTTATTTGGCTACGTAATGCATGATGTTCTTGTCGTATTTTGTCAAGATTCAGTGATTATATTTGCTGGTTCAAAAAAGATTAATTATCTTAAAAAGGTAAGTTTCTTGTAATTAAAATAGCTGTTTGTTATTGTTTGTTTATTCATTAGATTGAAAGCGAACAAAATAATAAAGAAAATGCTCCAAGAAATTTCAATTTTCTAGTACGTAAAGATAATGATGAGAAGAATTTTGCTGATATTATTGAACAAATTAAACAAAGTCATCAAGGCAAGACGTTAGGCATTTTTTCGAAAGATAAAATGGATGGAACATTTGGTGAACAATGGAAAGATTGTTTAAGTCAACATTCATTTACAACTGTAAAATGCTTTGTTCTTATTTATTTTCTTTATGTCATCGTAATTGTTAGGTTGATATAAGTGCATCTGTCGGTTATTTACTTTCAATTAAAGATAATGAAGAACTTGGTTTAATCCGTAAAGCATGTGAAATAACTGGAAAACTCTATAGTAAACATTTGAAAGATCAAGTTGTTAATACGGTTGATTCGGAACGAGTATGATGCATAAATTTTATAATTGTTTGAATAATTACTTATTTCTTATGTTTTTTTAGAAAGTAAAACATTCAAAATTATCGGAAGGACTTGAAGCAGCATTAAGCGAAGAAAAATTTGTTGCAAAAGCTGATCTTAATAATGTAGAAATGTGCTACCCGGCTATTATACAAAGTGGTGGAAATTATAATTTAAAATTTAGTGCAAATGTGTAAGGAAAAAATTTATTTATTTATATTGCGTTGTCGTCTTGCCCTAGAAGAATGACATTAATTTAATTGGTTAATTAGATTTTATCGCGAAAGGGATACCATTTTGTTCGAGAAAATACATTTTTCAAAAGTGAAGAAATCAATTTTTGTTCTTGAGATGAAATTATTAAATAGTGTCGACACAAATTGAAGAAATAATTGCACTAGAATTCGAGAAGCTAAGTTGTTGAATCAAGCTTCGACAATGAAAGTTCGTATCACAAAATATAACGTTATGCAATGATATTACCTACGCTAAAAGAATATTTCTCGGACAATTTCAGTGTCAATAAATAAACTATTAAGGCAGACTATATTACGTGACGTAAATAGAGAAGATGATCAGTGTCTAGTAAAAAAAAGAACGAATATAGAGATGAAAAAAACTCTTGCGTGACTAATAAAAACATTTGACTGAATCGAGATTGCTTTTTAGTGATAACAATCTTCTGCACTATGGCGGTTCATCAATAGTCTGTGCATTTGGCATTCGATATAAATCATATTGTTCAAATCTTGTGCGTACATTACTTGTGAATCCATCAGAAGAAATGAAAAATACATATAAATTTTTACTTGCATGTGAACAACTCATTATAAATGAATTAAAACATGGTAGACTATTCTGTTTATTTTTTTTTTATAAATTTTCTTTTTAAGATGTATCCTTATGTGACGTATACAAGTTGGTACGAGAAAAAGTGGAAAATGAACGACCCGAACTTTTGAATAAAATGACGAATAATTTAGGGTTTGTTTACAGAAAGGTGTAATTACTATGAAAAACTATATGAAAATTTTCAATCTATTAGAACGGCATTAGGCATTGAATTTCGAGAAAGTTCGATTGCTATAACAAGCAAATGCACAATTAAAGCACAGAAAGGTGAAAATATAAAATTTGGAAAACAAATGAACAAGGAAAAATCAATTATTTTCTTCTCTTTTTCAAGGCATGACTTTTCAAGTTAGTATTGGCTTTTCTAATTTGGATAATCCTCAAGGAACAGATGATCAATCGAAAGTTTATGCATTATTTATTGGCGACACAATAATTGTTAATGAAGTAATGAATTACAAAAATGAAGTTTTTAAATTAATTAATTTAAACAACAACATCTGTTCTAGAATGAACCTTGCGCAATATATACAACATCGAAAAAGGATATAAGCCATATTGCAATTGTTTTAAAAGATGATGGCTCAGACGACAATGAAGATGATGATGCACCTTCAATAGCACCTCGACGAGCAGCTATTAAAGAAAATCCTAAAGTAATTTTTAATAAAATTATTTCAGCCTTTGAATTTTTTCATTATCGACTATATATATATATATTTAGAAAGATTCATCTGCACCTGAAGAATCCCGTCAGGAATATCAAAAGGCATTATTACGTAAATTAAATGAAAGAGCTGAAGCTCGATTAACATCACA